ACAGTTCTAGAGTGGCCGGTTCCGAGGAAGGTCAAGGACATTCAGTCCTTTCTGGGTTTTGCAAATTTCTATCGTCGTTTCATTTATAATTATAGCGATATCGTTGTGCCGATGACTCGGCTTACCCGAAAAGGCGCTCCCTGGATCTGGGACAGCAGCTGTCAAGAGGCCTTCGAAAACCTCAAAATCGCTTTTACTTCTGCGCCGATACTGGCCCATTGGGAGCCGAATCGCCCACTTATCGTGGAAACCGACGCTTCCGATTACGCCATTGCGGCTATTCTTTCCATCCAATATGCTGACGGTGAAATTCATCCTCTAGCCTTCCTTTCCAGAACGCTTCATGCGGCAGAACTCAACTACGATACCCACGACAAAGAGCTACTGGCCATCTTCGAGGCCTTTAAAGCTTGGCGTCATTATCTGGAAGGTTCGGGTGATCCGGTGGACGTCGTCACCGATCACAAAAATCTTGAGTATTTCTCTACTACCAAGGTTCTCACCCGCCGACAGGTCCGATGGTCAGAATTTTTACATCAATTTAATATGGTCATTCGCTTCCGGCCGGGGAAACTCGGCGAGAAACCCGACTCGATAACTAGACGCTGGGACGTCTACCCTAAAGAGGGGGATATCGGCTACGCCCAAGTGAACCCTCACAACTTCCGTCCTATCTTTACTAACGAACAACTCACTGCGTCTCTTCGAGCTACCTTCTTGGAAGGCCCGGTTTTACGAGCCTCGATTATCATGGATATCGAAGCCCTACACCAGGCAATCATCCTCGCCCTTCCCGCCGACCCGAGCTCCGTTGTTGGTTTGGAACTTGCAAAAGATCCTTCCAATGAACGTTGGAGCTTAGGTAGTGACAAGCTACTACGCCTTGACGACCGTATTTATGTTCCTAATCACGGCGATCTACGCCTTCAAGTCCTCCGTTACTTCCATGATCATCCACTCTCCGGCCATTTCGGCCAGAACCGCACTCTAGAAGCTGTACGTCGTCAATACACCTGGCCCAAGGTCAGAGACTTCGTACGTGACTACGTTACCTCTTGCACTATCTGTGGGCGCAACAAACCTCGCCGTCATCGGCCTTACGGGTTGTTGAAGCCTTTGCCGGTTCCGGTCCGACCATGGAATTCCATCTCCATGGACTTCATTGAGCAACTGCCAATGTCGAATGGCTTTACCGCTATTCTCGTCGTTGTGGATCGATCTTCCAAACAAGCTATATTTATTCCAACTCACGACACCATTACTTCCGAACAACTAGCTGAGCTTTTTGTTATTCATGTCTTCTCTAAACATGGTGTTCCTAATCATGTCACTTCTGATCGTGGTTCTGAATTTGTTTCGGCGTTTTTCCGGGCTCTCGGTAAAGCGCTCTCCATGGAACTTCACTATACCTCTGGATACCATCCGGAAGCCGATGGGCAGACCGAGCGCGTCAATCAGACTCTCGAGCAGTACATCAGGATCTATTGCTCCTACCAACAGGATGACTGGTCGCCGCTACTCCCGATCGCCGAATTCGCCTATAACAACGCTCCCAATGCTTCCACTGGTATTACTCCATTCTTCGCTAACAAAGGATACCACCCAAACATCACCGTTCGGCCCGAGGTCGATATGAAGTCTGATCTTGCTAGAGACTTCGTCGTCAACCTTGATGAACTCCACGCTTTCCTTCGAGAGGAAATCCTTTTAGCTCAGTCTCGTTACAAGGAACAAGCTGACAGGAAAAGAATCTCGCACCCGGAGTTCCCGATCGGCTCCGAAGTCTTTGTTCTTGCTAAGCACATTCGTTCTACTCGTCCTACTGAAAAATTCTCAGAAAAATATCTTGGTCCTTTCAAGGTCATCAGTCGACCTGGTACTTTGTCTTACAAACTCAAGCTCCCGGATTATCTTCGCCGTATTCACCCGGTTTTCCACGTCTCACAGCTGGAGCCGGTTACGCCGAATCCATTCCCGAATCGAACTCAATCTCCTCCACCTCCAATCGAAGTTGATGGTGAAGAGGAGTACAACGTTGCCGAAATCCTGGATTCCAAGTTGGACAGAAGGTATAAACGTTGTCCTCTACGTTACTATATTCGGTGGGCCGGTTACGAAGGTACCGACGATGAGTTCTCTTGGGTTGCTGCTGATGAATTACATGCTGACGAACTTGTACCGGCTTTCCACGCCCGATACCCTCACAAGCCTGGACCTTGATCACACAAAAAACATTTATTCCTTTCCTCCGGTTTTTCGCCATGCTCCGCCGAAGTTTACTTCGTGTGTTTAGAGGGTAAACACGATGATAGCAAATTGAGTGTTTACCTCTCCTTCTTAAATTGCTTACTTGTTTCTTAGTTACTATTTTACTTATTCTTCAATCACACTTAAGCTACTTATACTTCAAAAACTAATTACTTTTTACGCCGCTTCGCGGCCCATTCGCTTCCCGATTCAAAATCGCGTTAATATTTTCGTATATACAAAAGCAAAAAGAAAATAATCAAAGGAAGACAGGAGGCCACAAGAAAACTACAAGAGATACAAGAAGGGCCGAGAGGCCGATGTCCGATGTCCGTATATCCTACTCCTCCCTCTCCTTCCCTTTCTCCGACCGGGCCCTCTTCGGCGCCGGTTCTATCTCTTCCTCCTCCTCTACTTCCTCCTCTCCTTCTCCATCTTCTGCTCCTACTATTCTATCCTCTTCCTCCTCCTCGCTATCCACTACCCTTCTTCTCTTCTTCGGCAGCCGCGACGGTCCTGGTTCCGGCATCTCCGGTGGCGAATCCCTCCTCCTTGCGGCGTCCCTCATCAACCACTCGAGCTTCTTGATGATGTGGCGGTCGTAGGTGTTGGACTTGATTTGACCCTCGCGGAGAACCCGGTTATCAGCCAATAATTGAGCCACCTGGCTCTCCAGGACGGCCAACCGTTCGCCGGTCGGGTGGGAAGCGACCTCCTTCTTCACCGTGGGGGGCCGGTTGGAGTGCGAGCAACGCACTTTTGCATCATGGCAGGGCTTACAGGTGGTGCTGCTCCGCTTGCCGGCCTGCTGAAGGCAAGGGATCCTCTTACTCCTGCAACGTTCGCAAGGAGTTCTGTCGTCTTCGTCGTCGTCGTCATCATCCCCGTCGTCGCCGTCATCGGGGTCCCCGCCAACAGGCTATAAACAAGAATGTTAGTAAAAAGTTAATTGCGAGGCTCCACGCCACTCACCTGGGCCTTGGCCTTTCCTTTTCCCTTGTCCTTACGGACTTCCACAACGGGCCGTCGTGGGGAAATCGAACTTCCTCCTGGCGAAGACCCCCGCCGACTGCGAGCGGCGGCCGCCTCCGCCATCAACCTCCGGCGCTCCTCCAACTCTCGGGCGGCAGCTTCCTTCTTCCTCTGCGCCTCTTCTGCAGCCTTCTTGGCCGCTTCTTCTTCGGCTTTCCTTCTGGCCGCCGCCGCCGCCTTCCTGGCTTTCATCCTGCGGACTGTTTCTTCGGCCTGTCGGATGGCTTCGTCGTCGTCTTCTTCCAAGGCTTCGTCGTCGTCGTTAACCGGATCGGCGGGAGGCGGGTTTAAAGGGCGCGACCTTGAAGGGCCGGCCGTAGTGGAGGAAGGAGTGGTGATTGTCTGAGTACGGCTGTGTGACATTGTTGACTTAGGAAATTGGGGAGAAGTTAGGGCCACATCGGCAAAACCTGGCCCTTTTTATAGGGACAAAATGGCGCACGGACCAGCGAAAATTTTTCTTCGAATTGTACATGGCCTACGGTGCACCGAAAATTTTCTTGGATGACTAACAACAATCCCCGGCACCAACGGCGTTTGAAAATTTTTCTGCTGACTGATGGGCCAAATTCCCGAGGCTGACGGCCTTTAAAATTTTTCCTTGGTGACTAACCAACTACCGGTATTAATGGCTTTCGAGGGCTCAAGCCTAAGAGGGGGATACTGTCAAGTCCATGCCGCGGGCCTCCATTCCGCCGTTCGGGATTCCGAAGATCTGCTCCTTATTGTTATCTCACTCTTATTGTTCTTTCTCGCTACACATACCCTTTCGTTCTAGTCCCTTCTTATTGTCTTTTACTCTACCCTGCAGGTACTACTCGTATAGCTCCTAGTAGTTAGTCTGGCGCTCCGCACCGCTGCGCCGATCCGTAGATATAAATACTGCCTGTACGCTACTGTAGTTCCTCAGTTTAATTATCGACTTAGATTCCCTCTTTCACTCTGTGCTCCTCTAAGTCTTCAGGCTTACTGCCTTGAAGTTCTCTCTACTCTACCTTAGAACTTATACGTTCTCTGGTTCGCTCCTCGTCACCGGCGTTATCGCCGCTCCGACTTGGCTGCTACTCAGCTCCTCTCTTCTATACTCTCGACCTCCGGGGACATACGGCGTAACGGCGGTGTTGTTAATAACTTCACTACTGTCCCATTCGTATTCCGCACTTAGACACTCTGTGACCTCTGGCACGGTTACACGGGTTGCATGATCTTAACAACTCTACCATGCAGCACATGGACTTTCTTTGGCTAAACTGTCTGATGGGATCCCATCCTGACTTCCCCTAGGAGCTGACCTACGTTGACTGTCTACATCTACAGGAAAAGAAACATTATATACCTACAATACACATATGGTGCTGCGCGATGGGGTTGAGACAGGATTCAAAGGGAGGAAAATGGAATTTTACTGGTTGCTCAATAGATGTATTTTAGAATAACTGAAACGTAGAAGTTCATATTTTGATCTAACTTGAAGTATTACAATCATTGTATCATGTACATATGTATAGACATCACCCGGCTCTGCTGTTTTCGCTGTTGTAGCGCGTGCACGTGTTCATACAATAAGTTCCCGGATTCGCGTCGATGCCATCGACATCGATGATCGAAATCATTTCTTCTCTGTGTATTCGAACTCTGTGGCCTTTTTCTGAACTGTTATTTCGAAAAACAGCGAAGTGGAATTGAGCGGGCAAGCCTTCACCCGAATACTTATATATCCCGTTCAGGTAATCCATCAAACTTCTTTGCTTACAACGGTGCTTACAGATCGGAATGTAATGCATATGGACACAGGCGCCAAGTGAATCTTATTCCTCAACCCTTTGACCCAGCTCTATTAGCTTTGCGGGCAGCAATGTCCAAAAGATTCTGATCTTTCGACCATAACTGAACAATTCGCCACATCATGTCGATGTTCTCTAATGCCCATACATTCTCTCTTACCGCCAACGAGGTCTCCTCGGTTGCCGGAGACCAGAACATCAGCTACCACAACTATGAACCTTTTTGTAAGTCCTATGTGGGCCTGTATTCCCAACTTTCGCATTGAACATCGGATTCTACTAGCTATTCACATCGAATCCGCTCTGGACGGACGTTCAGTAGGGAATCCATTGCGCTATCAACCTCACCCTCTTCCTTCTCTCAATGATCCCTCCCTGCCTGCAAATATCCGCTACTCTCTACACTTATTATCCGCCAAGGAAGGGTATCCATTATGGAGGCCGGAACCAAATCGACGATTACCGGAAGAACATCGTAAAGGTGGCCTCCCTATCGGGTCTGTTGGAATTATACGACCAGACGGTTTTTTCGATTATCTTTTCAACATTTGCTTCCCCAAAGATCATCCAGTCAATACCGGCGGTGTTCCGGAAGGATTTAAGCCCGTTGAGTTCAGCCAAACGGATGTTTCTGAGGTTGAGCCATTTCATGATCTTGATGCTCATGTGGCGAGCCCTACTGGGTATATAGCCAAGACTTTAGCGCATTCGGGAAGTTCTTAGTGCGTGCTTCTGATGACTTCAAAGACACACCTACTTACTTTCCCGAGTAGTGTCGCTCAGTCAAGAGCTTATGATTTCGTGTCTATGCATCCCGAGGGTGCCATATTGATGCTGCCAGACGGTAGCACACGTATTGACCTTGAGAATAAAAAGATATTTCGTCAATACGCCACTCGTAACGCTCATCGTTGGTTCACCTACGTTGAAGATGCTCGGGGGCGAGAGTCCGAAGACCTATCCCTTTATATAATCACAGGTACCGACAAGTCTTCTTCTTTCGGTGTCGCATCTTTTTGCAATGCACAAAATCAGGAATTTAGCCTTAGGTTCAGTATCGATGGACACACACATATGCATTCGTGGTCGAAGCACCACTATGCTGAGTCACGATCTGGACCAAGGCTTCCTCCGGGAGATCCAATTGGAAGTGACCGACCAGTAAATCAGAGTATCTTCCTTCGAGGATTCAAGATCAACAAGCGGAAGACTTCCAAAAGCAAGGAGGGTCACCGCGTAGAATCTATAGTCACGAATGATTCAAGCAGGCGGAAGTCCACTTCTTCCCATAATCAGACAGCGTCCACGTCGAAAAAGAATGGGTCATTCTCTCAAGGATGGAACGTCTGGGATATGCCATCTCAGGCGGATGGTCATAGGCGTGTCTCTGACCCTCAGAGAAAGGTGCAAGAGAATGTGAAGGTTGAACATGTTCCAAGTACTACCGCCGTGCGTTTTTGTTTCCCCATCAGTTGATGACTTACCAATAACAAACACAAATCTCATCTCAGCCTTATCATCCCTGTGACACGATCAATAGCTTCATGCTCGAGCTCCTCTCCGCGACTTCCGGTAGTGCTGGAAGTGGCCCGTCCTTCGCAATTTCTCATGACGACGATTGGCGGTCTGTTTGGGACGAGGTTCTTTGTTTGTATGAATTACTTTGTACTCGCAATTTACTCGTTCTCGCAGGGCAATGTAAAACTACCGACCGAACAAGAGCTGATACATCGAATCTGTTCCAAATCGAAATTTGTTATCGACAACGGTGGGTCACCCGTGTCTTCGAGTTCATAGTTTCGAGTTCATCCTCTGATTGCCTTGATAGGAACTATTTATCCTGACCCGCTCGACGATGCTACTCCTCGGAAATCCCCTCTCTCCCCCGATGAATTTATCACTGCGCGGATACTCGTGATGTTCACTTGTCCTGTACAACAATGCGGAGAGCAGTTCCAACAGCAATCATCACTAATCAGTAAGCCTTGGTGGGTTCCTCTTCTTCCCTGGCGTTGAATGCCCCACAGCCCATATGCAGCAAAAGCATGACGTGGTTCACGGTACTGCCGCTAGAGTCCCGCTTTCTGCGGCAGCGGCATCTTCTGCGTCCACAACTCCCAAACCACCCAGTCAACCCGACAAGAAAAAACGAAGAGGTGGGGTAGCCGCTTTGTCCTGTGCTGAATGTCGAAGGTCTGTGTTTCCAATGTTCCTGACGAAGAATATTTTTCTAAAACCGACCATCATCAATCTCCAGATTGAAACTCAAGTATGACTCTGTCCTCCCTATTCGAGAATATTCTAACATACATTTAAGGTGTTCTCGGGTATTTCCCTGTACGCACGTATCGAAGTTTCTTCCCCTTACAAAAGCCGGATCCTCATACTTCTTTTTCCTAATAGTGGTTGCGTGAAGAAAGGTATGAATAAATCTGACGATCGATGTCCACGGTTACTGATAACGGGGATATATGGATAGGTTGTGCGGCCATATGCCCTGACGGTATGTCAGAAATTAAACCGATCGCGCCGCTCATGTAATATGTCGTTTCCTAGGTCATTTAACTACTGGGAAAGGAAATCGGTATGGGTCAGCACATTGAGAATGGTCACTCGGCGTTTACAGTCCACTAGCTTTGTCCTAGCCAACATCAACGAACTGCAAGAGAAGATTGAGGAGCTCACCACCCGCGCCAAAGCACTTGAGGATGCCTTGGCTAAGTCTCACAATTTGGTCTCTCCTCAACCACATCCCCTTTTGAGTGACGACCTTTTACAAATAACTCGCACTGTCAAGGAGGAGTCTCCTGAACCAAACCTGTCCACTGATTCAACAACCGTCAAGAAAGAAGAAAATAATAAACAAGAAGAAGATGAAGCATTGATTGTGTATAAATCTTCCTTGGGATCGTTGTAAGGCTAAACTAATCGATGTCGTTGGTCGCTCATCGACGCTTTTTTGCTCCAGGTATGCCGGTGAACAAAGCACGTTCTACGGTCGCAGTAGTACTTCTTGGGTGAGCCTCTGTCCGCTTTGGAAATCTTCCCATGTCCTGACGTTTCTGTAGCATTTCTTATTGGTTCGTTCACCCGCCTCCTTGTATGACCGTTCTTTGAACTCGTGTTGTAGAACGAGACTGGGGCGAACCAGCAGAAGGAGGTACCGAAAGGGATAATCAAGCGACCTCTACCGAACGACTTACCTTGGTTGGCTAATTCTTTCCCTTTTTCTGCTCCAGTCGATCGGTCAACGCGGCAGAAGCTGGTGGGATTCTTGCCAACAGTCGCTGTGGCTCGTCGTCACTGTCAAAATTATTATCGCTATGGTGCTTGGCAGTCAGTCTTTCGTCACTCCTCTCTCCTTCCCAGTGTACAACCTTATGAACTGAGCATACGTTGATAGGTATACACCGATCTCCGAGGTCGAATTCAAAACCACGATATTTGAACCATATTATGAACCTGATGAGGGAACTTTGTTTGAGGACCCCCTAGTCTCTCATAACTTGGCGATATTGTTTTTGGTTATCGCGTTGGGTGCTCTACTGGACCTTGAAGGACCAGCTCATTCACAGGAAGCGAAATGGTACTATCAGCTCGGCAAAGCCGCTTTGGCGCTGGAACCCGTGTTAGACAGTTCTTCATTATCCACCATTCAAGCACTGGTCTGTGGCTTCCGTTGCATTTTCATCTTTTACATTGCTGAAATATTGCATCAGATTCTTTTAGCGTATTACATGCTACTGGATGACATACACGATCTAAGATGGTCCATAATGGGACTGACGTCAAAACTCACACAGACTGTAAGTTTTTCAGATATGATTTGTTAGGAAAGAGTACTCAGTAATGCGGCAATATAGGCTGGACTTCGTAAGCTCCTATGTGCTCAGCTCCATATGATTTTCTAATCTGCTGAATAGACATTGATGGTACGCATTGGAATTTACCCCCAGAAGAAACATATCGGCGGCGTTGTTTGTTTTGGGAAGTCTACTCCTATGATATACTTCAGGTGAGACGAACTATATTCTTTGTGTTGTCTGCTGTCTAACGCGAGGGACAGAGCTTAACTTACGGTAGACCACCACACATGGCGTTGTCATTTGTTGACACCAAGAAGCCTTTCGAGACGACAAGGGATGCAAACGGAGATGTAGAAATGACATGTGGGTTCTTGCGCTTAGCAATCTTGAGTAGGAGTTCATCGTTGTGTTTTTTCAGGTGATGCTTGGAAGCACAAGTTTTTCAGCGAATGCCTAGGTGTAATTTGGAATAAAGCATTTGGGGCTCATCCTTTGAGTTATGACATGCTCAAACACCTCGATCAACAAATGCGAGCATACTATGTTCCCCCGAGCCTTCGAGTACCAGGTTTTGGAGGCGCCAAATTGAATCAGGACATTCATCCGCCTAGCCCGGAGTTAACGATGCAGCGTCATTTCTTAGTTGCTTTGAAGGAAATCAGTACGTCCACAATATCGAGTTGCAGCCTTACCTTCGTTTACCCATTTGCTATAGCATCCTTCTACATGCATAGGTACAGTGTAAAACGGCATACTCGACCTCTAAAGCGCTCACGTTTTTTTCTCTTAGGGGGTTCTTTATCAGAGCGATGAATGAAAAACCAGAGAACCCCATTGAACATCATCCTTACGGAGAATCTGTCCAGACAATCTACGATAGTGCATGCATTTGCGTGGGCTTGATGAGGAGCCTGTTCAGGCAGCAACCTCTGATCATGCAACGATTCCCTTATTTCTTCGACCATATATTTTCATGCTCTGTAAGTGTAATCCTTGTCTCTTGTCTTTTGATAGAGACTATGCGCACTCACCGTGAATTTTATTCCAACAGTATGTGTTGGGTTCAATAGCGTCAAAACCCAAGGTCCCTATGGCCTTGTCTGCCCTCACGAATTTAGAGCTTGCGTATGATTTCTTCGAGGCAATGGCTGATAATTCTCCACGAAAATCCAAATTCTTGGTAAATGCTACATTCATATATTCTTTTGCAAGTCGAGAGCTTACCGTTTGGTTAGGCTGAAGCTGGCAAGCTGCGCGAGCAGGCGCGTTTGGCCTTAAATGTAACACAGAATCCTTTGACGGAAGCTCAGAAACTGGCACGACCGAAGCCCATCAAGACCGAGGAACCTGTATCAGGCCGCCAACAGTCTTCATGGACAAAACATGTCCCGTTTTCCTTATCATCCACCTTACCATCTGCCACCCTTACCTCTCCTTCCAATCATAGATATTCGCCGACTACAGCGATTACACCGGCGTTCCAAACGACGTACAACCTTCCGCAGCCTACACAGTATCCCGTTGACCAGTATTCCCTATACCCGTCAACTCCTTTGACTGAACAGTCTCAACCATTGCTTCCACAGCCGTTTTCTGACGGTAACCCGTTCTTCGATCAACCCAATACGCCGTACAACCCCATTTCGGGTTATCAATATCACAATTACCAAGATGCGGGATACTTTCAGCAAGAGATGGATTACCAGTCAGGGTATGATGCTTCTGGTGATGTTGTCATGCCTATGTTGGAAGAGTCGTGGCAGAATTTCATGACTCAGATTAGACAGTAGATTCGGACTGCTTGCTTCATTTGTTTCTTGGGTGTTTTGTGTAATGTATTACCGTACTGTTTTACCGCTATCACATATATGTACCGTCGTGTTTTACTGTTATTCTTTTGTATCAAGCTACTTGCATATAGTTAAATTACTTTCTTGCAAATTACAAGTGAAGTCTTGTTGTCAAGTACAGTATGTAGTGTGGATCCTCCCTAGAGAGAAGACCAGACCATCCAGACGTCGACCGTGGGTACCAAATCTGGACCGTAACTCAATCATTCGGTATCTCGGATTCATTCCGGATTTCGCTATAGCGATCCGACTTTACGCGCCTTTCTTTACCGTACAACGCCCATGACCACTTCGGGCCCACGACCTTTACGACTAGCATTATCCGCAGAATCACCTACAATCACTTCTCCAACTCCATTAACACCGAGATCAGCAGGCCTTGATAGCTCAAAGAGGAATTCCAGCTTTCGCTCGAATCCGCGGCGCCAGTCGTCTATTTCATATAATCCACGTTCAAGAGATGACCCTTTGTCACCGGCTCTGTTTAGTCCAAGGCATGCCGCCTCAGTTTTGACGCCAGATTCACCAGGGCCAAGTTCAAGGCCGAATCTAAGTCGCAGTGCTTCGGTAGGCTCAAGAGTCCCCAGAAGGACTGAATCTAGAGGCGAACGAAGCACATATAGTGGAAAAGACCCCTCTACACCCGCGACGGTCAACTGGAATAGAAATCGAAACAGTACAGGGTCTCTGCTCGCTGAAGAAAGGGAACGACCAGCATTAACCTTGGTTGAAAAGTATGTCTTTCGGCAGTGTAAATGTGTAAGGACGATTGACTCACTGCTTTGGCTTAGGCATGCAGAGTTACTGCACTTTATTGCACAGAAGGAGTCAAAATGCTTGGAACTGCGGACGCAATTGAGTGCCCATGAAGCTGAATTGTTACAATGTATGTATTCTTAATTCTTTGTTGACCTGTGTCTGATGGCGCATAACAGTAAAGAGAAAATGGGAACGAATTGTTTTCCGTGGTTTTGAAAAATCCCAAGCCAACGGAGAACGAAGATTACCATCGTCTACGTCTCCTTCCCCAGATTCGATACCTATAACAAACACCACACATCCACCTTCGGCATCCATCTACTCTGCCGCGTCTCTTTCCTACCTCGACAGTCTTAGCACGCAAGCCCAGGGTGCAGGAAGTGCAGCTATGCTTGAAGCTCTCGGAGGAATGAAAGGAATACGTGAAAGTGTCCAGCAAGGTGTTGGACGTTTCCTTGGTGCCGTTGCAGGTACAAATGATCCCTCGTACACGACCTCTCATCGTAGATCCCTCACGCATACGCCGTCACAGAGTTCATCATCAGCATCTACTTATGCCACGTCTAGCACGCGATTCTCCCAGTCTTCACAAAGTTCATTCGGTGACATCGTACCGACTTCTATTTCAGAAGAGGACGGGGACTTGATGTCAGATAGTAATATTGACGTGACCTCGATGAAGAGGGCAAGGAAGCATCGACCGACTCATATTGGGATTGTGTCAGATACGGGTGCTACCCCGCTCGTGTCTCCGACGCGTGATTTCGCGTTAGAAAGTCCACCACGTACTGCGACGCCCTCAACCAGAGCTGTGCATGGAGGAGGGAACATGCGTTCGAGACGCAAATCTCGCACGTTCTCGTCCGAATCGCCTACTGAGGTCACTGGGACTTCTGCCTCCGAGGAAACAAATCGGTGCGCAGACTCGGACACGAATACATCTGAGTCCCTTTCGTCTTCGTTGGTCGATTGGGGAATGGGGTTATCATCTCCTCCGCCTATGGACTCTCCAGTACCTGGGCAGGGTAGCGGCAAGAGAAATCTGAATAAGCGGATGTCGTTACCAGCGCGTGCATTGAGCTCTGGTTCGGGTGCTGATTCGTGGATGGGAAGTATGGTGGGGAAGCGTTGGGAAGATACGTCAGTATTTCGATTGTGCAATGTATGTCTTTCTTGTGCTAATCTCCTTTCCTTGTAGGATATCCAAGAATCAAAAACGCGCCTCCGTTCTGCTTTCTGACGTTTCACAATCCATCTCACAATCCATACCTCAATCTATCATCCAAGCACTGGTATCTCCCCCGCTGTCAGCTTCGTCCGAGCTTGCTCCTCCATCAGGATATCATAATAGGATCGAAAAACAGACCTCACTGGCATCGGCTTCTTCGACATCGTTACTAGACGAGGATATTCCTCCCGAGGAATCTGGAGGGTCATTGACACCCTTGTTGGAACCTTCGCCTGCTCCTTTCCCCGTCCTTTCTCCCACGAAATTGGCCCCGTCATCAACTGAACCCCAGCCCAAGTCTCCCATGAAGAACAAGCTCAGTTCTTCACCAGCTGGAGTAACGAATGCTGGGAAGACGAACAAAACAGGCTCGAAATTCATCTCCGCGGTAGCGAGTCAGGAAGACGACGACGACGACTGGAACTGGTAATAGGTACCGACACATCTTGCCACTCTTTACCATGTTTTTATGTTTCTAGATGTCTCTATATTATACATACCTCGTTTGAAGCACCGTTTGCAATAACTTACATGTCACCGTAAGGTCCCCCACTTTAGTTGCTGGGACTTGGCAACGTTTTTATTCACTTTCCTTTACAAACCACCTACATACTTTACTTCAATTACACACATCACACTGCAGATACATAGAAAGAAATTGGACATTGTTACGATCAGACCAGAGAACACAGTGAATTGTGCAAGAGGAGGGCCTTCCCTGACAACCAAAAGCAACAGTGTTAGAGGCCGTCCATCAACAGCTTGCCTCCGTCCGAGGGAATGAATTTCAATGAAGAACGTAGTGCTTTGGTCCAGTCTCTACGTATGTCTATGGGAATGTTTTCTTTTGGAACCCCGTATTCAGTGATGTCCTGAACCAGCCTCCTTCTCGGCTTCTGCGATGTATTTACGGATGCTGTTCATCCTTCAAGTTAGTTCGCACAACCCTGTCCTGTAAAATGATAGGAAATGGACGCACAATTCTTCCTCCTCACTAAGAAGAGCACAATGATAAAATCGAGAACGGAAAAAGAGGCAGATGTAAACAATCAGAATTAGCGAATATATTCCGCAGCGTAGCAATGGACGCACCTCGAGCCAGCATTTAGAGGAACAGCCTCCTTCACCTTCTCGATAATGGACGGTGTAGCAGCTTTTGTGTCCTGTTTGCTTCCACCGCGAGTAGCGAGGAATGCTCCTCCGAATACACTACCTAGAACACCCAGAGTAATGTATTCGTTTTTGATGGCACGGCCAAGGATTACGCTGGAAAATAGTGATAGTGTTCAGAGTCAATGTATGTTGATCGAGACTTGAGAGCAATAAACGCACTAGGACATCGTTGAAAGAGAGGAAAGAGTTATGTGGTTTAGGTGGAGCGGAACGTGCCGGGTTGGGAGAGCGCCGGCCTGGCGCCTATGTATGCATCAAAAACTTGAATATCACCTATCACTACCTATCACATCCTATCACACCAATGCCAGAGGAACGAGCTGTATGGTTTGATGCCAGAGCAGATATACTACTAGCTAGCTAATGTGCCAATTCTAAGTTCACGGTCGGAGTCATTCCCAGTGGGACCCAGTGAAAAAGCGGTAATATTGTGCTTGGTATTTTTGACGCTTTTCTTCTACATACGAAAGTACTGAATAGTGACCTTTTTTCTGCAGCTCAGTCTGAATCTGGTAGAACACCCCGCACCCCATACATAGAGATTGTAAGTTTGTAACTCAGAAATTTGTTTTTGTCAGAGCTATCACACTAGCGAAAAAAAGAAAAAGTAGAGGTAGAGGTAGAGGTAGAGGTAGAGGTTTAAGTAGAGTTTATTCCAAAAGTAGAGCCTTCGAGTACCTCTACTTATTCCTGTGAGTAAATGGTAGAGCCGATGAGCTCTACTTTCCCGGCACATGTTATCCTCTTCAGCTCCGGAGGCTGGAGGACGCGTCCACTTGTGATTATGACCAATATAGATATTCATTTTTGACCCATTGTTGATCTCTTTGTTGTTCATGAAGTCCTATTTTGGACAGTAGTTATGCCACTCGATGTTCTGCTTATATGAATAGTATCTCAAAAGTGTTAATCACCTATTTTTTGCCAATTCTTCATCTATTCTTAATGGCTCGTTATACTACCAGTTATCGTCGGAAGCCCTCCAATGTCCTACCCAGATTTGTTGAGTGCAACAGAATGGGATGCTCAAACCCTGTTAAGGTCTGGCTATGCACTGGCTCAAACTATGCTCATCACCGAGGACATTGGTACGAGTCAGTAAGTCCTAATCTTCTGTCTCTTTCGAAGGTGATAATTTTGACCTGTATATATAGTGCGTGAACAAGGATAACCCTCAAGACACTCATTTTGTATCCTGGAGGCCTGATCTTCCACCACAGCACATATCTGACCTGGTCCGGCATGAAGTTCGAGGTGTTTTGCCTAAGTTCAGCCCCAAAAAGCTTTCACAGATGTCAATGCATGATATCCTCACACAGACTACTGAAGCACATCCATTTTCGGCTTTCCCCCCATCTCCATCACGTATGTTAGACCGTCCCAATCAAGGAAGTTCACCAGTAAAACGATCCACTGCATCTATGGAGAATCTCTTTGATTTTAGTGAAGCAATGGAAATAGAGATTCCAGATCGGGTTTTTACTGAGGAAGAAGCTCGAGAGTTTGCTCGAAGTGTGGATCTAGCCGAAGAAGAGCAAGGAATAGAAGGTAGCGTTGTCCTCGGGATTCAACTACTACATGAACAATTGACCCAACATCTTTCTGGTCAGTCTTTCATTTCAAAGATGGTAAAACATCTCACGATTTTTGTATAGCTTCTGCAAATTCTAATATTTCCAATCCTGTGACAGCCGATAGCGCTCTTGTAACAGATGAACCTCCGAGCCAGGATACTTTGATAATATCAGCATCCTTGAGTACACAATCTCATTCAAAGGAACCTATTTCATCATTCCTCCACAATTCTAATGATTCCGATTTTCCACCTCCCCAACCCCCTTATCCTTCATCTACCACTCCACCATTTATCTGGAACCCCGGAAAGACTGAAACTCGTCTTGTGAATGGCTCCATGCGTGCATGTTGCCTTGGTCGTGGTTGCGCAGGGAAGGCCGGAGCTACAATCAATACAAACTGTAGTTTCAAGCTTTGCAAACCATGTTGTGGAAAATATCAGGCCGAGATGAATATCACCTGTAAAGAAGCATCTCACAAACCCCAGGCAAAGACTTCGACATCAGGTACAGATCAATTGCCTATGTATCTTCACACCCGGCCCCTTCTACCTCAGCATTACCAGCGGAGAGAGCAGGCCCAAATTGACCATCAGGAACGATCCACTATACTGGAAAATCGACAGTCATATGCAGATGATATCCGACAAAAAGTTTACATCAAATTCTGGGATGAGAATGGAACATCCGATATACTTACAACTGAATGTAAGACCTACCCATTCTTTTGTCTTGCTGATTGCTCTGTTGCTGTACGTGAGGCTATCGGAGCTACTGAAGGAAGGATGGTGAAGACTTTTGATCCTCGACTAAGGACTTGGATACTCCAGGAAAGCACTAACAAACAGCTTCTTCAGGATGGGGAAATACTGCTCATCCGTTCTCGTGTCTGTCAAAGTGGAGAAGGAATGAAAGAGGCTGAAGCGGAAGAGATAAATCGGAAAAATCCACATAAACGAAGATATGAACAAGATGTAGAATCTTATCTGATTCCGACCATGCCATCCACTCCTCGCCGCCATATATCTCACCCAGAACCTCTTGTCTCTTGCTCTCCCACCCCACAGCTCATTCAACCTCTTGCAACTACTTTCCCGAGGGATCTTTCAAACTCACCAGACCTCCCATCCATCATCAATACTCGACCTACTACTCCCACCCCTGCTCCTAAGAAGGTGAAAAGAACACATGTTGAAGAACCATCGATTCCCCTTGCAACTATTGACCTCACTGGATCAAATTCTCGACATGGGAATTGGCCTTGGAAATCCTATCAACGGATGCATGATGGTTTTGTCAAGTTGGCAGAGACAGGCGGAAAGCATAGTGATGTTTTCCCAGTAACCTCTAACAAGACGAGGTCAGTGGCTAGAGCTGCATGGGCTGCTGGATCGGTAGAGCTCAAAGCAAAGTTCCGAACAAACCCTGCAAGCACATGGAAGGAATATGTGAAGGAGGTACGCACTGCTCATGGCGGTTTCATTCCATCATATACCACTCAGAAGGTGAAAGTAGAAAAGGTGATTGCACCCACTTCGCCAAAGGTTAAACAGGAGGTTGCCGAACTGCAAATAGATGGAATCCTACAGCACGAAGTAATAGAAATAGAATCTGATTGAGACAAAGTATATGTATACATATTTGTATTGAAAAGTAGCTTAATGAAGGCGGTTTGAACTCTGAAGAACTCACAAAATCAATGAATAGTAGTCATAATATTAATATGAATCTACATAACGTGAGGATAAGAAGGGATATGATAGGGTGCTTGATTTGTTCTGCTAAGTTTAGCTACTAAGACTGCATTTCTGCGTTTGATCATTTCATCAAGAAAGAAGTTGTAATTATAGTAGAGCATTTCCCGGACTATTGCTTGATACCCTCCAATCCAGACATTTGCTTGTTCAGCTGCAGACGAGTTGAATACCCATTCTCCATCCTCCCCAACAAGTTCTGTCCACTGCGAAGGGTTGCAGTGCTTCTGGCAAAATTCGTCACTTTGCTTGTGCTTCGATTTGAAATGAAAGACGTCAACTGGAAGCATCGTACCACGGAAGTATTCATCATTTTGAGCTAACAAATGAGCTTGTAGTTGGCAGTTGTTGTCATAGAAAATGACATCGGGAAGGTCGTTTGGATTAGGGTAGACAGACTTTAGAAAATCCTAAACGAAGTTGACAATCCGAAATCCTATATGAATACTGACTCACCTTTACACCAGAAATGGCCTCCGCACCAAACATAGTTGCTCGTGCCGAAATGATACCACATGAACATACCACCAACTGCTCATTATGAGTTCGACGACGAGCGAACATTGCTTTTGAAGGTCGGTTACCATTATCCGATTTGTGCACTGGATCAATGGGATCATCGCCATCTATATCCAAAAGTTCTGCAAGATTTTCCTCCACAACAGAATCAAGGCCCAAAGAAGTCGACGGTTGTTGAACTCCGACACGTTGTAGCCGTTTGCGAAGAAGAAAAAAACCTTTCCCTTTCAAGTTTCGATACTCTTCATACTTGCGATGCGCTGTATCATTACATGTTCGATGACCAGAACGGGTAGGGCGATTGCAGTCTGTGATGATGCAGACATGTTGTTGCTCCATATGTGTTTTACACCAGTGATGACGATTGTTCTGCAGAGGTTCAGTGCAATTGTGGACTTTGCAGCAAGGGTGCCCCAAAGTTACACCATCCGTTACAACTGCACGAAGTGATCCTGCAATATCTTAGTACAAAATCAAGTATACGGACAAAAAACGCACGTAACCCCATATGCGAACAAGGATTTTCAGTCGGCACTAACTTTTCACAAGTTTCGCAAGCATGCAGACGCTCCGACTGACCCTCCGCAATCATATGATCATTGCGCTCACACATCAGCTCCTTCAACTGCGCATTCAACTCACCATCATCACGAACAGATAATATACAGCCCCGCTCCCTCCAATCCTTAAGTAGTGAGACTAACACGAAAGCTCTCCAAACTTGGGTGGGCGTGAGCATGAACTTGCTTTCACTTACATGCTTCTGGCCATAAGGAGACAGTGCGTGGTTGTATATCAAGGCACAATTTTGCGATGACACCCAGGCAAATAAGGTGCAAGCTGTGAAGAGTTCGGACAGACCAGATTGAATGAATGAGTGTTCTTCCAGATGAAGAATGCTCGGAACTGCCTCATCATAGTAGCGACGGACTTTGGCCTTGATTTTGACACTATAATTTGGATAGTAGCGAGTTTCGCATGATTCTGGTATAATACAGTGAAATCCTGGTTACAGAAATACAACAATTCGGAGACATACCTGTTCTGCAGCGCAGAGAAGTCGAATAAGCAGAGAAGGGCCCATCTTTTGTGAAAAAAGTTACAGGGACTCGAGATATATGGGTGAGTATCTTCTTGCAGTCCGGACACTTTGTGAATGGAGGATAGAACATGTAGTAGGCTTCAAAAATATTAGTGAAGTGATGATGATACTAAGAAAAGGATATTACCTAGCCGTTGATGATTTTTTGTAGTCCTCGAACCATGCTCATCAAACAACAAGCGTTCAGTGGTCTCGATGGATGGTTCTTCGAGCTCCCAGATGTATTGACGAAGGGAAGCCCACAATTTGAGTACAACGGCTCCATGGATATCTAATGCATTCGAAAGAAATGAGGTGACATGAGGAGGCAGGAATGGAGGAGGAGCAGAACTGTGCTGCATTCCAAGTGCAATCTCAGGCTTCAGGCGACGGGTGAAGCGGATGAAGCGGTCAAGATCGCTGAGAGACAGCGCAGTACATTCAACGGATGCAGAAAGAACAGAGAAGATCTGGGCTATTGAAGCCATGATGGTCAAAAGCGAGCGGGGAATTTCCAGAGCATCTATAAATCTTTCATTGCTACTGTAATCGGAGTACAATGGAAGCATTGACGACGGTCGGTGGCCACCGTCGTCAACAATGATCACTAATCAAATCAAGGGGATCCCGGCCGGATCCGAGGTCTACCTTTTGAGTAAGTAGAGCTAATTAGAGAACTACCTTTCTCAAAGCTCTACTTCAACAAAGTAGATTCAAACCACCTCTACTTCGGGCTCTACCTCTACCTCTACCTCTACCTTTAAGGTAGAGCTGTTTCTTCTAGTGTGAATGTCCTCGTTTTTGTTTGGCTCGTCTACATCGTCATGTGATGCAATCAACTTCAACCGTCGACGACGTTCAAAGCACAATTCCAATGGTCGAAAACGATCTCCGAATCACTTTTCCTGCCCCGCCAGGTATCGTTCGCCCTCCCAATCCTACCGGGCCGATTACGTCTCGCCATATCTTAAACGCTAGCAGATATGTGACCGTATTATCACAGGAGCCCCGTACGAACGATTCGACCTAATATTCACTATGCCCGAGCTGAATCGTTATTTTCGCAGAACATGGCAGTCAAGTTGTTACTCCTGACCATTATGCACAGGCTAAGTCGCTGAACATGCACTGGTTGCAGCATACATGCTGGAAATTCAGGATGTGCCTATGGATATTGATGATGAGATTGGTATTGGCTCAAAGTCCTCTTCTAACGAATCATTCAGTAAGTCAGTTTTCGGGTAGTGAATGATGGAGGTGGTGGTGGAGGTGCACTTTTGTCAGCAATGCGCAGAGATCTATGAGCGACGAAACAGTCTCAGGCCACTACAACGCACACCCTTGCCCGAATTACTGAAACCCAAGAACGCATTACTGAAACCCAAGACCGGATTATCAAAACCCAGGACCAGACTACAGGAACCCTTGCCCGGATTACAGAAAACTTGGACGACATGGCCCAAAGCCAAGCTCGAGTGGAAACTGAGGTGAAGTCCAACACCGTTCGTTTGTTGAGGGTGAGTGCTTTGTCTTTAATGACTCATGGCTGTATTTGTGATACTCCTCAAGGTTGAAAATTCCTGGCGAGGTGATGGGAGTGATTTCAGTTATGAAATCAAATTCTTGGATGGGTCAGACCCACTGGTTGCGGTATGTATGCTTCATCTAGGTATTCACCACCTTTTCTTATCCTCATGCAGGTACTTGGAAGACCCGCCTTGACCCTATTGCCCTATAGGCGATCCCTACTGAACATTACAGTAGTAGACGAAGTCAAGGCTTACCTGAATGGCTATGAATATTCATTGGATGAGATTGATGCAGTAGGTGATGAGGCCCAGAGTCGCAAATGTTTGTTATTTTCTGCATTATCGTTATCGTTATCATATTTCTGTACTGTATCAATGTTCATACAGTGCTGTAATTAGAGCACTTCCTGACACTGGACAAAAAACTCTTACAAGTGAGACCACATTAAGGAGCTTTCCTTGGTTCCACAACGTTCAGAGCCCCCTGATGGCAGACCAAATAAACTTGCGAGAGGACTCATTTAGCTATATTGTATCCATGCTGTCCGCTCGCCGTGGAAGGAACATGAAATCCCTGGCCAAGAGAAAACTTCGAGACAGGGCACAAACTCCTTGACACCGACACTCACAAGGGAATTAAGGTTCAACAAAATACAATCCGCGATACGCTGCATCTACTCTTGCTCGGAGCGCCTGTCTTCAGTGTAGAGAACGCGATTTATAAGTTCAATCGGGATATCATACAACTCCAGCTGCGGGGTTTTATTTCCTTCACTATGGGCATATGGTGCGTAACTTGAAAACATGGTTTCCTGATCGTATGGATCCTTTGAAACACGTTTGAGAGGAAACTGGGCTCTGGAATCTTCAACAACAGGTTATATAGGCACAGTCATCCAAGGTAAAGTGCTCACCCGTGACAGCTGACGGCTCGTCAAACGCAGGAGTTCCATAGATTGTTAAAGCCATATAGGTGAAATACGTCAAGAGTACAACGACCATAGACCATGCAGGGAGTAGGAGAGCCCATTCCCTATTCATTCATATCGTTATAGGTTCGACGACTGGATAGTATCCAGAAGCACACTCGCCTATTAGGATACCATTCAACACCAGCCCGGACAATGTATTCATCAGGAAGTAAAGCCCAAAAAACGTATACAACGAATAAGAAGGATGTTGAGGTCCAAGCAACGAATCCGTAGAATTCAGGTGCTCGAGAGCGGTATTCGTTCGGGGGATGAGAAATGGGTTCGGTCAAGATGGTCATGAAAAGCGGCACACAGCGGCAAATCAAGATCTAATCATCCAGTCTTATCATCCAGTGTCCACGACGGATTTCTTGCTTTGAAACTTATGCGGAGTACAATATGCCACACAGTCATATAAATCCGTAGAAAATTATTGCATGTACATAAATCGCATAAGGATGGCATTTTGGGGAGCGTGTAGCAGAGCAAAGAACAGGCGAACTAGTTGTCAAATACTGTACACGATTTCATCATTGATATATGAATTGTGTGGTCGTGCAAGCATGAGATACAACCTGGATACAACAGAGAGGCCTCCGAGTCCGACAATTACTTCAGAGGAATGCTAAGACAAAAGTATTGAACGTCAGGTACTTAAATCGAAGAAAGGAGAACGTACAATCGGGAAGCTAGAGAAGAAAAGAGAAATTATGGTGAGTCTCTATCAGGTAGACGAAAACAAATTATACTTACAGTGCGTTGCACCAATCTATAAGAGAGACGAGATGAGTTTCAGATGACCATGAAAAGCTCATATAATATCAACTTACACCGGGACGACCGTGCTTAACAGGTCTGTATGAGACAGAGAATTCACCAAGGTAGTGACCGGTCATCTCAGGTTTGATTTCCACAGAGTTGAAGACCTATGGGAGAAACGATATCGGATATCAATTGATCAACAATTATACTTCACAAAACACAAGTGAGGATACATACTTTTCCATTGTAAATACCCACAACACTCCCAATCATCTCTGGGACGACAATCATGTCGCGCAGATGGGTCTTGACAACAGCAGGCTTCTCATTTGGGGGTGCTTCCTTCTTGGCCTTGCGCAGCTTCTTAATGAGACCCATAGGACGGCGTTTAAGACCACGTTGGAAGCGACGACGAGCACGGGCGTGAACGAGTTCGACGAACTATCAGATGAAATATTTTGTTATATTGTTGGAACGTAAACGCATAGATTGACTACGCACGTCTTCGTTGTTCATATCCAGGAGCTTTTCGAGCTCAACACCACGGTACGAGAACGTCCTGAACGTTCTCTTTTTCTTCATCTCGGCAGCAACAGCGGGGTCGGTAACGTCAGCCTAAGCAGACAGCGATAAGTACATCTATTACAAGGTACATCCATCCCATCGGGTATAGCTGTCGGCGTACGCACCATCTTGGAGAATAAGTCTTGCTAGCGCTTGCGCTGTTTGTTTTCGTTCGTCCAGAAACAATGCGTGACTCTCCCTGTGACGGTCAAGCCACTGAGCATCACGTGTAATGCAGTTATACAGTTTTTACCCACGCCCTCGGGGGCGTTTCGATTGAATTTTCGAGCGTCAACGCAAGTCAATATTCGTCAAACCAGCGGTCAGAACCCATCGGTCTTCCTTTAGGATTAAAAGGTATGCTTTTCTGTGATTGCTGCTTCATTCCTCCTCATTTTGCTACCTCTGTAGTGATCTGTGGCTCCGCACCTATTAAACAAAAGCTTTCCCACTAGAAATTAAAAGTACGCATTTACTCGAAACTCGGCTATAACGTCGTTTCCTGATAGTTTTTTCCCTCTCCTATCGTGCTTCGATCACCTTTAGATGCGTTATATTGCAGCCTACCTACTCCTCCAACTCGGTGGAAACACCTCCCCATCTGCCGCGGACATCAAGAAAGTGCTTTCAGCTGTCGGAATTGAGTCTGAAGAGGAACGCCTCGACAAACTCCTTTCAGAACTTTCCGGCAAGGACATCAATACCCTAATCTCTGAGGGATCGTCCAAGCTTTCCTCTGTTCCATCTGGTGGAGGGGCTGCTGCCGCCAGTGCCGCCCCCGCTGCTGGTGGTGCTGCACCTGCTGCTGAGAAGGAGGAAGAGAAGAAGGAAGAGGAGAAGGTGCCGTTTATTTCTCCAATTGCCTAAGAACGATATGCTAATATTGGTCTATGCTTATAGGAAGAGTCCGACGACGACATGGGCTTCGGTCTCTTCGACTAAGCAGTATTCTATATCGATGTATCATCATTGCGCTGTATTCCGCTTTTCTGTCGCTTGCTGCTTTGTCGAATATATTGATACCAGTCAAATTGGTTGCTCGATGGTGTCTTCAAAAAAACCTTTCGATGTAGCGAACGTGGAGATCATTCTCAACAGTTGTTTTCCACCGGCTCATCTCAAATCGGTTGCGCACAAGTATGGGTCAATCGAATTGGTTGTTGGTGAAAGTTGTGAATCGTAATGTAATGGGCTGCGCAACTACACTTTGAAACAGTTCCCCGCTGGTGTTTGTTTTACAATGAATTATCTGCCTAACCGGCGTCTCCGTTGTCGAGGGGGTCGTTCATAGGCATCCAAGCCATAACGCATAATTCCTTCCATAGGAAAAGTGGACTGCCTGGACAGAATTGTCCATACTATTTTTCGCGTCCTGAATAGGATACATACGTCCATAAGTAGCCATAAAAAGTGGAAGGCGTGCAATGTCGGCGATAGGTTGCCAGATTAAGGCACTACTGCTTTGAAAGGGTTTTCCATCACCCGAACCTTCGATGTAAGTTCGGCTCGTATTCGGGTGGCCACAGTGTCGACCTGGTCGACCATGAGACCTGCAGCCTGAGCAGTGGTCGTAAACGTCGAAGATTAATTACGATAGAACAGAGGGGAGCAAATGGATCTACTCGTAACAGCGACCTATGTGACTATTATCACAGGTAGGCTGGAGCATCGACGGATGGTACGAACAGGGTACGAACCCAGAGCTATCACACTAGCGAAAAAAAGAAAAAGTAGAGGTAGAGGTAGAGGTAGAGGTAGAGGTTTAAGTAGAGTTTATTCCAAAAGTAGAGCCTTCGAGTACCTCTACTTATTCCTGTGAGTAAATGGTAGAGCCGATGAGCTCTACTTTCCCGGCACATGTTATCCTCTTCAGCTCCGGAGGCTGGAGGACGCGTCCACTTGTGATTATGACCAATATAGATATTCATTTTTGACCCATTGTTGATCTCTTTGTTGTTCATGAAGTCCTATTTTGGACAGTAGTTATGCCACTCGATGTTCTGCTTATATGAATAGTATCTCAAAAGTGTTAATCACCTATTTTTTGCCAATTCTTCATCTATTCTTAATGGCTCGTTATACTACCAGTTATCGTCGGAAGCCCTCCAATGTCCTACCCAGATTTGTTGAGTGCAACAGAATGGGATGCTCAAACCCTGTTAAGGTCTGGCTATGCACTGGCTCAAACTATGCTCATCACCGAGGACATTGGTACGAGTCAGTAAGTCCTAATCTTCTGTCTCTTTCGAAGGTGATAATTTTGACCTGTATATATAGTGCGTGAACAAGGATAACCCTCAAGACACTCATTTTGTATCCTGGAGGCCTGATCTTCCACCACAGCACATATCTGACCTGGTCCGGCATGAAGTTCGAGGTGTTTTGCCTAAGTTCAGCCCCAAAAAGCTTTCACAGATGTCAATGCATGATATCCTCACACAGACTACTGAAGCACATCCATTTTCGGCTTTCCCCCCATCTCCATCACGTATGTTAGACCGTCCCAATCAAGGAAGTTCACCAGTAAAACGATCCACTGCATCTATGGAGAATCTCTTTGATTTTAGTGAAGCAATGGAAATAGAGATTCCAGATCGGGTTTTTACTGAGGAAGAAGCTCGAGAGTTTGCTCGAAGTGTGGATCTAGCCGAAGAAGAGCAAGGAATAGAAGGTAGCGTTGTCCTCGGGATTCAACTACTACATGAACAATTGACCCAACATCTTTCTGGTCAGTCTTTCATTTCAAAGATGGTAAAACATCTCACGATTTTTGTATAGCTTCTGCAAATTCTAATATTTCCAATCCTGTGACAGCCGATAGCGCTCTTGTAACAGATGAACCTCCGAGCCAGGATACTTTGATAATATCAGCATCCTTGAGTACACAATCTCATTCAAAGGAACCTATTTCATCATTCCTCCACAATTCTAATGATTCCGATTTTCCACCTCCCCAACCCCCTTATCCTTCATCTACCACTCCACCATTTATCTGGAACCCCGGAAAGACTGAAACTCGTCTTGTGAATGGCTCCATGCGTGCATGTTGCCTTGGTCGTGGTTGCGCAGGGAAGGCCGGAGCTACAATCAATACAAACTGTAGTTTCAAGCTTTGCAAACCATGTTGTGGAAAATATCAGGCCGAGATGAATATCACCTGTAAAGAAGCATCTCACAAACCCCAGGCAAAGACTTCGACATCAGGTACAGATCAATTGCCTATGTATCTTCACACCCGGCCCCTTCTACCTCAGCATTACCAGCGGAGAGAGCAGGCCCAAATTGACCATCAGGAACGATCCACTATACTGGAAAATCGACAGTCATATGCAGATGATATCCGACAAAAAGTTTACATCAAATTCTGGGATGAGAATGGAACATCCGATATACTTACAACTGAATGTAAGACCTACCCATTCTTTTGTCTTGCTGATTGCTCTGTTGCTGTACGTGAGGCTATCGGAGCTACTGAAGGAAGGATGGTGAAGACTTTTGATCCTCGACTAAGGACTTGGATACTCCAGGAAAGCACTAACAAACAGCTTCTTCAGGATGGGGAAATACTGCTCATCCGTTCTCGTGTCTGTCAAAGTGGAGAAGGAATGAAAGAGGCTGAAGCGGAAGAGATAAATCGGAAAAATCCACATAAACGAAGATATGAACAAGATGTAGAATCTTATCTGATTCCGACCATGCCATCCACTCCTCGCCGCCATATATCTCACCCAGAACCTCTTGTCTCTTGCTCTCCCACCCCACAGCTCATTCAACCTCTTGCAACTACTTTCCCGAGGGATCTTTCAAACTCACCAGACCTCCCATCCATCATCAATACTCGACCTACTACTCCCACCCCTGCTCCTAAGAAGGTGAAAAGAACACATGTTGAAGAACCATCGATTCCCCTTGCAACTATTGACCTCACTGGATCAAATTCTCGACATGGGAATTGGCCTTGGAAATCCTATCAACGGATGCATGATGGTTTTGTCAAGTTGGCAGAGACAGGCGGAAAGCATAGTGATGTTTTCCCAGTAACCTCTAACAAGACGAGGTCAGTGGCTAGAGCTGCATGGGCTGCTGGATCGGTAGAGCTCAAAGCAAAGTTCCGAACAAACCCTGCAAGCACATGGAAGGAATATGTGAAGGAGGTACGCACTGCTCATGGCGGTTTCATTCCATCATATACCACTCAGAAGGTGAAAGTAGAAAAGGTGATTGCACCCACTTCGCCAAAGGTTAAACAGGAGGTTGCCGAACTGCAAATAGATGGAATCCTACAGCACGAAGTAATAGAAATAGAATCTGATTGAGACAAAGTATATGTATACATATTTGTATTGAAAAGTAGCTTAATGAAGGCGGTTTGAACTCTGAAGAACTCACAAAATCAATGAATAGTAGTCATAATATTAATATGAATCTACATAACGTGAGGATAAGAAGGGATATGATAGGGTGCTTGATTTGTTCTGCTAAGTTTAGCTACTAAGACTGCATTTCTGCGTTTGATCATTTCATCAAGAAAGAAGTTGTAATTATAGTAGAGCATTTCCCGGACTATTGCTTGATACCCTCCAATCCAGACATTTGCTTGTTCAGCTGCAGACGAGTTGAATACCCATTCTCCATCCTCCCCAACAAGTTCTGTCCACTGCGAAGGGTTGCAGTGCTTCTGGCAAAATTCGTCACTTTGCTTGTGCTTCGATTTGAAATGAAAGACGTCAACTGGAAGCATCGTACCACGGAAGTATTCATCATTTTGAGCTAACAAATGAGCTTGTAGTTGGCAGTTGTTGTCATAGAAAATGACATCGGGAAGGTCGTTTGGATTAGGGTAGACAGACTTTAGAAAATCCTAAACGAAGTTGACAATCCGAAATCCTATATGAATACTGACTCACCTTTACACCAGAAATGGCCTCCGCACCAAACATAGTTGCTCGTGCCGAAATGATACCACATGAACATACCACCAACTGCTCATTATGAGTTCGACGACGAGCGAACATTGCTTTTGAAGGTCGGTTACCATTATCCGATTTGTGCACTGGATCAATGGGATCATCGCCATCTATATCCAAAAGTTCTGCAAGATTTTCCTCCACAACAGAATCAAGGCCCAAAGAAGTCGACGGTTGTTGAACTCCGACACGTTGTAGCCGTTTGCGAAGAAGAAAAAAACCTTTCCCTTTCAAGTTTCGATACTCTTCATACTTGCGATGCGCTGTATCATTACATGTTCGATGACCAGAACGGGTAGGGCGATTGCAGTCTGTGATGATGCAGACATGTTGTTGCTCCATATGTGTTTTACACCAGTGATGACGATTGTTCTGCAGAGGTTCAGTGCAATTGTGGACTTTGCAGCAAGGGTGCCCCAAAGTTACACCATCCGTTACAACTGCACGAAGTGATCCTGCAATATCTTAGTACAAAATCAAGTATACGGACAAAAAACGCACGTAACCCCATATGCGAACAAGGATTTTCAGTCGGCACTAACTTTTCACAAGTTTCGCAAGCATGCAGACGCTCCGACTGACCCTCCGCAATCATATGATCATTGCGCTCACACATCAGCTCCTTCAACTGCGCATTCAACTCACCATCATCACGAACAGATAATATACAGCCCCGCTCCCTCCAATCCTTAAGTAGTGAGACTAACACGAAAGCTCTCCAAACTTGGGTGGGCGTGAGCATGAACTTGCTTTCACTTACATGCTTCTGGCCATAAGGAGACAGTGCGTGGTTGTATATCAAGGCACAATTTTGCGATGACACCCAGGCAAATAAGGTGCAAGCTGTGAAGAGTTCGGACAGACCAGATTGAATGAATGAGTGTTCTTCCAGATGAAGAATGCTCGGAACTGCCTCATCATAGTAGCGACGGACTTTGGCCTTGATTTTGACACTATAATTTGGATAGTAGCGAGTTTCGCATGATTCTGGTATAATACAGTGAAATCCTGGTTACAGAAATACAACAATTCGGAGACATACCTGTTCTGCAGCGCAGAGAAGTCGAATAAGCAGAGAAGGGCCCATCTTTTGTGAAAAAAGTTACAGGGACTCGAGATATATGGGTGAGTATCTTCTTGCAGTCCGGACACTTTGTGAATGGAGGATAGAACATGTAGTAGGCTTCAAAAATATTAGTGAAGTGATGATGATACTAAGAAAAGGATATTACCTAGCCGTTGATGATTTTTTGTAGTCCTCGAACCATGCTCATCAAACAACAAGCGTTCAGTGGTCTCGATGGATGGTTCTTCGAGCTCCCAGATGTATTGACGAAGGGAAGCCCACAATTTGAGTACAACGGCTCCATGGATATCTAATGCATTCGAAAGAAATGAGGTGACATGAGGAGGCAGGAATGGAGGAGGAGCAGAACTGTGCTGCATTCCAAGTGCAATCTCAGGCTTCAGGCGACGGGTGAAGCGGATGAAGCGGTCAAGATCGCTGAGAGACAGCGCAGTACATTCAACGGATGCAGAAAGAACAGAGAAGATCTGGGCTATTGAAGCCATGATGGTCAAAAGCGAGCGGGGAATTTCCAGAGCATCTATAAATCTTTCATTGCTACTGTAATCGGAGTACAATGGAAGCATTGACGACGGTCGGTGGCCACCGTCGTCAACAATGATCACTAATCAAATCAAGGGGATCCCGGCCGGATCCGAGGTCTACCTTTTGAGTAAGTAGAGCTAATTAGAGAACTACCTTTCTCAAAGCTCTACTTCAACAAAGTAGATTCAAACCACCTCTACTTCGGGCTCTACCTCTACCTCTACCTCTACCTTTAAGGTAGAGCTGTTTCTTCTAGTGTGAATGTCCTCTACGAACCAGGCAGAAACTCACCAACAGGTGCGCGCTATTTTGAGCGCTTGATTTCTGCATCTGCCAAGAGCTGCCAAGACATTTCCTGGGGAGCTCCGAGAGCGTAAACATCCTACAGCATCCTATTCGCAGACAAAAGCGTAACAAAACATTAAGTGACAACGATAAATAAAGTGTCGAAATTATTCTATGGAAGTATGAATCGTAAAGGCATTATTTGCTCGAAGGTATAATAAACTACATCGTCGAAGAAAAAAATGTTCAAAAAGTGTCGGGCCCGTCGAATAAGTTATTGAGTGGGATTTTGTGAACAATGTCCCCAGAGGGATGGAGATGAATGCGACTCCGAGTCTGAAAATGAATAAAAAATCTATGAAATTGTCATGACACATCCCGGACTGTTCAAACTGAAACAATAAGAACGACATCGGTTTGATGAGTACAAACAGCTTACTTTATGACCACTTTATGGGCCGATGATTAGCGGACTATGATCGCGGTTTCTCTGCAAGGATATGATAACTTGTTGTGATGAGTCGCATCCGATCCGCCTGGATGAACGCTTGACCATCCTGCGTTAAGCGAAGCATAAGGGTTTTGAAATGGGGAGGAAGCACGCGAAGCTTGACGAGTGCAAGTATAAGCGACTGTAATCGGCGGAAATATCCGTCTGCGCGTTCAATGAGCGGCGCCTGCAGACCATCGATACTGGCGTTGTCACTCTTGAGCACATGGAATCCGGCCTCCTCCAACGCTGTATGAAACTTTTCCACGGTGGGAGTACCAACAGCGCCGATCAGGGGTTTGATTCTACGCATGAGCTCAGCATGCTCCGAATTCCCGGGATCATAGGCAGGTAAACTGACCCAGTCCAGCAGAGAAAGCTTGGCTCCCGGTTTCAGGACGCGGTAGATTTCACGGAATGTGGCGGGAAGGTCTTTGCACAGACTTAAAGCCTGGATTTGATAAAACGCGTCAAAGCTCTCGGTTTCGAGCTTGAGGGGCAGGACATTGAAATCTTGTTGAATGAACTCCAAAGGCAACTTTCGCTTTGCGGCGAACGTGCGCGCGCTGGCAAGCTGGTCGGCATCGAGATTGAGACCGGTAACATGGGCACCAGTGTATTTGGACATGTGGGCAGCGACGCGACCTCGGCCACATCCGAGGTCAAGAACGTGGTCCCCGGACTTGAGTTCAATTTCCCGTGCAACAAACTCCTCATAAAGAAGCTGATTGTCGAGAATGCCGGCATGAATGTTCATCACAGGAGGAATATACATCTTCTCAACCTCTCCTAAAGCACAAAGATGATTCAACACACTGTAGTAGCTGACGAGACAATCGTGCACCGCGGTAGGATAGTCGGGGCCGAGAGTGGTAATCATCTGCGCCTCATTCTCCCAATCTAGCCCATAGATAACATAAGAATTCATGAAGTCGTCCATTTGCTTCGGGGTCAAATTTTTCAACACGCGATAAGAGTTACGCATCGTTTTTAAGCGTCCGGTAGAGGCGGATCGGTCGACGTCGACGGACGAAGTCCCCTTGACCTTGACAGTCTTTTGTTTTGTCTCAGCAATACTATCCGAGCTATCAGTACGGTCTGAACTGCCACGGCTAGGAGCAGTGGCAGAGGCTTTTGAGGGAGTGGGGACAGGAACGGCAGTCTGAATGGCCACAGGGGATGAACGCGTAGACATGTTTACAAATCCGCGTCTTTTGGGGAATGGCCCTGGTGAAATGTGAGCAATGGCAATGAGGAGGGGGAAGAATCAAGGAAATCAACGTACAAAGTTGACAAGAAGGAAGGAAGTAAACACAGTGTCTAGAAACGGGGTTTTATACTGGTGAACACATCAAGAACCCTTTATAATAAAGCTGAGTAATCGAAAATCAACCCATATTACGGACCGTACGTATGACTCGCCCAAATCTTCGGAGCCCTTTCGGATGTTTTGCAACCTAAATAATTCATCCTCCAAGGACAAATTTTTGAACTGGTCCGGCTTCCAAGTATGACCGAAATGGTACTGTTGGGTATAATTCTACCGGGGCTCAGCGCTCAATCGGGTCAAATTTGAGGCTACCGGACTCGTAACGCCCAATATTGGTACCCACTATAAGACCGAACAATAACCAAACGGCCCTCAAAGATACAACAAAAACTGATTGAAGCTGCCGGGACGAATACGTCGCCATCAGCGGATGATCATATGTGCATGTGGACATCAACTGATATACATTATAAGTAGCGCGCCACGGGCACTCAGCTAATGGATGTTGATAGAGCATGAAAGCATACATTGTTGCACGTAGGAAGAACATGACAAGAGTGATAAACATGAACGCAATATAATTTGGACACAGTCGACAGCTACCCAACAGACAGACGACCAGATCACCTGTATCTGCGAAGAGACAAGGTGTTGTGCTTCTTCCATGTCGACCGAGCGGGAGTGTGATTGTAACGATGGCCCTTGCCCAAACCACGGTTCTATGAATATTGTTCAAGATCAGAAATTTCTCAAGTGTAGAATACACCAATACCTTCTTGCCAATTGCTGTGAGACCACGAGCCTCGCGACGCTTATGTACAGGGTTCACAATCCAGTTGATACGTGCGTCACGACGGATCTGTGAAAAAGTAGAAGTTAAGATTGGATGTCAAATGAGATGCTGATATTTAACGCACGGCCTTGTGGTTCGGATCGACGAGTATAACCTCGTAGTATTTGTACACACCGTCCTGGTTGATCCAGTACGAGTTTAACACACGAAGATTTCCGCAACGACGACCGACACGCTCCTCGGCAGTGCTCCTCAAGCCACGCTGGTACTTGAGGTGGTTGACACCCTGTCGGACGGGTTTACCGTATGTTGCACCTATGAGTAAGACAGCATAAGCTGCCACCTATTTTCTAGATACCTAGAACACACACCCTTAGGGACGGGCTTTTTCCTGTTTCCCCTACGGACTCGGATACGATAGACAACGTATCCCTGTTTGGCCTTGTATCCAAGACGGCGAGCTTTGTCAGGGCGGGAAGGACGAGATGCACGATGGATAACATTGAGTTGACGGTATTCCCAGCACCTAACAAACGCACTCTAAGATCTATCCTATCCAACTTATTGCCACCAAGACTCACCGTACTCTGAAAAGGAATCGTAAAACATCCGACTGTTTCTTTTTGTACAGCTCCGTCACGTATTTGTAGCCTCCCATCTTGCGGATGCTACGTCAAAGAGTAAGGAAAATATACGAAGACAATCCGCACGACGACCTCACCTTTTTTTGCTTGCGACCAATCAATAACTTGATGCTAAGGCCTTTCCGAATGAAAGCACTGCCACATACTATACAGCTGTCCCACAGTCATGCGACTGTTATTCCGCTGTCACGTATGCCACTGTGACTCGTGACGCATCGCGTTAAATCGCGTTTCTAAACTTCACGCACGCTTATTCTCTTCATGAACTATGTATGAAACGGTTAGCCAGACTACGTCTTCGTATCATCCTATCTATATCGATTAATTCTCGGTTCTGACAGATGTTACGTCGCACAGAGGCATACGAAAAATCAGAAGATTGTTGCTCGTTTTTGCTGTTGGCGATGCCCACTTTTGTAATAGTCCGGTCGATGCAACAAGTCAGGGCCCTTCGTGAGAATACCCAAGCGAACAACGGTCCCTCCAGATTTCTCCGACGCGTACCATTTGACCAATTCCATTAATCCTCCTGCGGCACAGAGCTCTAGGTACGCTTCATGGTTCGATGATAAACTGCGTAAATCGGCCCGCATCACAATAGCTCCCCACACAGAAACGTTGGTGAAAGTCAATTTCGACCTACTTGGTGAGGTACCGTCTTGTGCCAAGTCCGTCCAGCGAGGCTTCGAGAGAAGGACTGCGACTCAGCCGAAGAGAATATCTTCATTGCATTATAATATTTGGCCCTACATCGTCACCAAGACCAAGTGAACCATGTCGATTGGTTGCTACAAACTCTGAAAGAAGCAATGCTCATGACGTTGCCAAAGTTTCACGATTCTCGAAGGTTGAAGCTTCAAGGCGCTAGTAAATTGCGGTACCCATGAAACGAATAATGATAGTGGCCTTTAAGCGGCGTACACGAAGAATCCATGGTTTCTAAACGGTCTGCGCCGCCCTTCTGACTGGCGTTTAAAGTTTCCGAATTTCCATTCAGGATCCTTGAATCCAACTCGGAATGAACTTCTATTCGGCACTAGATTATTGGGAGTCTTTTACGTCGTATAAAGAATGCCAGAGATATTGGTCTAGCTTCTCTCCAGCTGCTCACAGAGTCCCACACGGTTTGTGCTATGGCCTCTGCAACTTATTCGGACGAGAAATACCCTCATCAGATGAAAGTCAACATCTACAACATCAATGACAACGCTATTACAACTCCCCTTTCTGTAGCCGCAAGACCCAATGCTCGCACAAAAACTTTTCTGAGGCTCCTCACCGTCGCCGGACTTGCCGTGGCATGCACTATCGCATTCATTCATGGCTTTACCAAGGGTTCGATGCCTCCAATGGAGGATGGGTTTTATCCCAACGTCGTCCTCAAAGAGCCAGGCGAGTTTACTACGATGGAGCGCAACCCCGCTTATCTAGTTGAAGCTCAGAACGGTGTCGTGGCGACAGAGAATAAACGCTGCTCTGATATGGGTGTCATCGCCCTTCGTAAAGGTGGTTCAGCGGTTGACGCTGCAATCACGGCAACACTTTGCATTGGAGTAGTGAACTCATTTTCGTAAGTCGTCGTCGTCCTCTTTGCTTTCGCAGTCAGTAAGTTGTAATTTCACCCATCTTATCAGGTCTGGTATAGGCGGTGGAGGTTCGTGCCCACCAAAAATCTGTTATCTCTCTACTTCAATTAAAGATTTTATCACTTAACATAGGTTTCATGACCATCCGCGAGCCTCCCGCGCGCCGTGGCGACAAATCTAAGGTCTTCACCATTGATTTCCGCGGAATGGCACCTGCTGCCACGACCCCGACCATGTTCGACAATGGAAAGAGAAACTTGTCTGAATCTCAAGGTTTATCGATGACTATCCCTGGCGAACTTGCTGGCCTCCAAATGGCTCATAACGAATGGGGAGCAATGGCTTGGAGAGACCTCGTTGTCCCCAATGCGGAACTAGCTATGGGCTGGACGGTTGATAAAGAACTCGCGAGACGTATACAAGTTTGTATTCATTTATTTTTGAGGAGTCTGAAGGGTTTCTGATTCATTTTTCGAATCTCAAGTGGTTTCCAGACCTCTTCCTCAATGATCCGGATTTCAGAGAAATTTTTGCTCCGAATGGCACTCTTCTAAAAGAAGGCGATCCCATAGAACGAAATAATTACGCTTTCACGCTTTTGGAGGTTGCCAAGGGAGGAGCTGACGCATTCTATAATGGCGTGAGTCCTTTTCTTCTGCCGCTTGATATTGTCTGTTGAGATCTCGCCCATCAGACCTCAATCTCTGAGGCTCTCGTAGCCAAGGTAAATGAAACAGGTGGACACGCAACTGTGGAAGACTTTAAGAACTATCGACCACTTATGTATCGCTCGTTGGAAGGGTCGTACCGCGGCAAGAAGCTTTACACTGCTCGTGCGCCATCTTCTGGGCCAGGTCGGTTATCGGATCCCACTATGAAGGTCAAAGACTTGTTTATATTTCCTTTTGCAGTCCTCCTTCACATGTTGAACCTAATGGAAGGATACAACTTTACCCGCAGAAGTGGCTTGGATACTCATCGAATGGTCGAAGCTATGAAATTCGGCAATGCAGAAAAGTAAGTCCCTCCCTCCTGACATTTCTTTCTAAATTCAACTCGTTGTTAGATCTAGAATGAGCGATCCCAAATACCGCTACGACACCACCCTCATCGATGAGATCCACACTAAACAATTTGCGGACGAGATTCGGGAGCGCATCAACGATGTAAATATCCTAATTGTTCTGCTATCAAATGACAATCAATCTACACTTTATATCCTCTGTATGTAGCAACGAACTCAGCCTGCAGAGTATTACCGCCCTCTATACACATTGAGGCCAGATCCTGGTACAGTAAGTCCACGCGAAGGTTGTTTGATTCGGCGGCTGACTCACCAATATCAAGAGCCACGTCTCTGTCATCGACAGTACGGGTATGATGGTCTCTGTGACTTCGACGGTCAACTGGTGAGAAAATTGGTCTAAAATCTTCTGTGATGAAGATAACTGAATAATCAATCGACATACGTAGGTACTGGGGCGCACAAATCCTTGACCCTGTCACTGGGATAGTGATAAATAATCAGGTTGGTCTTTTGATCTCACTATCTTTGCTGTGCTCATATGTTGTTTTTGACTTGATTTAAGATGAACGATTTCAGTACTTTCAACGAGACAAACATCTTCGGAGAATGTAAAGAATACAACCTCTCTTGCCTATACCCTCTGATCTGACCATATTTTCCAGTCCCTGCCCGATGTGAGCACGTAGCACGACCTCTTGGATGCTCTCGGAATTGATCCTCCCTGTTCTGATTGTAGGGAACTTGCCTCAACCTGGAAAACGTCCACTATCCTCGATCTGTCCAACCATCGTTGAGAACGCAGATGGTAAGACTATGTTTAACCACCTTTTCCTGGCTTGAATTAAATGATCTTGATTTTTAGGCTCCCCTTACATTGCCATTGGTGCCTCAGGAGGACCTACAATCTTCCCGGCAGTGTTCCAAACTCTCATCAACATTATTGACTACCATTTGGACCCTAGCGAGGCTATTGAATTCGGGCGCCTTCATAACCAGTTGAGACCGGAATTAACGATTGCGGACGAGACGTATCGTGCAGACATCTTAGATGTTCTAACGAGGAAGAGGCATCACATCGAAAGTTAGTATATACTTCACTAGGAGCCATACTATGAACGACGCGCGGACACCGTTTGATTGAATATTCTGTAGTTGCGGGCATCTACCGAAATGGGTCTTCGTGTGTGCAGGCGGTAATGCGCGATCCGGATAGCGGGCTTCTCCTTGGTGAGTAAATATAGTAACATTTGTAGCGGGTCATCAGCTGACTACCGTGGAAATCGACTTCCAGGTGCGAGCGACTCCCGCAAAAATGGTATCGCGGCTGGGTACTGAGAGGCATGTTGCAAGCATAGGTTTTAAAAAGAATCTCAATGTCAATAAGGAATCCTTTCTTCACGAGGACTCGGAGTTACTAAGTCTCCCGAACCTCTTTGAATAGATTGTGATTTAAACAAACCTCCGTGTCCAAGGATCGTGATCTACCATGATGAGCATCGGGCTAGCGCGTCTGATACACACTTATTCTGTTGTTAGAGAAATACTAATATCGTAACCCAAAAGACTAGAAAGGTAAAGTCTAGTCATAATTGGCGGAGGACAGAGGACATCTGTCCAGAACTCCACAGAATAGACAAACACTAAATGGCCGATGTATACCCATCATGATTTGTGACGAAACGAACGTCCAAGAGGGCTGTCAACATGAGCATAGTCGAAAATTTATCACATTGCCCTTTTCAAACTTTCCCTGGTTGAAGTGCAGTTTTCTTAAAGATGTCAATGTTCAAACTCCCAAAGAAGACGCTCATCTTTGCAGAACTTTTATCTTCCTTTCCCGACCTTGAAGCTCGAAGCGTCGCCATTTCCGTCATGTTTCCAATACTGCCCAGTGCTGGACCTTGGGATCCTACTTATTCGATGTCGTTATTGTACTACTACGGATGCCGGATGAACAGCTCATGAAGCCCAAACAAATGAAACCTGATTGTGCTCACCAGGTGCTCACTTACAATTCCTTCTTGAAGCCTGAAGGAAGGTGGATAGTATGGGCAACTACTCGGTATGTACAAAGCCCCGTGGCAGCGATATGGACAGTCAGTCAAAAAAAATTTGGTTTCATTCTGATGTGTATAACTGCTAATGGAGTTTCCGAGCAGGCTTTGAGAGATTGGGACGGATAGGGATGGTTGCGCAAAATTAACGAATCCAAAATAAGTATGATCTGCACCCTTTCACCATTTGAGCTGTAACTCAATCCTGTCAAATCAGCCCGGCAAACTTTTGAAGGGTCCTGGATGTCACTTCGCCTGGTTTGGGATAAAAACAGTTTTCTATCTATATGACCGCCTCAGATTCCTCACTGTGGTTGTGCAGCATGGCCCCTCCGTTACACTACATGGATGAGAAACGCCCCCAATCTCTTCCCCATGCTCTGGAATTTGACCGCTGCGATGTCAATGATCATACCCTTTCTCTTCCTCCCATTTCCATTCCTCAGCGCGATTCTGGCAAGAATCGCTTTCTGAAGCTTCTTGCGGTCGCTGGACTGGCTGTTGCGTGTACTTTTTTGATACTCACCTGCCCCAAAACTGCCAAGAGTGCGATGGAATATCATCCTCGCGTCATTCTCAAAGAGCCGCACAACATGACTATTTTGGACCATAATTCTCCACGTAATCCTGCATATCTGATCGAAGCCCAGCATGGTGTCGTGGCTACAGAGAACAAACGATGCTCAGAAATGGGTGTTGATATGCTTCGTAAAGGTGGTTCAGCAGTAGATGCTGCTATCGCTGCAACTCTGTGTATCGGAGTTGTCAACTCCTTCTCGTGAGTCTTATTTGTGCATTTTCTACCCAAACTCAATCCTTCCCTTGTAGAGCAGGTATTGGTGGAGGAGGTTTGTATCTAGTATTTCATTTGACTGCTTTACTCGACTCAACCATTGATCATTCATAGGTTACATGACCGTGCGTATACCCCCTAAAAATCCAGGCGAAAGATCTAAAGCCTACACGATTGACTTCCGGGGGATGGCTCCGAGCGCTACTACCCCGACAATGTTCGACAACGGAAAGATAGCATTATCTGCGTCTGGAGGTTTGGCAATGTTGATCCCCGGCGAGCTCGCAGGGCTTCAAATGGCTCATGACGAATGGGGAGCCATGACTTGGAAAGAAGTTGTCGTGCCCAATGCTGAACTTGCTATGGGATGGACAGTCGACAAGGAGCTTGCAAGGCGTATCCAGGTCTGTAATCTCTGAACCAGAGGTGCACATATTGATTTTGTATCTTGCAGTGGTTCCCAGACCTGTTCACCAACGACCCGGATTTCAGAGAAATATTTGCACCAAATGGAACCCTCCTAAAAGAGGGCGACATAATCGAGCGAAATAATTATGCTCGCACGCTTCTGGAGGTTGCGGAAGGAGGCGCTGAGGTTTTTTATAACGGCGTAAGTTCTCCTTCTAGTTCTGTGTCCTAGTGGTCTAATATTGTGTTGGTGCAGAGCTATATCACGAAAGCTCTTGTCTCCAAGGTGAATGCTACCGGTGGACATGCGACCATTCAAGATTTTCTGGACTACCGGCCCCTTTTATATCGTTCACTAGAAGGGTCCTATCGTGGCAAGAAGTTGTATACCCCTCGCGCTCCTTCTGCTGGACCTGGTAGATCTCGGTCTCTCATATAAGAGATGTCTCTGATTCCTGCTCTTATTTAGTCCTCCTACACATGTTGAACCTGATGGAAGGCTACAACTTCACTCGTAGGAACGGTCTGGACACCCATCGAATGGTTGAAGCCATGAAGTTCGGGAATGCGGAAAAGTGAATTGTTTACATTTTTTTGGTCTGAGGTAAAATCACTGACTATATGCTGCGAATTACCACCCCCACAGATCTAGAATGAGCGACCCCAGATACCGTTATGACACCACCCTCATTGATGAGATCCATACCAAGCAGTTTGCGGACGAGATTCGGGACCGTCTCGACGATGTATGCAAGGATTATGGATTGTCCTTGCTGTGACTGATGTTCATCCCTAGCATCGAACCCAACCTGCAGAGTACTACCGTCCTCTTTACACATTGAAACCTGACCATGGTACCGTAAGCATGTCCTTTGTCGATTGTGTACCTCTTGGTAATTGGTTCGCTGATTATTTCATCCTCTTAGAGCCATGTATCCGTTGTTGACGAAGAGGGTATGATGGTCTCCGTGACTTCGTCGGTCAACTGGTACGAATTCATACAATGAATTGAATGAGTCGCTGACCGAGTTTACTGACCCATAGGTTCTGGGGCGCACAAGTTCTTGACCCTGTTAGTGGGATAGTGCTCAATAACCACGTTTGTACCAGATTTCTCGTATCAGCTCGGTCATCTTACATCCGCATCAATATAGATGAATGATTTTAGTACCTTCAATGAAACTAACATCTTCGGAGAATGTAAGTGCACTCATCGTTACTCATTGAGAAGATTTTCTAAAGTTTAATTATGTTCTGTAGTCCCTGCTCGATGTAAGTACAGACATTTTATAATATTCAACAGAGCCAGAACTCATGTTTCAATCTAGGGAACTTACCACAACCCGGAAAACGTCCCCTATCCTCAATGTGTCCCACCATTGTCGAGAAGGAAGATGGTGAGCAATGTCCAGATCTCAATATATATTCTCTTACTCTCAATTTTTAATATACTAGGCTCTCCTTACATTGCAATTGGCGCATCTGGAGGACCTACCATTTTCCCTGCTGTATTCCAAACTCTCATCAACATTATTGACTACGGTTTGGATCCTAGTGAGGCTATTGAATTCGGGCGACTTCATAACCAGTTGAAGCCCGAAGGAACATTCGCGGATGAGACGTACCGTGCGGATATTTTGGAGGCGTTGTCGAGACAAAGACATAGAATTCAAGGTTATTATGTGGTGCTCAACTCGATTTTGAGCTAGGTCCTGACCCCTTAAATTCTTTTCTTCTCGATTTAGTATTGGACGTTTACCGCAATGGATCGTCGTGCGTGCAGGCTGTAATGCGCGACTCTGAGAGCGGTCTCCTCCTTGGTGAGTCCCCTTGCTCCAAAATATTTGGCGAAACGAACTTTGTAACCCCTACGTTTCAGGCGCCAGTGATTCTCGAAAGAATGGTATTGCTGCTGGATATTGAGGGGGCCGAAGATATCTTGTAATGTGCATTGTGTTCGTTTTAAACGTTTGTCTGTTTCCGGATATGCTACTTATTTATGTAGAACTAATGAGCTCTTCGATTGTGAAGGGTATCATATATCGAGTTAGATGTTCAGCCACGATGAGATGTGTCTGGACAACCAAACAATTAGCATAATCCATCCGATAGTGTACTAGCTGACATGCATACGCAAGCTCTAGATCTAATCATCATCATCATCCGCATCCGAGTCTGAGCCATTGTCAGATTTATGAACCTCCTTCTGAAGACCCTCTATCTCAACACCCGCACCCGCCTCTTCTTCATCACCACCACCCTTTTCTTCCCTCTTCTTTCTCATCTTCGCAATCACCTTATCCGCCCTGTTAAACATCCCACCCGTCGGTGTTCCACAAGCCAGGCATTTCGGTGTCTTTGCAAACCGTTTGATAGCACATGCGGAGCAAAAGAAATGCCCACATTTTGTGACGATGGGATCTGTGTAGGGCTTTCGACAAATTAAGCATGCGAAAGGGATATCTTCGTCGTCGTCGTCGGAGTCATCGCTGTCTTCATCCCCGACTTGTTTTCGAGGAGTATCTGCGAGCTTGTCTAGTTGCCAGCCGGCGAGATCTGGTGTAGGAAGATTTGGGTTGGTGGTTGATGTGGGGAAGAAGGGAACGAACTCACAGGTTCCTCGATCGTGAAGGAATTTACAGGTATCTCCAAAACCACAATATCCGGTTTCTGAGAAAGAGATATCAGATACAGATGTGCCATAAGTAGTTAATGACATACATACCTTTATAGTCTTTACAAACGTCCGGCTGATAATCCACAATAGTGACTGTTCGAATTGTACTACTCGTATTCCGCTGAGGTCCAACTCGCATTGCTTTCGGGACTTCCGAACTTTTCTTTATATGCGACTTGTATGCTTTCTGCCCTTTATACAGTCCATCATCCGGCCCACCATATTCATCCTCATCGTCCTTTGCGTCTGCTTTACGTCTTTTCGCCAGCAATTCCTCAGCTTCATCACCAGCTAAGATATCTAGAGCTGCATGCATATGGGAACCTGCTGATGTCCATTTCACATCTGGACCATCCTTCTCCGGTGCATCAAGATCATCGTGGTCTCTTTCTGTGAGTTTACGTTTGGTGCCGGCACTGAGAAGGTTGGATGTGGTTTTTTTGGTTGGTAAGACTACTTCGGATTTTGAGGAGGAAGAGGAAGAAGGTAGGGTTGAGTGAGCAGTTGAGGAGGAGGGAGAAGTCGAGCGTTTACGGCTAGTGGTAGGACGCGAACCCTTCTTCTTGAAGAATGGCACTTTCACTTCGCTAGATGACATGGTGGATGGATTAAGAATATATATAAGCGCCCAGATTCATTCACGGCTTATTCAGCCAACAATCAGTCATATGCGGTGCCGGCTTTCTGCGCTCAGCTCTCTCTTCGGAATTCCAGTCAAAATGTTGGTAAGTTATGCAAAATCACTGTATGTCTGTAGCTGGCGGTCGCTTACTTAGAAGCGGGCTTGCTGGTCATTTTAAGAACCGATATGTTCATGCATCAATCTGTATATCAACATAATCCAACTTGATTTCAATCTCGAGCATCGCCTACACATCCGGTCCTTCAAGCTTAAGGAGCACCTTCTGGCTGAACTTGCCCTCTGCCATTCTATGAAACACATCGCGTATCTTCTCGGTAGCTTCCTTATCCGACTCTTGTGCACCGATAGTTATGATTTGATGTCGTGGGGCTTGAATCTACCAGGGGACATTCATTCAGAATTCATGTTAGACCGAGTTGTATCAATGACACATACCTTTCCCTCTTTCATCATCCCCGCCAATTTGGAAATCAACTCTTCTTTCTCTGTTCTCGAATGTGTTTTCGACCAGTTCGTTTGCCAGAATCCGTGAGAAGTGAGGTTTTTGAAGATATGGAGGGAGGTTGGTAGGGACAAGGGTTTCTTCGACATGGCGCCATAGGAAACTAGGTGTGCGTCTTGACCAAGAAGCTTGGCCATGCTCGTGGTGGGTTCGCCGCCGACGCAGTTAAGGGCTAGCCGGATATCCTGGGTATGGTTGGTTGAAAGGTGTTCGAGAAGAAGGGAGAGTTATTTGAAGTGTCGTACCTTGCCACCAGTCCATTCTTTGACCTTGCCGCGTAGAGACTTGTCGTTGAGATCGTCGTAGGTTAAGACCTTGGTTGCCCCCAGACTTTCAAGATGCTCGACAAGAGAGCGCAAGCTAGAGTCGTCTCTGTGGAAATTCTGAGTCAAAATGGCTAGATGCGAGGATGATGATTGTGTACCGAGAACGGACGAAATTCAAGGTGTTAAGACCCCTCTCTTTAGCAATTTGTAGGACAAGCTGGCCGACCTAAATACTCCGTAGCTAGGTGAATGCACGATTTAATGGATAGACACCATTAAGACCGACCGCACTATTTGCCCCGTTTTGGATGACCCAGTCCCCTGCCTGAAGTTTGACGAAACCATCGAGCATGTTGTATGCGGTTGTGGGATTTACCTGGAAGGATAACGGTATATTAGGCATGAAATGTTGCAATATGGAATACATACGGTCATGGTTGCGCCATGGGCTTCCGTTAATCCAGTAGCCGGAAGTTTAATCACGCTATTGAAAGGAACATTACGGCTCGTCGACCATGTACCCAATTGCGGTCGGTCCATTACTACCCAATCATCTTTTTTCAAACCTTTAACACCTTCCCCGACTTCCACTACCTGTGCCAATCCTTCGTTGCCTCCAACAAAGACTGGTTCATCTTTACTTCCCAGACCCGAGGCAGCAAGATTGGACGTATGAGTGGGCTTGGAAGGGTAGACCCCTTCTATAGTATTCACGTCGGCTGGATTGATAGGCGACAAGAGAAATTTGAGATTCACAGTGCTTGGCGGAGGTGAAGGCAGTTTGGGGTATGTGAAAGCAGTGAGAACTTGCGTAGGATCACCATTTTGGGTATATGCTATACAGCGGTTGGATATAACTGAGGAAGAAGAGAAAGAACGAGTTGCAGACCGAATGATTGTTTGGGAAAACATGGCCCAAGAATTATGACGTCAACGCTGAGATTCAACGAGCGTCTATTTATGTATTGTTTATTGTTTGTTATTGCTTGGTTGACTCACTCTTCACCACCACGAGCGACACCTCCAATGTCCAACAGGGACATTCCGGAACCCATAAAATTCTTCCGGTACGCGTCTTTCTGCTACGCCCTCAAGCTCTCCCAGCTGATTTAGATTTATCTTAGTTTTGCGGAACTGGTTCAAGAAATCGCGAAGAAAAGCAAAGCGAAATCCATTGCTGAGCGCAAGGCAGCTGGCAAAGATCAAGCAAAGACTTGGTTCCCTGCACTCAGCGTATTCAAAGCATACTCTCTGAATCTGCAGGCTGGACCTCTTCCACCGGGCACCACATCAATACTATTTCGTTTCTTGTTTCCCGAGGAGGACCACAAGCGAAAGTTCGGTTTGAGGGATAAGAGTCTTGTCCGTGACATCGCGGATAGCCTCTGTGTAACTGAAGACGCGCTCTGCGAACAGTGCGACTTTGCGGGATGTCCAGGGGATCATGTTTATGAATTCCTCCTTCAAAGATATTCTGTGAGTGTTATTGCGTTTAATTGCTTTGTATGCTAATCAATAGACTCTAATAGCCCGACAAGGATTATCGCGGAAATCTCGACATCGTCGAAGTCAATGAACTTTTGAATCAGCTAGCTTCAACATCACCTTGGTCTCACGTGGATTATTCGAAGAAAACCCTCAGTCGTAATTCTACTAAATCCCTTCTGACAAGGAAGGACATCTTGAAAACTCTCTATCGACAAATGGCTCCCTATGAGGCTGCTGTTCTGACCCAAATCATTTTGAAAGATCTACGTGGACTACTTTACCCACAAATTGAAAGGGATCCTACTGCTGCTTTGAAAGATTATAATACTAAAGCAGTGAAAATCTTGACTAAGGAAAACGCCATGTGGGCTTGGGATCCATCGAATAGTATGAATAGGTCGTATCGCGCTAGATGGGATTTGGACGTTGCAGCCAAAGCATTTGAGAGTGGTCAGGAGGTGGGACCAAGGATCGGGACTCAAATTGGGGTATGTCTCCCCATTAAATTGGCTCTCTCGCATCCTTTCTGAAACCTATATCGCTCCGGCTATCCTTTTACTAGGTTCCAAAGTCCCAGAAAGGTCGTAGCTGCAAGCATGCCCTTTCATTCTTCTCAGACTTTTCGCAAGTGTGGGCAGAGACCAAATATGATGGAGAACGGGCACAGATACATGTTCAAGTCATACACGGGCAAAAACCTCAAATCACAATATTCAGCAAAAGCAAGAGGGATTCAACAAGCGATCGTCGAGCTATACATGCCGTAATTCTGGATTCTCTTGGGTTGAATGGTCGTCCGGGAGTTGAGCCCCGAATCAAGAGGAGTGTGGTGTTGGATGCGGAAATGGTTCCGTGTGAGGGGACACGGATTTTGGGTAAAGCTTTATGACTTTCTCGGGTGTACTAGCGAATCTGATTCGTGAATGCGACAGAATTTTGGAGAATACGAAGGTTGATCCGCGAAACTGCAGTAGGCGTCCGAGGCAGAGGAAGAGATAGAGGAAGTCGAAGATGGACAGGGGATAACGATACTCAAGAGGAAGAAGAGGAAGATCAATCGTGAGTGGACAGGTAGTTCCTGGAATCCTCTTACGTGGTGTCCCATTGAATTTATCATAGAGATGAATGTGTGTCCGAATCATCACTCTTGTCAAACACACAAGGCCAACATCTTGGCCTTGTCTTCTTCGATATCATGTATCTTGATGATGAGTCTTTACTCCAAACACCTTACAACCTCCGGCGTGAAAAACTCGAAGAGCTGATCATCAAAGAGCCTGGAAAGGCTATGTTGGCAGATAGATGGCTCATCAATCTCGATGAACCTTCTCAAAACTCTCCGAGTGATTGGAGTTTCGACGGCAACTATACCGCTGATGACGACGAAGAAATGGCCTATCACCGTGAAGAAACCGCTGATGAAGATGTGAACGGGGGAGGTACTGCAAGACGAACTTTGCATGATGTATTTGCTCGGCGTATAGCGGTCGGAGAGGAAGGATTGGTACTCAAGGCAGCGGATTCCGAATATAACGAAGCGAAAAAACCTTGGGTCAAGTTGAAAAAGGATTATATTGAAGGTCTTGGGGATACTGTTGATCTAGTTCTTTTGGGTGCTGCATGCGTTCCTGATCGTGCGCTGGAACTTAGAGGTACAAGATCTGCTTTCACTATGAGTCTGAATCTGACGTTTTCTATCTTTTTTTCTATTTTCCACAGTTCCTCCTACTACTTTGACTACGTTCTACATCGGGGCACAGACTAATAAAGAAGAAACTGCGAATAACGTGGGTTACGTTTGCATCTTCTATCTATCTTACGAGTCGGATTATTCAACTAACAATTCGAATTGAACCATGATAGTCCGAAGCGTTACCCCACTTTTACATCTATTTTACTGCTGCGTATGGGCTTTCCCGAGTAGAGTTGGAAAGGCTCAATTTTTTGTTGAAGAATGATGATCCCATTCGATATACCACGAAACAATTGGTTCGTATTTCCTTTACATAACCTCCAAAATCAATGATCGACTCGAATTTCGTTCTATATTCTATGTTCTCTATAGCCACGGGATGGACTGGAATACACGTATACGATGTACGACAAACTAGCTCGACCAGAACTCATGTTACGAAAACCGATCGCAGTTGAATTATATGGGGATAGGTTCACTGTTCCAGAGGGAAGCAAGGTCGGTACCAATGTCTCATTTCGCATACATTCAAAACCTATTGAATCGTGCAATTGCATAGCAATACGAATTACGCTGGCCTCGAATTACCAAATATTTTCGTCGACATGAACGTTCGTGGTCAGATTGCATGTCGTTACAAGAGCTCCGGAAGCAAGCGCGGGAGGCGATGGGTCGTGTTGCGGCTGCAGAGGCTGCCCGTAAGGATGCGGAAACGACATTCATACACCCTAATGCACGAAATGGAAGGAATGCATTCGTCAATGTCAATCATAGGCCTGAGGGTATGCGTAAGCGGGTAGAGATGTGGAGAACGAGAGTTGCTGCAGCGGATAGACCTAGGAAGAACAAGGGAAGTGGGGAGAAGTCCTCAGGTTCATTGGTGAAACAAAGGAAACGGGAACGATCTGTTCACAATGATTTCGGAGCTTCGCCACGGAAGAAGAGGGTGGTGGGGAATGGGAATGGAGGTAATAACATCATTCCCAGTAGTCTTGCGGGATGGTGTACTACTGCCTCGAGTCGCTTACTTCTCTTGTCCGAGGTTCCTGGTCGATGTGTTCAGATGGAAACTTCTGTTATGCTTGATAATTCCCTTGCAGGGATTTCGGATGACCAGATCGTCCCTCCAGTCGTTGGAACTATCCCGGGAAACACAGTTGATATTGTCATTCCACTTGTCGAACACCTAGCATCTGAAGACCAAGGCCTTCCTCTCCAGAATGCTACGAATATGATACAGTTCGCAATTCAAGAAGATTCGCACTCTAAAAGTTCCTCATCTTCAAACGATGAGAACAGTCAACCCTCTGCTCCAAATCCCCCAACCCCAAGTCTAGCAAAAATACACTTCTCCCAGCTGGAGTCACTTCGTTCGAAACGTAAACAATACCCTAGTCCTCCAACTTCTCCAGTCCATTCCAAACGATCGGACGAACGTGTATCCCCCACCGTATGCCAAACCGATCCTTCCGTTGACCTGTTCTTCAAAGACGCCTTATTCTGGGTTCCCTCCCTTAAAGACCGACAACCCGGTCTTCCTTCGGTCAGATCTATAGTCGAGTCTGGTTCGCGTGCGAATGGGCTGGAGGCGTTCCTTGGTGCGTGTAGATGGAATCCAAGAAAATATAATCCAGTGAAGCCGCCGCCCACGCGTGGGATAGTATTCGTGGATCTTGAGGATGAGTGGGGGTCGCGTTGGAAGGGGAACGTGGTGGATGGCATTAGGTATCTGGGACGTCAGTGGACATGTACAGATGAACCTAGGGTGCCAATATGGATTTTCGACCGCAGGACGGTATTTCAAGCAGGGAAGGATGTGGGTTCTCAAGCTCTCCATGTATTCAAATGATCCAGGGGAACTTTTATCTTTATGCCTAAGTTATAACTCATGTACAGTGTTGAGGAATTATCTTATGTAGAGTGGTGTGTGGACAAGAACAAGTTCTACAGGGGAAGTAAGGACTCGTAAGGACTCACAGTAAATGTACCTGTTAGTCTCGCGAGCCAAAAATCATGAGCCTGAGGAAGGTGAATTTGTAATCCCGCGACTAAGGCTTACCGCATCTGCAAAACCTCAGAGGTGGTGTGGTACTGGCATTATCTTAGGGTACCAAAAGAAAATCCATATTGGTTGACTCTACCCGCAGACATTTGTGCGCAAGTAATGTACACTATAACACATTCACTGGTTTCTCACCTATTATCCTGCACCTAATTTGTCTGAGCACTATTCCAGAGTTTTGACAAGAGAGCTTATGATACACAATCAAATCACAGAGGCATTGAAATAACCATTGTAAACTGAAACTAGGAGGGGAAAGTTAACTTAGAATATGGCACACTGGATGTGGCATGTGACCTGCCAATTGCTTCACGTGACCAGATTTTTTTTTCTTCGAATTTACGGATTTGCGAATTTATGATTTTCCTGAGGGCTTCAAAAGCTTTTATTTCGGTTCTAAAAAGTGAGAACAAGCAAAACACATGCTCCCTGCAAGGCTCGAACTTGCGACCTCGAGATGGTGGGATTGATGCCCCGCATACAGTAGTATGAGACTCGCGCTCTAGCCAACTGAGCCAAGGAAGCCATACTCTCATGAAAAGGGATCTGGATATAATCTTATTCAATACTTTATTGAAATCTGTATGAATTCATTAAGTTATCTACCATGTGTTCGTTTTAAGGTCTGGACTTTCAAGGTATTCAATTCTCTCACTAGCAGGGTTGGAGTGGACTCATCACTTGTATGATAGTGGAAATGCGGACACTGAGATAGGGTGATTGCGAAAGACTGTTTAATAGCCTTCAGCTCCTCGAATCCCTCATTCAGCTTGCGAGACCAATGATCTGTCCTCGGAGTGTTCATGTCCTGCGCAGTGCGGGGGGAGCGTGGATTCATCATTGAAAATCCAACGAACCTTCGAGCTCTACGCACTTTTGGATTTCAATATATAAAGATCTTGCTCCCAATCAATTCAAGGTTCAAGGAAGTTCGGTGTGTATGTACGTGTGGCCGTGTTGTGTGGAATATAGTCATTGTTGTTGAAAGTCTATGAGCAATTTTTACCTGCACTTTCCTTTGTTAAGAGCGTTTTACGGGTCTCGCCGCCGTGTCAAAGGCTGAGGCTTCGGTTAAAACTTATTATGGTCTCGAGCTTTCACTAGCGGCAGAATCTATGGATGTCTTCTCTTATGCATACTCCCATATCGATTAAGAACTGCATGTATATAATCCATCTTCCAGTTCAGTCCCAAATTCAAGATGATTTTTCCCGTCATCTGAAGAGCCTATCCACTCTCCGAGAAACCGTGGAACGAAAACCAGTCTTGGAAGCTCAGTTGAGACTAGTCTGAAACTCGGAAATGGAATGCTTGGATTTGATTGGAAGGCGAGTGAAGGAGGGAAACACCAATATTGGACAGGTTACGGTCTCCTTGAGAAGCATGTTCTAAGCTCAGTGGACATGGTGCAAACACGAGACATGGAAAGAACTGACAGTGGGCGCATCCACAAGACTCCACTCAATCAAGGGACGGAAACTCAGCCAATCTGGAAACAGTGAACCCTTAAAGCCTCACCGGTGAGCTACGCTTTCATTCCAGTTCAAAGTGAGGCTTTGAAAATTTCTGCTATGGATTCATGTAAGTCCCAACCTGCAAAAACCCTCATCCTCTGCATCTAAAACTGTGTTAGCAGCCTTGAGCTGGTGTATACCTGATTAATACCTGTTCACGTCTAGTACGTATCCCTATCCGTGTCACTATCAAACAAAACATTCGGAAGCGTCACTTCACAAGGGCCCAGAAACGTAAAATCCGCCAGCTCGGTCTGTTCCTTCACGTTCTCAATCGAGAATATTGCCACTTTTCCACCGTGGTCCTTGATTTCGTGAGCAAAGCCTGCAGCCAGCTGAACCTTGAAGATGGACCAAAAGAATAATAATGAATCCATTGCATGAAAGGCATGGATGAGATCGATTCACCGTGGAAGACGTCCCTATAACAAGACAGAGATCGGCTTCATCGACTTTCCGCCATATCTCTCGTGAATTTCGAGGAACTTCGTCAAACCAAACGACACCGGGACGTAGTAGACCCCCGCATTCGGGTTGTTCGCAATGAGGGAGTTCATCGACAGGTATCGGATGATCACGGACCATTAAAAGTTCTCGCGTGAGCAAGCGCAGGACACAGAGGACTTTTCCCGTCATGACGGAGATTGCTGCACTGGGTACATAAAGTATCAAGAACACGACCGTGCATTTCATATATATGACTCTCGGGTATGTTCTTTGTGATAGTGGTGTTCATTGAACCATTATAAGAAAAGATTGATGGTCCTAATGTACCCTGGTGGTGTTTTAAAGCGTCTTCATACGCGCGAACGCTGAGGCCATCGATATTCTGTGTGATGAGTGTGAATTCGGCGTCGGATGCAAGATGGTGCAGAAGCTCTGGGATGCAGAGCATAGCCAGAGATACGTGAGCTGGGTTCGGTGTGGAATGTAAGGCGCTAGAGGCATAGAGCATGAAGACATGAAGAAGAAATTCAGTGGCGTCTTCCGAAATCTGGAAGATATATTATTGAATGGAAAGTAGTATAAATGACTTACATTTCCCGTAAAACATGATAATGATGCCACACCAGACTCGGATCTCGGGTGAATGCTTCGAGGGAGGCTAGTATAGCAGGGTCATAAAAGTTCCATATGCCTCCCTGTCCTTTCTGCCCTCGCCAAGATGGTATTCCTACGGGACGTTCAAGCTGATTTTGAGAAAAATTCGGCGCTGAGGATACCTGATGCCGTTGATAGACCAGCACCCGCCACCGCCACAACGTGTCGGCTTTCTCGAAGTACCTTTCTGAAAGCCTCTATTGAATTTGAGTTAGCCATAGATAATGGACCAGGAGAGTAGTTGTCGAAGGATAAGATTGGATCAGGGCCCGCTTGGGCGCTTATTGTGGCTATCCGTTCTGGTTGGCTTTCCTTTCTTGTATCTCCCGACCCTCAAGCTTCAAGGCATTACGCATGGCAAGTCTCGAGATTTAGCTCGATTTTGAGGGGACAAAGTTCTTGTCTGAGATGCCTTACATTAATTCAGGAAACATTCGGTATGCGTTCAATTCAATGAGGCACGTCGACCTTGTCCCTTATGCGCTATGTTTATATTTGAATTTTTGAGCCTCACAAAGGATCTTCCGAATTGTGAGGACATTGAATCTGCGTGGACACTTGGTTCGTACTACGCAGTCCCTCTAGCCAGAATTTCACCATAGAGATCCGCAGATATCTAACGGGCCGGGAATGAAGAAATATAATCTTTCTCTTCAAAAATTGAAGGTACCTTGTTTGATAGTGCTTTCTTCCACCTGGATTCCTTTACCTGCATCAGATGGCACCTCCCCCAAACCTGGCTGACGCCAAACCCAGTTTATATCTTTCATGAGTCCGTTGTATCCATCTTCGTTGTCGGTAGGTCCGTTCTCTTTCACAGATTTGCTTCGGAGCCGGGATCATTGGGTACAAGAGCGCCAACAGACTATAGTAGCTAGAGGTAAGCGAGTATGTCTTGTACGTCACGGCGAAATATCCTCTCAAATCGATAGTCAGTCTTGACCATGTCGAGGATGATGCACCCTGCTGATTCTCCCAACGACAAGAAGAGACGCCAATGGTTTCTGAGCGCTCCTTCTTCACCAACAATTGGGTTAGCAGCGCAGATGACGCTGTAGTAAGGCTTGTCAAGGTACGGGATCGCGTCTTCCATAATATGGACCCCTGGAATATCTCAAGAATCTATGATAGAGCTGGACATGCTTCGTGTAACTGCCAAGGTGTGCTGTGTAGTGAACTGAGTGCCGAGCGTGTTATGGGGAGTTGGTGCTGCTAAAATCCAACCAGTATTCTTTTTATATGCCTACTGTACCCATCTGGCTTGCGAGTCTTCAAACTACAAGACGTGATGCCACAGTGAGTAATACTTGTATCAGGATTGTTCCAATACAAGCAAGTGGGTAGCCTGACAGTCTTGTTTCGACAACACAAGTTGACTTCTATCGATAGGTAGATAATAAGGGTGGTCTTATCAAGTTGCTGGAACTTACAGCTCCAGGATCGTTGTAAATCACAATGACACAGGCATAAGTGACCTCAGATTGTGAGACTCACGCTCTAACCAACTGAACCAAGGAAGCAATGCTCTCATGTAAAGGTAATGTTATTCAATGACTCTATTAAAATCTGTCCGAATCCATTAACTTAATGCACACTGAAACAGGGTATACAGTAGTACTTATGAGTACAAGTAGATGGGTATACTAGGGTCTCTTCAAGTTACAGGCCTGCTGCATATTGAAGCATTCCCAACATCTTAATCTAAATGAAACTTATATCAGCTAGAAGCAGTACAGGAGCGATCAATTGTACTTACCTTCTCTTCCTCTGTATCACCAAAGACAGCCCAAGGATCCCGTCCGTCCTTAAACACAATTGCGAAAGAGTGTTTGATAGCCTTCAGCTCCTCGAATCCTTCATTCGGCTCGCGGAGACCAACGATCTGTCCTCGGAGTTCCACCTCGTCGAGAGTTTGGTTCATGTCCTGCAGAGGGAGAATGAATTCATCATTGAAAAACTAACGAACTTCGAGCTCTACGCACTTTTGGACTTCGATATATAAAGATCTTGCTCCCAACGAGCTTGAGGTACCGTCTCCGCCACACAAGGGAGTCACCCGTTTGTAGAGTCGCCCACGCCGTTGTCCACCCACTCGACCTCAGTTCCATTTTCACTTCTTTGACCATATTCTGGACCTTGGTCTTCCTCTCAGCATCCGCTCTTCTCCTATCATCCTCTTCTTTCATTTTCTCTGCCTCTACCTCCCAGGCCATTTGCTGACGCCATTCCTCTAACTTTTCATGTTCTTCCATCCTCCGTTTCCTATCCATCTCTTTCCTCGCCTCAATTTCCCGCTTTTTTCTTGCGTCCTCTTCCTGTTCTCTCTGCTCCCGCGCGCGCCGTCGGGCTTTGATTTCTTGCAGCTCCTGCTCGAGCATGGATTTTCTCCAAGCTTCTTCCTCCTCTTCCTGACGTTTAAGCTCCTCCTTCTCCTCCTTTATTCGTGCTTGGCGTTCGGCCTCTTGCTGTAAAGCCTGCTGCTCCTCTAGTGCACGCTGCTGTTGAACAAGTTTTCGCCTCCGCGCACGTTCCTCGGGGTCTGAGATGTATACAGTATCATGCACCCATTTACGGTCAAGCGGGATAGAGAACAGAGCGCCGTCAGGCTTGTTTGAAGAAAGCGGTTGCAATGTTTTAGGAGGAGGATTAGGATGTTCAACGATGACTTCGTCGTCAGATGAGGGTATGGGATGCGATATGAATGCAAATTCCGCAAGACTCTTCCTAAGATCCGAGTTGGGTATGCTTCTCAGTCGTGCGCCGGGGGTATATGTAAAGTTGGATCTGGAAACACTGTTATTGTCTTTGGGTGGAGTGGGAGGTGCTACGTCTTCATCGCTATCCCACGGAACGTCGGTGCTGGGAGTAGCGCGTTTGCGACGCAGAATGCTGGAGAAGAGACTTTGAGACTTTGGTGGAGTAGAATAATTTAATGGTATCACAGAAGGATCACGGTTTTCTGTGAAGGAGCGCCGAATAGGGAAAATCATCGATTCTAATGTGGATTGTGGGTCAACTGGCTCTGGAGATGATGCTGAACGTTCGATGCGGATATTATGAATACCGTCAGGATGAAGGACAGCCTGGTGTATCGCAGATGGAGTGAGGTTAGAAAGATGGTCAATTGTTAATGTGGCATATTCAGTCTGTAGAGGACAATGACGAAGTTAATTTCGCACAATGAACAATAAGAGTTTGTTACCTTGACGAACAGAGCTCCAATACGCCGCGATTGCACAAGAGCACGAGCTGGTTGGTTAACTCAAGATATATCCAGTTAAACAGAGTGGGTGACTGTACCTCGTCTGATACCTGATATTGAGGATGGAATGTAATTGATCAAGGCAAATCCAGGCCTCGATTGTACTTGTGATGATTCCTCATTATAGAAGGCGATATGTACAGTAGAACTCTCCTCGAATGACTGTTTCAGTTCAGGAAGGCCTTTGGAACCAGAAGCATGGAGGTAAAATTCATCGGACTGTGGAGTTATTTATGTTACCCATGGTAACACAAGTCGAAGATATCCGCCACGTACATTATCGTCGTATTTCAGTAGCAACCTGGGGAGAATTCGATGAGTCTATAACGAAGATATAACAAACATGATGAAACGTACCAGTTTAAGTGTAGCTCGACAAGAGAATTGTAGATAGCCAATACGGCATCGACATCGGTTATATTCACGGCGGTCATCCTTATTGATTTTCTGTTTCACGAAAGTTCACAGTACCTAGATGTTCAGGGATTGAGAGGCCGGTTAAGGGAGAGTAGTAGATGGGATAGACTGTAGGATGATCATGAAGGTCGTATAAGTGAAAGTTGTTTCGATCGCAACTGCCATGATTCTAACTTTTCCAACTGAGCCTGGCAGTCAAGCACTTGCTTCGGTACAACATCAAGAATCACAATCAAAGTTGTAGCTTTTACAATGTTCAGAACATGATGGCAATTCCTTTCCCTAAAACCCAAAATAACCCTCGTAGTAGCCTTGACAATAATGTACATATAACACAGTTTTCCCGTGAACCCTCGACGTCTCAACTGTCAAAAAACCTCAAGGACAGAATGTTATTGTGGCAGGTATGGCTCCTAGAATCAACCAACCGAGTAAGGGGTGCAGATCCTCAAAAGCCAGAGCAATCACTTACCGGCACCGCACGCTCGGACCTGTTAAGAAACAAAATCAGGAAAGAAAATCTAGTAAGATGTTCTTAGAAATACGTACCGGGGAATCATCTCCACAGCCAGTCTCATCCTGTCACGACGAATAAGCTTGTGATTACGAAGTACTCGGGTAAGAATTAGCTTACACCAGGGGGGTACGCATCAGAGCACTAGCGGAGCATTGAGTTATTAACTTCCTTGGCACTTATGAGTTCGACATACCGAACAGTCTACGCTTGTGCAAGTAACTGTATCACACCCTTGAAATAGTATTGACATTGCCTGCGTGTATCCTTGAATGTTGGAAATATCGTAGGCTTGGGCTGCGTATATGTCTCCGGTATCTGAGGAAATGCATGGTTGGAGCTCATAAGAGTAATTTCTTCGAAAGTTTCGACAAAAACATACCCAAGTTGAATTCCCCTATTGTGCAATCCTCGCCTTTGGCACCACAACTAGATGCGACGGTCTCCGCATAGATACGTCCAACCCACTGCAGGGGGGAAAAATCAGAAAAAAAACCGACTGAGGAAAGCGCGGTTAAGACAGGATCGAGCAGCTGAACATACACTCGCAGGTATCGTAACTTGGATAGAAGTTCCTGCAAGAATTACTCCGGGTTGGGCCGCAGTGTACGATGAGGCATCAGAACAGCCTGTAAGTAAATCTTCATCAAGGTCCTTGAAGAAAGCCAAGGCACGCTAGAAGCTTACGAGGTGAGTACCCGCATTTCGTGTCTTCAACATAAGCAGTGATAGATTCCGGGCAGTTATTGACAAGAGTAAACTATGTTCAAAAGAGCGTCAAATTAGGTATTTGCAAGCACTGGACCAGGGAATTTACCGTGTGATCTCCTGCGCCTCTTCTCATCGATATGGGTGCCGCCAAGTTCAATGAAAGAAGGAACACTGCGCAAAAGTAACTGATAATGACTTTTTGGAGGCTCATCATCGTAACGAAAGCAGTCCAGAATCAGAATTGGGTGTTTGTGTTGGGTGGAAAAGAGTGTATTCGCTCAACGAATATTCCAAGAGGGTAGGGTAGGGGGGATGCTTGTCCAAGAGCGTACCAGCGCAAAAGGTGAAGAGGAAACATTCCGTTCGAACATCGCATTTATATGACTGGAAAGGAGTGAATCTGATTTGGGAAACCCCGAAACACTTTGCTTGACTTTTTTCATCTTATCTCCGTCGCTTATCAAATTTGCCGATTTTTGAAAACGCGGGTTTACTCAGCCTCGACTCCCGTTCATTGACCATCAAACTCCAACCTATAAAATTGGTCTTGATCTTTGTTGGCTCTGCATATGTATGTACATAGCCGTTCTACCGTCTGAACAGGTTTCTCAACAGGTCGAAGATTGATGCGGCAACGAGCGACCCGAATGTCGCTTTGATTCTTGAAGTTTTCACAAGCGGATAAAATTTTGAAGGAGAAACTGACTAAACTGGATATGGAATGCAATTTCAGAAGTGATTGATCCACACCTATCCACACAAATTACAAGTTAATAACCGTTCCAAGTCATTCGGCCACTCCCTCACACGGATTCCCGTCTTGACTGTTCTACAGCAACGACCCCATCCCTCACTTGATCGAACTGATACATAGGGAAATCTAATAGCAAGGTCTGTTTGAGAAGGCGCGGCAGGGGTTTGTAAACGACTGGAGGAATGGGGATGAGGATGGATGTTCTCCGCAAGTATTCCTTATAATTCGACCATGCATGGACATGTTCTTGTTTCGCGTTTTCCCCGTGGCTCATAAGGAAAAACTTTTTTGCCTGAGGTTTTTCGGCTGTGGGTACGCCAGATCCGAACATAAGCAGACTGGAAACGGAGGATGGGTGTCAGACGAGCGAGAAATTTAGAGTTCAAGGAAACGTACATAAGAGTGAAGAGGGGGGATACAATCGCACCATACTGGGCGGACTTAGAATGGGATGAAAGAGAGCCGTTCGTTGTAGGAGAAAGACATAATATCCAGATTCCCCACCAGCACATAATTCTGGGGTGTCCTTCGTTAGTATGAATATGAGTTGGTTGGGATAGACAGACGCACTCTCCGAAATAAGGAGGATGACGAGACCATTTCCATAACCCAGTCTGAGGAAAGAAATACATAGTAATTAGCTAATGTAACCAGTGAAAAACTACAAAACACACCAGAACGGGCTTGTCTTTTGGTTTGTCTTTCGCCATCTTGTATCTGAACTGATTCCCAGAGCGACTAAGTTAGTATATTATCTGAGCTCTTGGTGTTTGTCAAAAACCTTCTGGGCATCGGACACAGTTTCGATCAACCATCCCAAAACCCAAAGGACAATTCCTGCAATATCGCGTGAGGTACCAAAGGCGGGGTTCGACCCAGAGCGAGTTGTGTCGGATATAGCGGGAGAGTTCAAAATGGTGAGGGGTAGAGAGACGGTCCAAACCTGGCAAAACCATGGAAGTTAGTGGAGTAAAAAAGACAGATTTGGGAAACGACGCACCCAGATGATTTGACCTGATCGCCCACATGAATAAGATTATTTCGAAACCCATAACCTCAGCACGAGGGTGACACCTACCTAGCCAGAATCCTGGATACACGAATTATGGGGTTCAGCTTAGAAACTCAGATTACGAAGCGGGCCTTTTTACCTAAAAATTTGAGGAAACTTGACCTAATTTCATCGAATCGGGTGTCGCTCCCCGTCTTTAGGACACGATATAGAAGAAACCCAGCGATTCGTGTGGCCCACACCATAACCAACACACTGGCTACAATGTTCCGAGCGTGAAACTCATTTCCAATGAGTAAAGTGAGTAAAGCTGAAACAGTTAATCGGATCAACTTGAAGGAGAAGAAAATCGCCGTTATGAACTAACCTAAGATGAAGAAATTCGATCCTGTAGTTGTCGTTGTCAGGTCAGCGCGACGATTTTACCACCTGCATTGCATACCTCCAGTGAAGTCTGTGATCTTATCAAATTGAAAAGTCCACGCTATGGCAAATCCAAGGAGCTGATAAGCGGCGGTCACCAGGACAGTTATAGCGAGGTAGTAATGGTCGAGAACATAGACCGCCATTGGTCAGAAATTGTTGAATAATGGTTGTTCAGCTTTTCTATGTACGGCGAGGGGAGTCAAAACTACTAGAGGTTAAATATTTGTTGGATGTCCAGCATCGTAGACAAGCCACGTAAAAGGTTTGAGATGAACAACGATCAGCGGGAAGTCATCGAACATTATTTTCGGCGCCAATTTCTTGTACCAAGCGCTAAGCAATTTAAGTCCATCATATTGGCAATAGCGATGTCCTAGTCCTGGATAATAAGAACATATTAGTATACCTAATCACAGGCGAAGTGCCTTTAAAAATCCTCTCCATCATGCATAGTGAGTCTGCAGAAAATACCGAAATCCTCTCTTCTCTATGACCTGGCATAGTAATACACGAATAGCGGGAACGAGTACACCATCATTATATATCTATGAGCATGTTCCAAAAGGACAGTAACGGGTGTGATCCGACGAGGCCTAGGGGATGTACGGACGAGACTGGGCAATTTATGTCGAATGGCAGATGGTGGAACATTGGTGGACGTTGCTGTTCCGGGTTCTAGGAAAATATCGGTTTGGGCACCTGTCATTGTACAGATTACTTAGCCAGTTAGATATCATTGCAATAAAAATATGCATACCATTTCTAAATCCACATTTCGCATTATAAGCAGGGCTTTTGTGATCTCCCGCGAGATCAAGTCCTTCGACTTCAATATTGTTGCCTTACAGATATTTTCAGGAAATACGAGATAGAACAAAGATGCAGTTATTACCATCCACTTGATGCCAATAAAGCATCTGTTTTGCGCCGTTCACACAGCGATCGGGGTCATCTTCGCACCATACGGGAGCTTGTCCCGGGGCGACGGCAGCATCACCTGTTTGCCCAACAACTTTACACCTATAGCCAAGGTGATACATGTTGGCAGTCCCGCATCTGATAAGAACCGTCAGTAAAGCTCATTCACACTGAAATAACCTAGCCCCACCCGTTTGGAATCTTATCAAACAAAACAGCGAAGGGTCAACCAAAGTATTGACGGCCAGAGAATTCTTCGTACCCATCCCCACTAGAAGGGAGAGTCGACGTTTATACGACATATGAAGAGAGATACGTATCTGCTTACAGCACATATACATCCTTCGGGAGGACACGCTGGTAAGTTTGGGACCGAATACGTTGCGATGCGTTTCCAGGGCGTACTATCGTAGTTCAGCGAGTTCCAAATCCGAACAAAATCAACGGAAGACGAACTGGTATAACACAGTGAAAACCACCAAATTTTCAAACGTAACTAGGCTCATATTCGACTGTGGATTTGCTAAGGTATGTTGTCCAATGCGAACTCGGAAAGCTTACCTGATATGAGATAGCAAAAGCTGTACCCGCAGCCATACTCTCGTTTTGGGTATGTACTACGTATTTCTTGAGTAAAGACGCAGCAAAACCTACAGCAGTACTCACTATTTATGGCTGTAATACAGTCGCCATCTTCGCCCATCCCAGGATGATCCTCTCCATCTCCAAAGTCGCCTATATCTTCTCCATTGTACGAGAGTGTGGTGAACGCACGATTGAGAGCATGCTCTACCGTGAATGTGCCGTTCACTGGACTGATTACAAGGTATCTGTCAGCAGTGGGAATGAAAACGCAAATAACAGGCGCACAGGTCAAGGAAATCTCCTTCTTCTGGAGGAAATCGGTCACACTAGAGCGCACAGTTAGCGCTGCTTGAAATATACTATGGTTCAGGCAGCATACTTTATTAAAATGGTGAAACCACCAATCGTCTTTGGTCATCTAAGCAGGTGAATGTTACTTGTCGAAAGTGGAACCTGGGATGTGCGAGGTGACATACCCGATACAATGGCTGTATAGCATCGTTCGTGTTCGGATTATCATACCCTGAAGTTCCATTCAAGCAGTACATTCCTAAGGTATCCTTGTAAATGATATATATCGAGAATGCAACGAATTAGCTGCTCACCGTAATGCCAAGCCGCAACATGAGCCTGTACACCTTGAGTTGTGATGGTGAGCCCTATTAAGAGAATCAAGAGTACAAAAGTGCATGTGCGTGCCATTTGCGCATCCAAGCCGTTCAGGACAGAATGTGAATGCTAAAAGCGCATACTCAACGCGCTCCAATAAAGTGCAAACTTTAAGGCAGCAAAGCGCCCGAAACTGTCTTGTGCACGTGACCACCACAAACGTCAGTCTGCATTTGTCATCAAGTTTTGTCCTCTTCCTCCTTCCATCTGAGACTGAAGTTCTTTACCAGGCCTGACGCCATGGCGGGGCTACTATCGCCTAAGCCCGTATCCTACCTTCAACAGCAACACAACTCGCAGTATAATCACTACAACCGATCTGCACTGTCTGCATATTCTGAGACCCCTCCACTACCTGGTGCACAACTTGTCCATTCGATTCCCCATCAAGCTGGGCAGCAGTTCTTGAATGGAACCAATGGTGTCACTGGAAACGGACTGAGCATACAGGATGATAGCAAGATTTTTGCTTTGGTCATAGACCTCATGGATCCGGGTATGAGGGAGACAGCACTTTTGGAGCTGAGTAAGAAGAGAGAGCAGTACGACGACTTAGCTCTGATTTTGTGGCACTCTTTCGGTATGGCGGACTCCTTCCTGAGCCATGAAATTCAGCTCATTTTTTTCTTAATTTTTATAGGAATCATGCCTGCCTTATTGCAAGAGATCGTTTCCGTCTATCCCTTGCTATCACCACCAAACCTCACCGCCCTTGTTTCCAATAGAGTTTGCAATGCTCTTGCGCTTCTTCAATGTGTTGCCTCGCATACAGAAACTCGCCAATTATTCTTAAATGGTCAGTACTATAAATTCTTGTCTACTACCGGCAACTTACGGTCGTCATGTAGCTCATATTCCTCTTTTCCTTTATCCATTTCTAAATACGACATCTAAAACCCGACCATTCGAATACTTGCGTCTCACCTCATTGGGGGTAATTGGTGCTCTCGTGAAAGTACGTGTTAGTAATGGTTACACTGGCCTTGATCTTACATCGTTGTATCTAGCAAAACGATAATAACACCGTCATCCACTTTCTTCTTTCAACCGAGATTATCCCACTCTGTCTACGAATCATGGAAACTGGTTCCGAACTCTCTAAAACAGTGGCTATCTTTATAGTACAGAAGATATTGCTCGACGAAACCGGCTTGACGTACATATGCCATACGTATGAGCGGTTTTACGCGGTAGGCACCGTCCTCAGCAACATGGTGAATCAGCTGGTGGAGACTCAAGCTGTCCGCCTCCTGAAGCATGTGGTTCGGTGTTATCTCCGATTGAGTGATAACTTAAGGTGAGTTTGCGACTCTCTGTATTCAAATACTCTCTGCTTACGCCTACTGCAGAGCACGAGAGGCTCTGCGCGCTTGCCTGCCTGAGCCTCTTCGAGATCAAACATTCAGTGCTCTCTTGAAGGTGTGTATCATTCTTTTCGATGAGGCGTGCCTAGTCATTAATACTTCGCGTACAGGGGGACATGGTAACAAAACGGTGTCTCACCACTTTACTCAATAATCTGAACGAACCTTGACTTCAACTTAAAGCGCTTAAGCCTTGACTTCGACTGTGGACTTTGGACTTTGTATATCCTGACCATTCAGTGTGTGTGTCACCTCGATTTATATAAATAGCTGCTCTTACCCTTGTCTTCGCATGCTCGTTCCTCGTAAAACAAAGTGTACAAAATTAATTGTTGAATATCTTCAATACCCACCCTTTTTTCGTAGAATAAATGTATCAAACGAAATTCAAACCTAGTGTCTTATGATATTTGGTCTCTTCAGTCGGAATGTTCTCGTTTGCTCTTCCAGTTTCTGACCAGGCGCTCGAGGCGGGAGCGGGTCAAGTCGAGATTTGAATGAATTCATTGAATGTGTCAACCTCAGGTCAATCAGGTGATATCCGGAAACCTTTTTCTCCTCCATAAGTTAAATCATCTTCTGGGCGATCCTCCAGCCATGAACCACTCCGTCCACTCTGTCTGTTCTCAGTTGGATGGATATACCATTTGCTTTGACTCGACAGACCACCCGTTCTATCATTCGTCCCAGCCCACACTCATCGACGGTGTATCAGACCCTATCCTGACTCTAGCCGGACCCATTTTAGCTTATTGGACGTTATCCTTGTTCTTCCACTACCTTGACACTGCTGAATGGAAGTGGTTCGAAAAATACCGCATACACGAGTCGGCGGAAATACAGTCGAAAAATCTAGTGTCTCGAACACAGGTCGTTTGGGCCGTTATATTTCAGCAGATAGTCCAAACTGTGCTTGGTATTTTTTGGCTATCGGATGATAGTCACGGAGACTACGTACAGGGCCTGCATCATATAGCTCAATATCTGGCAGTGATAATGCGAATACTGGGGACAGAACGGGAAGCGCAATTACTGCCAATGGTGACTTATGCGGTCTATTGGTGGGTTATCCCGACATTGCAGCTCCTGCTTGCCATGTGAGTCCAGTGCCTTCTTTATTCCTCAATTCATTCAATAAGAATCTAGGTTCGTCATCGATACTTGGCAATACTTCCTCCACCGGGCGATGCACGATAACAAGTGGTTGTACCGGCACTTCCATTCGTGGCACCATCGTCTATATGTACCTTATGCTTATGGGGCCCTTTATAACCATCCTGTGGAAGGATTTCTTCTGGATAGCGTCGGTGCTGTCATTGCGGAATCAGTAACCAGGATGAATTCACGACAGGCTCTTCTTCTTTTCGTTGTGTCAACTCTCAAAACTGTAGATGACCATTGTGGATATAGACTGCCTTTTGATCCTCTTCAAATTATTACCAGTAACAACGCTGATTATCATGATATTCACCATCAGGTATGTTTCGTGTAACGTTCAAAATGTTCCTCGTTTGAATTTTCACCATAGATCATTGGGATCAAGTCCAATTTCTCTCAGCCGTTCTTTATTCACTGGGATTCTATCTTGGGTACTCGCATGACTCGCCAGGAGCTTGAGTCTCGTAAACGACGAGACTGAGCTACGTACAACTGTCTTACATGGTTTGTAATCTCCGCCTTTCGTTTGTTCTTGCATTACAAGTATCATATATGTATGTCTTTTATAATATAACACTGGAATAATTTTTGTGGATAGTTTATGGTACAGATGAACATTGTACCGAGTGTGGAAACGTCACTACATAAATAATTGAGCAGAGCGTCCGGCAAGGCTATAAGCATACAGTCACGTTGCAGGGTCAGTATCCTTCCGCTCCAATTCAACAATATTTTTGAACTCTACACTACGATGCTCAAAGCAGCAGCAATACAAGCTCGTCCATATTTCAACAGGGTCCTACTTACTCGTTCATTTTCGACAACCAATATTCGGTCTGACTTTCACTTCGACACACATCAGTTCGTACAACGGCTAGAACGCGAGGGTTTGAATCGAGCGCAAGCTGAGGGTATTATGTCTGCTATGGCTGAAGTCATCGACGAAAGCATTAGAAATATGACTAGTAACATGGTGACCAAGGCTGATCAGGAAAAGGTGAGTAACTTGAATCACAGATGCACTGTAAACTAATTTACAGCATACAGCATCATTATACACAACAGGTTGACTTTGCACAAGCAAAATCGGAACTTCAACTCATGGAGAAGAACGACCTTGCGATGATCAAGGCAGAGAATGACCGGCTTGTTAACGATATTGAGAAACTAAAACAGCGGCTCAGAGAAGAGATCACTCGTACTCAGGCAGGAGTACGTCTGGATCTCAATCTAGAAAAAGGAAGATATAGAGACGAGAGCAGCGGGAAGGAGCTGAAACTGAAAGAAGTAGAATACAAGATAGAACAGGAAATTGCTGGGTTAAGAACGGCGATTCAGGCTTCCAAGGTGCGCCACATGGAATTCGAAATTCTTGCTCCCTATCCACTAACAGATCGATCTGTAGGCGACCACCTTGCAATATCTCGTTGGAATTGGTGCGTTGACTTTCAACTTATTTTTCGACCGTTTCGACTTCTCAACAATTTTGCAGTAACTGGATGTTCCGCTTTGCTGATGGCCTATCTGCGGTTTCGCGCATGACGACCTCCACGTTTACTTGTACATTTACATTGGAAAGGAAGTTTATTGTACGCCTCGGTCCAAGAATTTTGCACGCCGGTTCAGGTATTGCCAAAGCGGTGCGACACTTGCACCATCGTCCCTGGGACCGTTATTGCAATTCGGATCTTAAACTATAGACCAGTCATAGACATTTGTACATACATACGTTCATTCTTACGCTTATTCTTTCTACCTATTCACCTATCCATCCATCACCACTCTGCAGGTGGGCCAAGTGAAGTCATGGAGAATTGGATGCTTCCGCTAGAGCCTTTGATATAAGTTTCCTTGACTAGGCTAGCTACATCCTAGGGTTGCAGATATTATATATTAAATATGCACTTCAGCAAAAACAACTTACCGTCAAAAGGTCGTTGTAAATTTTTCCTCGATCCATAATTCCAGCGCGTCTACCGTCAAGCTCCACCACGTGTGGTACACCTTCCATCTCAGCTTCGACAAAACAAGTGAAGTGGAGATCTGTATCGAGATCAGTGGGGACTGCAGATTGCCCAGTCGATGCAGTTTCTGCATGTATTTCGGCAAATAGAGGCGTAGTTTCAAGGAATTCCGCACGTTCTTCGGGAGTCTTATCTTTTTTTTCGTGAAATTAGTAAAAAAAACAATGAGGATCTAGTACAGTGAACAATGATACGCGCCTTTGCAGGCTTCGATGAATTGCGCCAGTGGACTCCCTGGTGCGAATTTGATACCGGTCTGCAACAAGGATGCAATGAGCTCGACTTCTTGTCTCAGGTTGTGATCATCATTCAGAGCAAAAGGGGTAACAAATCTCCACTCCCATCCAACGATGAAAAGTTCAATGTAGCATTGTATTTGTTCCCAATTAATGTGTTAAAGGGAATACCGAACTTACATTGGCTAAGGCATGCAATAATCCAATTGTCCCACAAGCGTTAGAGATCTGTGAACATGTATGATCACCGGAGATGATGAGCATCGATAAGCAAGGGTACAAACAGTTTGCTTGATCCAAATTACAGAGTTGAACAATGAGGGACTAGAGGCTTCCGATCTGATCAAGTCATCTTCCTCGCGTCTCTTGGCTTCGAGCGTTTTAGATATGGGAAATAGAAGGAGAACGGCTTTCACTGGCTTTGAAACCATGTCCAAAAGCTGCAGCGCGGAGTACCCGCGTCAATCGAGCATTGAAAAAAGAGCAAGTCCCAGACCTCTTCATCGAGCCCGTAGATATCGCTGAATTGTAATTCTTCTTTGTCCAGACCAGCTTTATTGGCCCACTATCAAAAGTTGAGTTATCGCAAGTTTCGAACTGGCTACGAAGGCCATACTGAGTTTAATACCTGATATTTCGATAAGAAAATATAAACAATGAAAAATTCATTCTTACTTCTGGGTTGCTTTCGAGAGGAATCCAACGAGTCATTGCGAAATAAGATAGACGAGGATAGCTGTGTGATAGGGTCACGGGGTCGTTACGCGTCTTCATTCACAACCATCATGATCACTGTCAGCCAGTGTCAGCCTTCCGCTTATTATTCCTCACCCAGGAGTTAAAACCTGTCAAAACAAGGCAGTCTAACTCTGCGCAACTACTTCTCGGACCTGGTAGTATTCATCGTAACTCGCTTGGTCATAACTCGGTCAATGACCTCGATCGTCTTTACGATGTCACAACTCCAATCAGAGGTACATACCTGCAAGTTGCGACTATAATTACTCAGGTCACGGTCAACTTTTGAATGAAATTTTGGGGCTTCGGGCTGTTTTGGGGCGGAGACCGGCGCTGTACTGAGACGCGAATAAATTGTACATTCTTCCAGTTCAGAATGGTTATCTACTGATGGAAAACACAACTCGCGCCCTACACCTGATGCAAAGGATTCTAACACCAATGTTCGCCTCTATACATGATGAGTTTTAAATGTTACAATCCTTTCGATGCTCGCTAATCTATTGCTGTGTAGTGGATATTTAAAGAAGCGAAGCGGATTGAATGCAAACGGCGGTCGCAGGCAGCTCCCCCAACTACTGTCATTGGTTCTTCTTTTGAACAAGATCTATGTTATCTGTGTACATTAATCACAAACATGGAGTCAGTACACGCCTTAAAGATCGTCAAACAATATGTTTCCTTCATTTCATATCTCTCATTCTGATCGCCAATATGTTCTAAACGGCTCCGAATCGCTTTCCAAGGCTTTATATGCCTCTTGTTTGAATAATTGATCTACAATAACTTGTTTCTTGAACTTTCAGGTTTCCTTTTGCGAAATATTCTCTCCTCGGTGTTTTGATATACATGAGACCAGTCTCCTAGGACCAGCAACAGCAATACAAGGTCCAATTTTTTAAATTTAATCCTCTTCTTTCAACAGAACACCCTCGGATCTATCAGTAACCACCGGCGTGTAAGTCCACCGGGTCACCTTTCATCCGCATGCTTATAATCTCAATGGTGCACATTCACGCAGGTGCTCTACATTGATGATGCATTGAAGGAAATTCTTGCCTATATTGGGTGGCATAAGTAAGTAGCTCAATAGAATAAACAGTGGGTTTCGATGCGCTCATTATATGATTTATCTGTATTTCGTCCTATTTTCATCAACTCGACGACGAATTTCTAACACCGATGTCCTGAGTAAGTATAGTAATGAATGAAAGTTTGTCCTTTCAACACGATGCTTCTCTCTCCAGAGTACTTCTACCGGCCATCCTATAACTTGAAGTCGGCTTTCCACGTGGATTCTGGTGGGTTACATAGCTCTTTGTGGGTCATCGAACCTGCGATAAGTCCCTCCTCAAGCTTGAAGTGGAGGGGCCCTCTATTCAAGGCACAAAAACCTGGCAAGAACTTGCTTTACCTCCAAACCGACACCATAGATACTTGCAATGCCATATCCTGTCATCCCGTTGCCATTAATCATCAACATCCCCGAAACCTGGCGGATTTTGGGGTCGGAGAATTGACTTTACGTCCGATAACCATTGAAACTTGGTAGCCTTGGGAGTCGAGCTGAATTAGTGCTGAATCGAGGGTATGGTACATGTGTCTTTTTCTCTGCAAGTGAGCATCTCGTCTAATCGAGGAATACAGACAGGGCCAGACTGTCTCCTCCTGCTACTATATTGCTTATCCCCTGAAATTCATGGTTCTACTTTGCAGCGAGTCGCTATTTTGGTAGTCTTGAGCTAAGTTTAGGGCTGACTTATTACGGTGGACCGATAGTACTGGGTTTTTGGTCTTGTGCATTATTGTATGACTGCTGTAATAACCTGAGTCTAGATCCAGGCGAAGGAAAAATATGAAGGCAGGTGATGAGCGCAATTAGCGGTGCTTCTGGTCAGATCATAATGAAAGCCCCGACAACTTTGAATCAGTTCCTCCTGAATGCATGCCTAAGCTTCAACAGAACCATCCAGAGTTTAAATCTCCATAGACTTCGGAGTAAGTACTATGCGAACAGGGATATGTACACAATAATGGTAAAGAAATCAGTCTGAACGACCCCCTACTCTGAAATATCACTTGAAAGTCTTCTGTGTCGCAAAGCTGTCCACTGGCAGGTCAAAACATTACAATGCCTAGAGATAAGTCCTTACCGCAACTTACCGACTCTGGGGTGCAACCTTTTTCGCAATGGGGATCGAATCACCCTAGAAATTTGTGCAAAAGTTGTCAGAAAGAGGTTGGTCGGAGAAGCGTGATGACTTCGCAGCGGAAGAACACGAGCTTTGACGCAAGAAGAACGAGCTCATAGATGGACAGCGCCGTCCGATTGAGTACGGACACGGATACGGATAGATACAAGAACTGTGCGAGGTCTAGATGCCTATAAACGAGATTTGCATCCGCATCGGGCTTATCGACCTGCGAGAATACAGTGACAGGACAAATCCTTGGGCTTACAATGACATTCGAGAATTCCCAGCTACCATAAGCAACTAGACCTCTGAGACGAGCCCAGGCCAGCTACTCGTCGTTGCGAAGACGTATTACGCTTCCGGGCTTCACGGTGGCTGCTTGGGCGGATCGGTAAATTGCAAAGACCAGCTCATTGCGAAGACCAACTCTTTCAGCTGGAGAATTATAAGAATTCATATCTGTATGTTTAAGCGAGTAATGTCCAACCTTGTTCAACGTATGTTTTAATGCCTACTTTGAATTATCAGGAACGTTGTAAAGAGTCTAACAGTGAGTCAAATCACGGACAATATATAAAACGCCGCACCTGCATTGACCGTACATGTCGGAGTCGGGATTCGGTATCTTGAACTGAAGAAGAATTGTGAAGCGACGAGGATCCACCGTGACGAAGAGAAAACACTTATGAAGACGTAATCCGCGCAGAAAGGAATACGGATACCCGTCGATACGGTAGGCCGCTGAAGCCTAAGGCTAACGATCAAGCGCAGACCAAAGCCTAGTAGATTTGTTTACCGACTGAGTGGCCAGCGCTGTGAATCATGATGACTTCAGCTCCAGTCTCGGCGGTCAACGTTCAACCTCCTTACTGTATCCAAAGGATTCGAAATGAAAGATATTAAATAAAGCTGAGTCTACTGACCTGTACGTCGACCGGTGACTTCCAAGATGATTCCGAACTTACCTGGGTAGACATGATCTAGATTTTAATTGCTCATGGGCAACGCGTACAGTACAGATTAGAAAAAGATTCTCAGACGTCAACGAAAATTGGCCTCGTTACAAATTTGTCAAAATGGGAGGGGGTGCTTTATGGAGCTTCCTCGCTCTGGGAGGAGAGGCGGGGAGATGAAACTTCAAGTCAAAGTGACTCCAGGTGACCGACCATCATTCACACGATATCTTCAGGGCGCATCAAATGACATCGGGGCAAAGCGACTCTCTGCAGCCACATCTGATAGTAACTTATATGCCTCTGATGCCGCTAGCGCGTACTAAGTCAGGGTCGTTTGTGTAGTTTCGAGCTAAACCGAACTTACGCTCTCCGGAAGAAGCGGAGTCGGGGCACCATTACATCAAACACCAGCGTACTCAACTGCTTGCAAGTTTTCTAGAGGCCAAGAGCCAGGCCCAGCTGAAGGCGTTTTTCGTTTCGTCTCTGTCCTGGAGAGTCTGTACATCTTCTAGAACGATTCCTAGTAAATGGAATGTACCAAATGACTGTTTTCCTCCGACTTCTTCCGACCTTTCCTTTCACGACGCATGTACGCAGTAAGCCACAGTAAGCATCCAGAACCGGCCTATTTTGGTCAAAACTTACCGGTTTGAATTTTGCGCGTGCACTGAACACTTCAAGTGATGGCTGCGGTAGCCATGTCCTTGGCCAAAAGAAGGTTTCTAGAGCTTTCTACGCACGCTGAACGCCACTGCCACTGCCATACAACTCGGATGGTACACAGCTGAACGAGCGTTGCAGTATTTGGACGTATTGACACCGGTCTAATTCCTTTCACATCGTAGAATCTGATTGAAAATCAAGTATGTTTATGGTGCTTGTCAGTTTTAATCACTTCGGGATTACTTACGAGTCTCGTTTCTCGGTTCGAATATCTTTCAATATGCTGTGTTGAAGTGTGTAGATCGCAGATAGACAGGGCTCCACCTAAATTCAACTGTGTGTTACGACTATCCCACCCTCAAAGTCGCGGCTACTTTGTGAGGAAAAGTTACATATACATAAGGATGATGGTTATGATTAGGATGTATGTCATCTATTGTACTGATTGCAACTCGAATGGAGATTTTTTTCATTTGCTGACACGTTCGAATTCATTGCGGAGAAGAGCAAAACAGCAGTGCATTTGTTGGTTGTGTTTTGCAACGCAAGAAATATAGAGTAGTATGAAGCAGTAGCACAGTTATGGGGACAGTGGTGATGTCTAAGTAGTAGAGCAATATGTACGTAGTGATGTACAGGAAAATTCGTAAAAGGAGAGTATGAGTACTTTCGGTAATAGCCATTGGACGATAATGAGTGATATTGGCAGTTCTGGGGTATGAGACAATGTATGCACGATAGCAAAAAAAAAGTGATGACTATGCAGAGAAAATTCGAGGGGTGCAATTTTTTTTGTGAATGATTGCTGGGTTGAGAAGACAAGAAGGTGATACAGGGAGACATGCGATGTTGATGCTAACAATAAAAAATGATGAAGGCTGAGAGGAGTAACAGCAGTCTTCGTAAAGGTGGACTAGGCTGTTGTCGAGTCCTCTTTTTGTAGTGAGATGAGATAAGAATGTCGTCTATAGTGAGTGCGAGAGAGAGAGCAAGAAGAACCGAATAAACGAAGTGCAGGAAAGCAGGACATGGAAGCGAGAGAGCCAGTGGAAGAGCGAATAAACAAATTGGCGACGATAGACAATGTCTACGACCATATCTGCCTTCCGCGTAAATCGAATTCCCCGTAGTCACTAAGCCCGTCCTTGGAAGAGGGCTCGACACGGATAGGCAAGACTTTCGGCTGAAAACACATCTCGCATTCAAGCTGATATTTTCTGCTCTCTGAAGTAGCAATAAGCTGCGCTGCACTCTTTTTGAGGACCATGGACGATGCGGCAGATGAGCAATCAGACTCAGTTGTCCACCACGGGTCCTTGGTGTCCTCATGAGGAGAGTTTACAGTTGAGAAAGACGGACCAAACTCATAGTCGTCTTCTGCGAAGGAATCCGAAGAAAGTGATGAGATTCGTTGGACCGGGGCGGTCGTGTACGGGAGACGCTTTTTCGTTCTGGCCCTCAGTTTGTTCACGGGAAACCCCGTCGAAGACGAGGAGACAAAACTTCGAATATGGTTAGCGAGAGATGAGAGCATAGAGACATCCTTCTGAGGTGGTGTCGCAAGAGGAATCGATGCAGATGTAGTCTGGGACATAGATAAAGTGGGTGGGACAGGTCTGGCATATTGGGGACGTAGTAGCTTAGGAGGTGATACCGAGTACGATGGCAAGGTAGAAGGTCCACTTGGAGGTGCTCCAGTAGGAATGTTAGCGGCCCAAGCCGCAATTCCTTTGGCAGAGCTAGTATCGTGTACGATATGGAAAATAACGGCGTCGTCCCCAGACGCGTCTAATTCTTCGCTTTGAGTCCAATCGTGTACGTTTGAAGATAAGTTGAGAATTTGTTGTGAAGGTGTCGGTTCACACTGAGGCGAACAATAATTTGTGTTAGGAGAATCCTAGAAAGATATAAGAAAGCAGAAAGAGCGAAAAGCAATGGAAGAGAGCGTACAAGGTGTCGGTTACATGTTAGACACCAATCTAAATCGACTCCTGCGGAAAAGCTCATGGTGTATAGAGATAGAGATAACAGCGAGAATTGCAGAGCGACGAAGACAGGCTGGGAGCAGAGAAACTAGTCTTCGCAACCGACAGGTGGGTTGAAGGAGAAAAAAACGACGCTTCATCAAAGAGAGAACTGCTTTTATCATAAGTGGACATCCTTCCAAAAAAACTCAGGCTTCTCACAAACTGACAATTGGAGATAGGATCGATCTAGATTCTCCAGACACGGACGAAATTTTTTGGTCCGTTCGATCTATTTGCGGAAATAATTCAGTAAATTCAATTTTCACTGCCATTCAGATTCCTCGCCCGATTCTTCGTCAGAACCCATTAGGTTCCGCCTTTACTTGCCATAAGCTTTCATAAGCAGCACCTTCCAGGCGTGAATACGGCCTGGCCCGCGTTGTTACCTTGGAGCTGGCTCTCATCATCTTGTGCACTGGTCAGAATGGACGGCAAAATTTGTAGAACCTCACGACTTTCCTTTGATTAGGCTTCCATCTTTCTCCATGATGGAGCGTTCTGTCTCCCCTTACTTAGTGCCTTTGCCATGTTCTCTGCCTGTTATTTCCCCTTTTGATGCAGCTTCCTTCCAACACCTCGCCCTACCCCAGACACGGTTGCGCATATCACAAGTATCACATCAGTTCCATCGAAGCATCGAAGCATTCCACCATACTTTCATCCCAGACGAGGCCTGACGAGGCATGACTTGCCGCGACGCAAATTCCACGAAAATCAGGAGTCATGTCATATGTACATGGTCACTGGATGGTGTGATTTTCTTCGTCCCATGTCGTTGGGCTCACGCTCACTCGAATCAGACCAGACGAGAACTAGATTTTTTTTTTCCAACTCCGAGTTCCTTTTTTTCAACATTTCTCCTGATGCTAGGTATAGACTATATTGAGTACTCAAAACTTCACCTGGATGAGATACTGACGTACTTGCCTCTTCTTCGCAGCTATTCGCAATCATCGAATCATTGGCAAATATGTATCGTGTCATGCCTTAGTTTTGTTGTTTTAGTGTTGCTGTTTCTGCTGTTGAATCTGACAAGATCTTCTATGGGTTATTCTTATCTTTCGCTAACTGCCCCAACATGCTATCCCCGAATTCGCAGGTCTGGCCTGAAGTGTTTGCTAATCCACTTGTCGGCCTTACTTTTAAACGAGGAACACGATTGACTTCTGTCCCCAATACTTCAGAGATCTTAGTGCTGTCGAGACAGACGGCGGCGTCGAAGATCTTCTCATGATTTATTTTCGTCGAAATCACTCACGCCATGTTCTGATTCTTAATTGCATTTCTGAATTCTCAGGCTTCGAAAAAAAAGCATATCATCTAAAACGCAAAGAGGAGTGACTTTTGAAGGTCGTTTATTGGCCCTTTTACCCACCCTGTAATGTCGAGACTATACCCAGAACTTCGAAGATGGGCAACGTAGGAGACACTTTGTCCGGTCCCGCCGTCTTAAGTGCGCATTGTTCTCATCTCACAGTATGAAGTCACCGCTGCTCAAGCTGTCGCCGCCAACTTGGGGGAACCGAGTGCTTCGTCCGCTTTCAAATACACCGAGGAAATAGTCAAGAAGCAGGTCGCCGAATAGCAATTGAAAACCCTCGGAGCGCGAGAATTTGTTGCAGGTGGGACGCGCCATTTAAAATATTTCGAAGGCGGAAAACGGTCAAAACAGTTTCTCAGGTTGTAGTCTGTCAATTTTCTCTGGGGCGTTTTCCTCACCCCAACCTACCTTTCTAGGATGCTTTTTTTGTTCCGCAAGGGACTGGGAAAGTGGTGAATAAGAATATAAACGCAGACCACTCATGAAAGTGATATTTCTTCGTCTCTTGGGCATGACATGCCGTACAAATTATGATCCAACTGTATACTACTTGTGAAGGTATGTTGATGCAGGCCGTCGATTCAGATACAATGATGTGCTCAAGTGCGTGATAACAGAAGCAATCTGCTCTTATGTGCAGTATGGTAAGAAATATCAGGTTTCCGTTTCAAACGCCAAGTCTACTGATTACAGCTTTGCAAGCTTAACTCAGCTTCATGCTGGCCCAATGGAAGGCTCGGACATTGAAATTTGTAAGAACCCTCGTTGCCCACTCGCAGTCATGATTGATATGTATCACCAGAAGTCCGACAAATCGAGGGCCCAGTATCAGATCATCGCTGTTTTCTCGAGGACACCGTGATTAACCAAAGACAAATGTATGCAGTTTCGGCATCCTTCTCATCATCAGCTTACTCTGACATGCTTGCGACGATCTACAGCATCCAAGTGCTGTGTATCTTTGACCGCTGTCCATATGGGACAAGGTTGGCATTGAATGCTCGGGATCAAGGCAACACTTAAGCTTTGTTTCTGCTGGGAGTTCTCTTCTCGATTCATCGAAGAAGGTTTTCATACCATAATGGTTCCCGTTGTCTAGAACAGGGTCTTGAAGCTTCAGCCTTTGCAACGTCTAGGCAAGGATCTCCGCCGGACCATCAGTTTATTTTGAAGAAATCTATCACTGGACGTCGGCTTTAGAGCTCCTTCGAACGAAATTAGACCGTTTCGTCAATTTTTGGGACTAACGAAATTTCATTGTGCTCTTGAGAGCGTTCTGAGCCATACCAGAGACCGAGACCGAGAAGCACATAATATAAGCTAAAACGACTCGAAGCATTGCTAGGGATTTCTTCTCTCTTTTGTCGGGTATAGTCATTTCACATCCTACGTAACCCTCAGACTTAGCACTGGCGTTAGTGGTTACAGACGCGGCGAAATTCATCCGAAATTTCATTCGTTTGTCGAGGATCAAATATCTGTGTCTGGACAGGAGCTTTGTGGATTGCCTTGACAAGGTTTGGACCCTATTAATTCTCATTTCCGAGTAGTTCCCAACGTCTCGAGCATATGGGCCATCAAACTATTGCGGCTGGAACCAACACCTGACTGTTGGCTCTCTTCTCAGATCCATCGTTCCAAACCTCAGCGTAAAGTCATCAAATAGCGGACTGTGTTTTCTACCCCTCTTTCTGCATGTTAATAGTAGAACGAGTCTAGAATCACAGTGCGCACAGTGTCCGTAAATTGCCAGTGTGTAAAGACTGGACGCGTTGGAAGTGGTGTCAACAAATTGCTACCATCTCTGAATTAAAGTCCGGCATGAGGAATCTAGGTGTCGAATGTCTTAACATTCGGTTGATACAGTGTATACATTCTGTAACGTCTTCAACACGGGATTTCCTAGTGTCATAATGGCTCCTTTCATACCCGCACTCAGATTTATCGCAAGCATGAATCTCATTCTTCAAGTAATAGGAGTTATTGTCACTAGAAGAGCAGTGTAACGAATTCAAACGAATCAGCGTTATTTTCGGAAAGCAATTCAGAGGAGGACCTACAAATGTCGTACGAAATAGCTTGAGAGAAATGATATATTTCAATGCAGGAACAATGGATAGTTGGTAGACAATGGTGTCTGTATGTGAATAGCCAAGTAAATACATGTGTCGGATTGTCTCGCCGTAACGGAGTTTCGAGAACCCCTTGTGCATGAAACTTGTGGACACTACTATCAAGAGAGCACCCGAGAGCACACCGGGTGGCCTCTAAGACTACTTCTTCAATGCTGAGATGCAAAATGGGATCGTCGCAATACCGCCTGTCTCCGGAGCCGGACCAAGCGGTTATGGATCCGACACGAAACTAGCCAGTGACAAGAGGCTTTTTCGGCGGTTGTTGAAGGGAGTCTTCTATGCAAGTGTTTTCTGTTGTAGACGGTCAGCATTTAATCAGCCTGGCCGGGATCCGAAGGAAAGAATTAGAGATTTATTTGACAGAACTGACTTATAGCACGATACCGTAGCACCCCGACCAGATGCGGAGGATATGAAGGCTCTCAAGAACGCCAGATCTTCATCGAATTGATTATCGAGCGCTCAAACGTTCTCACGGTCAGACTGTTCCCAGTTTTACTCAGATCTCAGAAGTCAGACTGAGCGATATTTCCTCATGTAAAGAGCGTCCTCAAGAGAGGCATACTAACTGCGAGCATCGCCGAGCAGGAGTACGGGCTGCATATCCTGTGATTACTATGACCACTCCCAGCCAGCTTCTCCAAATCCTTCTTATCCGAACTGGTGTAATATCAAACGTTCATCTCCTCTCCTTCTACACATCTCACTCTTCTCCCGCTATTCGTCAATTCTCGTCCCTATACGCGTTAATCATAGGAAGAAGGGATCGTAGAGTTTTCTTCGCGGATAGGTTGATTGCGTTGTTCTCTGGTTGTACAATGATGACGTGACTCTTCATATATGCAAATCTTCAGGGGTGAGGAGAACGAAAAGCCTCAGTAAGACCTATGTGTCAAGCCATATCAAGACTCAAGGCTGCAAAAATCATTGAAGCGGCAAAACGAGAAGAAGACCGTTTTCAGGATATTCCTCAAATCACTAGCCTTCACTAGCAACTGGTTACGAGCCACAACTATTCCGACGTCGTCAGAGTATTCATAGTATTTTACACAATGTTCTGACTCAGATGACTTTATGTAGCATACATTCAAAGAAATATTTGGATTATATCAAATGTTTGTTTTTATCTGTTTTTACACACACTTCCTCCGTTCGTGGTGTGCGATAGGTGAATCTACTATTCTGACATTCCTACCTGGCAACCGCGCATGTATTGCTCTGTGTTATAATCAGGCTATGATCCTCCCAGAATATGGTACACAATAATTCACCGTTTGATACTACTTATAATGTGAATTACAGCCTACTTAGTACGGGCCTTTGCTTTAGCCTGTTTCAATATGCGTAGTGCTTGACTATTTTGCTGCAACTATCTCGAGGCAAGTGTTACTTAGAGATCATTCGGAGTCTTCCCAGTGGCGCTCAGGGATTGGTCCTTCTACCTTCTTATACTACCATGATTGAAAACGAACAGCTATTGGTCGTTGGATCCTTCCAAGTTCCAGCGAGTTTGATTTCACGTTCTTAATTGGCCTTGGAATAGGAATCTATCAGACAGTACAATTAAAATTGCAATAGATTAGAAAGGTGGGGCTGTCAACTTATGAAGATCTGAGAGAAGAACATTCATAGTAGTCTAACCTAATGTGGAAGTTCTGAGTGTAAAGACTCAAGAGAGTAAAGTTGGAGAGAAGAGATGACATCTGAACAAAGACATAGCATAAACATTATAGTCAGGTACCCAGGCAAGTACTTACCAGTGCTTAAGCTTGTCGACAATAGACATCTTTTTGGGCGGTCACGGTTTACAGTTGATAAATGTCAGTCGACGTGGAGGAACTAGAGATGTGCAGTAAGTACCGATAGTGCGCAGATCTTCATACTTATAAATCTGGAAAGAGAGGATATGGGATACCACAGATTCAGTAAGGTGTCGTTATAGTACTACTCATACACGAATTTTTCCAACGCTGTGTGGCTGGACGCTGGCTTCAATATCTTGGTGCGCAACGACCCGTACGCATTTATGGTGTTGATAACGACCTAGTTTGAGATCCAATGTATATACCCCGCCAAGTAATAGTCGGAACATCTCTGAGCGATGTTAGCAGCAAGTCATTGGCACTTTCTGTGTCAATTTCTCAGTGGTGATGAGATTCCGCAAAATTGCTGGTATTCTGTAAGAAATTATGGCAGATGGCCTGAATTGGTTGGACTGGTATCAACGAGGGTGTCAGAGAAAATTTGTTGAAAATTGGTATTTTTACTGGGTCCCTCTCGCGACATGTTCTACTCTGTTCCGTTGCGCAATGAGGGACGTCGGGTCGGGACAGAGCATCTTAAACAAGTCCGTCAGCAGGTCGACATGTAGTGGTCGCAATACAAAGGCAGAATGCCTTGCAATACCGCAAACTGAATCATGTGTCAATCACTAGTGCAGTATCTATCCATCGCAAAATTCCAATAGGATGTACACGCTTGTTGCAGCTTGTAATGTTGGATCCACTAGGACCAGGGTAGCCATTGAGGTTTATGCCGACAAATTACAAGAAATTATACCGCACACTGATTCTTTACACTACATATAATAGTCCCTTTGTAAAGCACTATCAATCTTTAATAAATCATTGAAGGAAGCCACTTACATAGTGGAGCCCTGTTGCAGTCAACGACAAGGAGGGCCAACTAACACTTGTTGCGCGCGCAAGCCGCCAGCCAGTGCCGTCTGAATCGGACACTGCCGCTACATAAACGTTTCTCAAACAAACAAAAAAAGTCAATAATCCATAGAAAAAGTAGGCACACATCAATCACAGACGATATTGCGCCTCAGGTTCTGTGTACCTTTCCACTCGAGAGTTGAGGCAAGACAATGGCAAAACGTCCTTCGGGTCGGTGGAGTCTGTAGCATTAGATTCCGAAAGATATGCGAATGACAACTATTTATTGAACGCTCTACAATACTTTTCCATCGGTCTTTGCATACCTTATCCCAGGGTCGCACTGGAAACCACGGTTGGAGAGGTTTTCTCAAGCTATCTTTCGCCCCACCCTTTCGGGAAGAGGGACCAGACTATGGCACCATTGTGAACAGGCACTTCCTTTGTAGGACCACCTCCGCCATCGACTCCTGTATCGCCCATCAGGATATCCTCGCTCTGAACAGATACACCTTCTGAGAGGGACGAAGGTACCTCGATCGTTTGTCGTTTGATGCTGACCCATCTCCCAAACCGATGCTCTTGGCCCACGCTAGCAATGAGGAGAATTGGCCGAGCATCAGGGTTCTGTTTTCTAGGGCCGCTGCCATTGTCCACCGATTTCCCTTGAGGTTTGATACTGTTGACTGTGCACGCATCAGAAAATGCCCAATTTGTGCCGGCCCAGAAGCCTTCCTCTGGGGTAATGAACTGCAAGGAATTTATCACACCAGCACAAGGGATCGTGCAGAGGAGCGTAAAGGATGACAGTTGACCCACACTCTTCTTGGAAGAGGAGGAGATCAATTTCCATAGTCGGATATTGCCGTCGTAAGAACCTACAATCAATTAGAATAGGTAATCCAGGGTAGAAGAGAAGACGCGAAAATAAGACAGAAAACCTGGAAGCTGAAAAAGATAGGAAAGAAGTAGCATAAAAAAGGAAAGACAATAATAACCAGAAGCCCTGCAACATCGTCTGAAATGGAACCAAGCGTACAAATGGGGAGAGGAAGAAGCCATTGTGTCGTCTAGACACACTGACGAAAGGAAGGACACTTACCGCTAGCAAATAGATCCGAATATCTTAGTGAGGCGAGGGCAGTAATCCATCGCGGGTGTGGGGGGATCTCGATTTCTTCCTCGTCTACTTGTTCGGGTAATGGATTGTAGGCGCCGTGAGCAACACTGCACGTAAACACTGGTTTCTTTTTGGACGTTGACCACAGACAGATGGATCCACTGTCTCCTCCAGTAAGAAAAGTATTTTCGTCTATCATCGCGACGGATTCTAGAGAGCCTTCAATGTATCTGTAATGTTCCTGAACACCTTTCTTCTGCCCTCTTTTTGCGTTTTCGTCGCCAGAGTTCTCATCGTCTGCGGCAAGAGCATCCATTTTCCCCTCAAGCACATCCCGTAGTTTGTCTCTCTTCGTTTGAATTTCTTGGCCTTGAGCGCCTGTGGAAGTGGCCCCACCTCCCCGAAACACAAGTTGAGTTTCCTCCGGAACCTTCCAGAACCGAGCTGTTTTGTCGCGGGCACCGACAGTGAGCAATGTTTCGGCAGGAGTGGTGAGTGGGTGGCGAGCGTATGTGAGCGTCTTGGCTGATGCAGAAGCAGGAACCGGACTTGGGTTTGTTACCGTAAAAGTGGAAGGCGGTCGTCGTATGACAGATGCTAAAGATATTGGTGGCAATGTGGGTAGAGAAGGAAGACAATCGAGGGCGAGAATCTGATCCTGATGACCAAAGAGGGTTTCGATATAACCCATATTTTGCGAAGGAGTTTGAAGCCCTTTGGAAGTAGAGTCGAGGGTGAGAGATGAGAGTGGCGCAGCGGTTGGCAAGGTCCAAAGCTTCACTGTTCTATCAAAAGAAGCGGTATAGAGCGTATGAGCGGAAGAAGAGGCGGTGGCCGAATTAGTATTCGTTCGGAACGAAAGTGACTACGCTGGACGTTAAGTTTCACGCTATGAGCAATGGAAAGATTTGACGCACCGAGATAGTGTCTTTATGAGCGAAGCCAGCAATCCAGCGGCAGGATCTGGCGTCCCAAATGCACGCACGGGAATCCATTGAGCCAGACGCGAGATAAGTGCCATCTGTAGTAAGTGCCAACGAGGTCACTGAGGAAGTGTGCCCTGCAGTGCGCGTCACATTAGCTCTTCCTTTGCCCTTGCCCTTTCCTTTATCTGGCTTAACTTTATACATCGCTGCGACCTGTTTCCCATTTTGAAGATCCCATTTCAGGATATGACCTTCCTTGCCCGCCGTAAAAAGATAGTAACCTGGTGTCGTAGAAGATGATGTGACCGGTGATGCCACAGCAGCTGTACAGGAAAAGCGATGACCTTTCACCTTCAAGTGAGATGAACTGGCTTCGGCGAATTCATCAGCGACGAATAGATGGACTCGTCCTTTGTACTGAGCGCCCCTCAGCCTACTTGATATGAGTTCTTTGTCGATTTCTGCCGCGTCAAAATCTCCTTGGTTCGCCGCTAAGTCTTCCTTTACACCATCGAGATACAGATGAGCTAAACGCAGGCGTTTCTCAGCGGGAGTCTCGTTTGGGTCATCATCTGCTTCCACTTCATCCTCCAGATCGAGAGGAGCTCTGAGGTCGTCGGCATCTCCAACGCCCGAAGTCTGGTCTGAATCAAGGTCTTCGTCAAGCCGTTTGCTTTTTGGTTTTTTCCCTTTTGGATTCGGTGTGTGTCGGATTTTCTTGCCACTGTTCGCGCCAGCGGGAGAAGACTCTACGCGCTTCCGTTTTCGTGGTTTCCCCGATGTGAAGAAAGAGTCGGGCATGATTATGCGTATGCCTGTATCATGTATATATTGGAAAATTTCAACAGCTTTGACCAGCACGTGGTTCTCTTTTGGAATCCGACCCGAATCCGATTCCGATTCCGATGTCAGTGCAGGATCCGAACGGGTTGAACTCATTTTCTTTACAATAACCAGCGAGAAATTGAAAGTTCCGACTCATTGCTTCCTTCCACACGTTCAGGTAGTACACAAGCATGAACAGCTGTATCACCACCTTACTTGGTATTCTTGTTGTGTCGATACCTTCCTTTGTATGATCCTCACAGTTCCGGTCAGGTATCCAGACTCCCTTAGTTGCTCCTCCAATGGCAGGAGCAAGCGGAGGTACGACAGTATATTTCAATCACAACTTCTCACTGCTTATTATCCATTATTTCGATTTATGCACAGGAGCGTTGGCTGCACAGGTCACAAATGGAGGCGGCTTTGGATTCATATCGCAAGTATTGCACATTTGAAATCCGGCGGATGCTCAACTCTATATGGTATACATAGAGCAGGATACCAACCTGCGGAAACTCTGATTTCCGAGCTATCATTGGCTCGTTCTCTTCTTGAAACCAAGAGTTCGACGGGAATACTCCCTGTCGGCGTCGGATATCTAGGATGGTTGCTTGACAAAATGCCCCCCAAAGAATCTGAAACCCTGTTGATCGCTGCACTAAGTGCTAATGTACAAGCTTTCTGGTTTGCTTTTGGACGCAATTTGGGGAAATGGATCCAATATGTTAGAGATAAATCCCCTGAAAAATGTCCATTGATCTTCGTACAAGTCAACTCTTTGGATGAAGCTGTTCATGCTGTGGAAAACCTTAAAGCAGACGTTATTGTAGCGCAAGGTGAACATGAAGGGTTCAGCCTGCTCTTTGACGCTGATGTGGGTTATGTTCTACAGGCATAGAGTCTGGAGGGCATGGTGGCAGTTATGCTCCGCCACTCTCTGAGTTACTCCAAAGTATTCTAGCGCAATTTGCCGGTTCCTCTCAAGAACCGTGTATTCTAGCTGCAGGCGGATTGGCGAACGGATCAGACATCGCTCTTCAACTCGGTCTAGGCGCTGCTGGAGTTGTAATGGGCACACGGTTTCTACTTTCTCCGGAAAGCAAGTATACAGATGCACAAAGAGAGGCACTGATTACCGCACGTTCGGAAGACACAGTGCGCACCATGGCGTTCGATCAGGCCAGGGGGACGATAGATTGGCCTGAAGGAATTGACGGAAGGGGATTGCGGAATGGTGAGTACCACCGAACAGGACTTCTTTGTCTAGCCCGAGGGTGTAGTCCGACCCAGAATTTGACCAGCACTCCTACCCGCCTATCAATCTTTTGCTCAAACTCGATTTTGGGACTTTAGATACCGTGTCCGACTTTGAGCAGGGCATAAGCTTTGAACTTATTCAGTCAAAATTTAAAGAAGGCATTCAAAATCAAGACCACAAGAGGTTCTTGGTTTGGGCGGGAACAGGGGTCGGCTTAATGAGTTGCACTATGCCAGCAAAAGTCAGTAGTTGTTCTTTGACAGGAAAGCTGTAACAAGTCTAATCAACTGGGTAGGATATTGTTAAGGAGTTGCATCAGGAATGCGAGCAGCAGCTCAAACTTTCCAATCTAGAAAGAAATCCGTGATGATTCAAGTAATATACATCGACCTTGTGTTATCTAGGTATATTTAGGCGTACATACGTATGTATTTCATTTGGCATCGCTCGATTTATTGAGCAGAGTTTATAACAACCGGATACGAGTACTTAACCAGGTTGAGTATCTTTAATGCACAATTTCGACCGTCAAATCTCCTTGATTGATGGAATCACCTTTCGAAGAAGAGATCATGATTATTTGGTTTATCTCGGAACGAGACTGAGAGGACAACAAACCTTCTTGGACAACCACTCGCTTCACGTGACCAGAAACCGGGGCTGTGATTGCAGACTCCATCTTCATAGCACTCATGACTAGACAAAAAGAAATTATTGAACCGACACGCGAAGTTGAGATAAGTATACTGACCACAAACAGGATCTCCTTTTTTGATTTCCTGGCCCTCCTTCACCCGCACTTCAACAACGACACCCGACATCGGTGCGCCCACGGAACCGGGATCCGTAGTGGCCTTCTCCCGCGAAACAGTTTCTACTGCGGAGTTTTTGTCTTCAACAGACACCGCTCGGACCTGAAAGTCAATACAGATAAATCGGGTAAGGTCAGTTTGGATTGAGTGGAGTTTAGGAAAAAAAGGTAGTCGGGAATTGGGTAGGATCGAACAAAACATACTTCTCCATTCACTTCAAACCAAACATCGCGCTGTGCACGTCCTTCTACTACAGGTCCAACGGCCATAAGACGGATGATCAAGGTTTTTCCCTTTTCGATGGATATATGCATTTCTTCGCCGACATCGGGACGACCCAAAAAATAACGAGTGGGAACAACGCTACGCCAAACATCCACTCAGCTAAAAACGCAATACACCTTGGGGGAATTCCCTTGAATGAACCGATACATACCTGAGATCTCCATATTTCTCGATGAAGCCCTGATATTCTTCGAAGACCTGTTGAATATAGGTCAAATTACGTAGATGATAGTCATTACTGAGAACAGACCTTTGGATACATCACATAGGAGGTTACGTCCGAATCCGTGATGTGCTTGCCAAATTTCGTGCGCAACTCCGCCTTGATCTTCTTGAAATCCAACGGTTCCATTGTTGCACCCGGTCGACCGTCGATTCTCGGTTTGTTCCTTATCACATGAGAACGCAGAGGCTCTGGGAAACCTCCTACTGGCTGTCCAAGATAACCTTGGAAGAACTCGACCACAGAAGAAGGGAAGTCGAGCGATTCTGCACGCTGTAGAACATCGTCTTTCGAGAAAGAGTTCGAGGTCATCCATTGTGCAAAATCACCCACAACCTTAGACGAAGGAGTGACCTGGTTTACAAGGATTTGAGCAGTTGTGATAAGCAAGAATAGTTTTGAATACCTTGATGATGTTACCACACTATCAAAACAAATTTAGACAAAAAGATACAAGCACGTCACAGAACTTACAAGCTCGTTGGCTTCGATATACTTCTGCTTGATTACTGGAGGACAATGTTAGAATCAAGATTCTCTTCGAAGGAGAAGAAATTACCAGTCCACTGTGTTCCTAGGCCCAGCTGAGAAGCTTGGAACTGAGGATAGAGATATCATGAGATTCGTGAGGTGTGTTGGAATTGTAGAGCCCCCACATACCATCAGGTTGGTATATTGACCGCCAGGCATTTCGTGGTCGAAAACACTGGAATCCGAGGCACGAACATTCGCTTCGAAGCAACCATACAGAACGCGAACTTGACTCCAGTATAGGTTCAAAGCTTGTATATCTTCATATCGTATACCGGTTCCAAGGGACGTCTGCTCCAAAGCCCCACAGACTGCCCCCATTGATGGTTGAGAAGTCAAACCCGACATACCTGATTAGGGTATATGAGGTATGTATAAAGTACTGGATACACTTCGGATACTCACTATCAATGGCAACATCAACAACATCTGCGCCTGCCGCTGCACAGGCAAGCATACTGGCAGTCGCGATACCAGCTGTATCGTGAGAATGAACATGAATAGGAAGCTCGGGATACTTTTTGCGAATAGAACCAATGAGCCTGCCAGTCAAAGGGTGTGAGCAGTATATAAATCTTGAACGTCTAAGATACGCACAGTTTAGCCGCTTCAGGCTTCAACAATCCAGCCATATCCTTCACACCGAGGACATGAATGCCCTCTGCAACCAATTGATCAACAAAATCAAGGTAATATTGTAGGGTATACTTCGTCTCTTTGGGACTCGCGACGTCTCCGCTATAACAGACGACGGCTTCGCAAACACCGCCAGCCTTTTTTGCAGCATCGATACCCAGACGCATCTAAAAAAATACAAGATAAGACATGAATTATTAGCGAGAGTTTGGTAAAGGATACACACATTCTCTGGTGACAGAAGAATTCAGCAACGTCGAACAAAAGTTTTTCAAACAGAAAGTCTCACCGATGTAGTTAAGCGAATCGAAAACTCGGAAAATGTCAAGACCATTCTCAACGGCCTTCTTGGAGAAATCGTATATGGCATTGTCACTGGAACATCCGTCAGAAGATACAAATTAAGCTCGATTGTTAATAACATACGGATAGCTGGTATATCCCACACCGTTTGCACCACGAACGAGGGCTTGGAAGGGAATGTTAGGTACAAGTTTACGGAGAGTACGCTGGGTTGGAGAGTCAGCCTACGCAAGAAAAAAATCACTGTTCCGACAAGAAGCACATACCAGTCGTTCCCAAGGATCTTCATACAGGAACCTCATCGCAACATCGAACGTGGCGCCACCCCAACACTCCAAGCTGTAAGCATTGGCTAATGCATGACTAGTCTCTTTCGCAATGTTAACCATATCAATTGTTCTTAGTCGAGTGGCAAGAAGAGACTGGTGCGCATCACGCCAGGTAGTGTCCATGATAAGAGTGCCGGGATATTCACGGACGGCTTTGGCAAACGCTTCAGGTCCTTTCTCGACTATGATGTTTCGCCATCCAACCTCGCAAGGGAAAGTGGCGTCGAGAGGAGGACCATTAGGATCTTCGCGGTTCTGGAACTTCGGAATGATAACCTCTTCTTTGAGACCAGGCTCGCCCTAAAGCAACCAAATGAGAAGATTGATAGATATCAAGTTCAGAACTGAGAAAGCTTACCAGTTGACCTTTGATAGAGCTTCCATTGACAGCAAGATCTCCCAAGTAGGATAAAAGCTTCTGAGCACGGTTCTGACTCTGAACAAGTTTAAACAGGTCGGAAGTGTCATCAATGAACTGCAGAACCTATTTGATCCAGTACGATTTGCATAATCAAAGAGTCACCGACCGTAGTCCAGGTCTTGCCGCCGATGAAAACGTCATGGGTCAAAAGACGAAACAAAAAAGGGATGTTTGTCTAGAGTGTGCAGTCATTGAAAGCGTGTTTATAGCTTGAAATGAGAGGATTATTGACCTTCACACCACGGATCCGAAATTCGACAAGAGCACGAAGCATTTTTCGACGCGCAACTTCATAGGTGGTTCCACTGACAGTGCACTTTACCAACAAGCTATCGTAGTGGGGCTGACGGAAGCAATGCCAAGTCAGCGTAAGAAGTCTTTCGGCCGAAGGTAATACTTACGGTAATCTGAGCTCCAGCAAAACCGGAAGACGCGTCAAGCCGTACTCCGTTTCCACCCGCACTACGGTACACCTCGATCTTCCCCGTATCTGGTTGGAAATTCTGAGCAGCATCTTCGGTAGTGATACGACATTGTATAGCGAATCCACGTTTAGTGATGGCGTCCTGCGTGAGGCCCAGTTGGGGAAGAGTTGCACCAGCGGCAATTTGAATTTGTGCAGCCACGATGTCGATGCCAGTAATTTCCTCTGTGGATTCAAACAAATGCATCAGGAAAGGGGAATATAATGGAACCCACTATGTGCTACTAACCGGTGATAGTATGCTCAACTTGAATACGGGGGTTGATCTCGATAAAGTAGTGTCTGCCCATTTGGTCGACAAGGAATTCGGCCGTCCCAGCGTTTCTATATCCGACACTCTTCGCGAGCTTGATAGCATCTGCAAGAATGGCCTGTCTAACCTCTTCGGGTAGGTGCGTAGCCGGAGCAACTTCGACAACTTTCTGATGCCTCCTTTGAACAGAGCAATCACGTTCGAACAAATGGATAGTGTTTCCCTGTGCGTCCGCGAGAAGCTGAACCTCAATATGACGCGGTCGCTCCAGGAAGCGCTCGATGAAAACGGTGCCGTCGCCAAAGGCTGCTTTAGCTTCACTAACAGCCCGTTCGAAAGATGTCTTGAAGTCGGACTGTTCACGAACTACTCGCATACCACGACCCCCACCTCCCATTGCTGCTTTGATGATGACTGTTTTTAAAGTGTGAATGAATAACTGTTGTGGATAAAAATATCATTGACTGACCAGGGAAACCATACTCCTTGATGAAAGACTCTCCATCAAGGTAAGAGTCGACGGGTCCAGGGGTACCGGGCACAACTGGAACGCCCACTTTGATTGCTGTAAGAGGTCACATTGTCAGAAAATTCGCAAAGACGCGAAGAAGTTCACAGTCGTACCTAGAGTACGCGCTTTAGTCTTATCCCCAAGTCCGTCAATTACTTCGGGGGTAGGTCCGATGAAAGCAAGTCCGGCTTGCTCCACCTTCCTAGCAAATTGGGCGTTTTCGGATAGAAATCCGTATCTAATAGGATCCGTTACAGGGGTGGCTGGGGTAGCGAGATAAGCAGTTCCTCACCCAGGATGGATCATATCGACTCCATGCTCCAGAGCGATCCTGATGATGTCGTCTTGTGCGAGATATGCACCGACGGGTGTGAGACCTTTGCCAACTTGGTACGCTTCATCAGACTAGACCAGAACTCTTGAATGAAAACTCAGTGGATCGTAAAGTGACTGTCACAACAGACCTTTTGACGATGAGCAGATAAACGATCCTCATACGAAAAGATCGCGACGGTGTGCATTGCCAATTCATGAGCAGTTCTGAAGACCCGAATAGCGATTTCCTGTATAGATATTAGTATCAATCATCGTCATGAACGACAATATACTTACACCTCTATTAGCGACTAGAATCTTCGTCAAAGGTCCACTATGTCCAGCAGCTTTTCGTCTCATTGTTTGTATGGAATGGACTGGAGTTCCCGGTACGCTGGGTGTACCAACGAACATGGGTGCCAGCCTTGGAGGGTGCAAGGTAGCCGTAGAGGAGCTCATGATGGATATGGTGGACGTGGTTCAACTTGAAGTTCAAAGGACCAAGCACTGATTGAAATGTATGTTAGTGATGATGATGGTGATGGGAGAAGATATGCGGACTGATGCGGAGCTATAACACTTGGCAGTTGCCGTCGCCGCACGCAAATTGGATTTAGTGCGGGGTATTACATGGGCATTATGGTCAAAGAACTATCATTTTATCATCTAAGTCCACACAGTTACAGCTGGTGGTAAATATTATGTGGAGTTTATGGTTTCCGACTGGTCAGAGGTATGATTCCTTCAGAGTGCATCCGACTTTCTGCCTTCTTTTGATTGTTTTTGGCCACTGCGTAAAGCAAGCCGGCAAAAAATCCCACACTAATTGCAGAAACTGAACCAAAAGTGACTGCATCGCCAAAAAACAGCATCCCGGACGCTGCAACAGGCAGTTTATTGAGCGCACCAACCATGCTGTGGTAGTAATTTGAGATTGTGATTGAAACAAAGGGTAACGCCTACAAACCTGTACGTTGTGCTGCTAGTCACTCGAACGCACCAGGCAGTGGTGTACGAAATTCCAACCGCCGCTGCTCCCGAGAACGCTATTGCCATGAAGAGGAAACTCCGGGTCTCTGCGGGACTGGCGGAGAATAAATGAGTGATACAATATGTGTGAAAATGACAAGATAGCGCACAAGTTGCGATTCAAGTTTTCAGTACCCCAATCTTCCACTACGATTGAGAAGAGGGCAAGGACAGGTATTGAAAGGAGATTGGAGTAGAACATCGAATCCCAGTCCGAGAAGCCTGTAACTTTAATCCGTTTACGCATTGTGAGTACCTAATTGAAGCTTTGTTAAGACGTCATCCCGCACTTGACTTCCGGATAACTCACATAGGCAGCGCTCGTTAGACAGTTGACGAGCATCCAAAAGTAACCGATGTTCAGCTTCTGTACAACATCCTTTACGTCGTGTATAGACCCCATTCCAGCTGTTGGTATCGCATCGTTCATGGCATTCGAGACGTCAGACCAAGCTGCGATGACAGAGGAGAAAACCTAGATTGGGCAACGTTGAGCCCCGGATAAAACTCGAAATTAAAAGACGTACCATGAAGATGAAGGACACAAAGGTAAGCCCGGTAACTCTGCCTCCAAACCATACAACTTCTCCATAGGCCTGAGAATGAAACGTTTACATGCGAAAAAACAAGGTAGGCATAGGTTATACACACTGACAATCAATATAATCGTCAAGTTCTTGAAGATAGTGTATACCGGAATACTCAGGAATTGCTGCGCAGTTTACTATAGGATCAGTACGAAGCAAAATTACGTTGCGGCAACGTACTAAACTTTTTGAACCCGTGTATATCACCATTGCAAGCATGAAGCTAATAGGAAACCATGTCTTGGCGTCTTGCCAATCAAAAGCTCGAAACGAGATGATGCCTAATTTCTTCACCGTCGTAACGCAAGCTATACATACTGACGATTGTATACACAGGAGAAGGAAATTCATTGAGAAGTTTGCCCCTGACACGACGAACTGCAGTTCTCGGGATGAGCATGGTGGAATGAATGATATTGAGCCTGAACACAGACTTTGTTGACGACGGTCATCAGGATTGAAGCAAAGCAGTAACAAAGGATAGGGGGAACTGCATACGCGAAAAAAAAAGTCATTTTAGTTCTTCAAAGTAGATGAATTGGATGATAGATACGCACTTGCAGATAGTTGCACATTATTATCTAATGACGGGCTAGTCGCCAGTGCCCTCCTCAGCTCTGCAGTATCTCTTTCAATGGATGAGTTATTCGAATTCAAGGTCGAGGCCATTTATAGAGATCTTGAAGCTATAGGACTGGACCAAGTCGAGAAAATAACTTGGTTCAAACAGAGGAAAAAGTGTATGCGTGCGGGATGGTCGAAAAGTAGGAACAAATAGGAGCGACGACGGGTTGGAGCTAATTATTTGGCACTCACCTCAGTCTGAGAAAGAGAAACAAAATCAGTCACGCCGCAGGCCTGGTAGGCGCAGGTAGGCGCCCAAAGGAATACACGACCTTGTAACCTGCTGCTTCCGGTTTAACTTCAAGTTGTACTACTCTTTCACCAAAATGTCTCGAACATTTCAGTGGTTTGCCTTTACTTCTATCACTTTATGCTTATGGGCACTAGGAATTTTATCGAGAAGCAAGGTCAACGGTGCCTCAAATACTCAAATATTCGTGGACCACGAAGTTCGCTCAAGAAATCCGTCAATTCCTGCTCGCGACGCCAATATTCCTTTCAATTCTGACAACAAGTCTTTTATCAACGAGCATTCGCTAACAGCGATTCTTCCTGTCACTGAAAACTCTCTTCCCAACTTGCGCCACATTCTTGAACCCCTCGTTCACCCGGACACTGCGTCTGTCTACCTCCGCGAAATCCTTCTAGTATCCCAAGATCGCATAACATCGAACTTGCGTTCCGAGCTTTTTACCATCATGTCACAGATGCAGTTTACCAGACATATCCAATGCTCCATCCGTTCATGGAAAGATACGCTCAGTGAAAGCACTGCGCTCATTCAAGCCGCCCTTACTTCTTCAAGTGAATGGATTCTGTTGCTTGAACAGGATGGTTTAGTCAAGCTTGACAAGAGTATTGGATGGACCCTTCTCAATCCTCCCATGACGGCGCTACCACTAGGTCCTAGAGGTATCTGCCTATCCCATAATGTATCATGCATACCTCCTTCTTCCGACACCGCTCTCGAAGCATCCTATCTCATTCCTCCTTTTGTTATGCCAAGCTCTTTGGCTATGCATGCTGGTGAACACGCTACATCATGGGCTACTTTTGGCGCATATGTATCCAGTCTCAAGTTCAAAGACGCACAAGTTGGGGGGATTGTCCTTCCCCAACCTTCTCAGACCACGCATGATATAAGCTGGTGCTCTTCAATCGAACACACCGTTACGCATGACATCTATCCTCGGCTAGACTTTAAATCGTTATTTGATCAGTGGCCTTCTTCCTCACCTACATCTGGTGAAGTATCTGATGGTTCCCTCTCATTGGACAGCTCTCCCATAGTTTTCGGTATCCTTTTTCTTACCCGCGATGACCTCAATTCGTTTGCCCCGGTCGCTTGTCGCCTTCAACAACGTGGTCACACGCTTCAAATATCTCTTTACGACGGAAATTCCTCTCAAGCACCTCCTAAACTCGGCTTCCTAGAGCACTCAATGTGTATATTGTCTTATAGAGCCTTATCTGCCGATGAGCCTCCAGCTGCATGGCTCGACGGATTGGATGGACATCCTGAAGTCATCGTTACCTTGTCAGAAATGACCGATCCCTTGAATGGGTGTTCAAGTACGTCAATCATTCGTCTCCCTCGCGAAGACTTGGCACACACTCAGTGGATGAGTTCTCTTACATCTCATGAATGGCGAGGTGAGTACTGTGCTTTTTTGACCCAAGATGTTCATCATTAAATCCGGTCAGATTGGAATATTCCGCAAGTGACTTTGAGTATCATCACGAAAGATCGGCCACAGTCCCTTTCCCGACTACTCGAGTCCATAATTGATGCGAAGTTCTTTGGGGATAAGATCGATCTTCGAGTAAATATGGAGCAGTCTTCCGACTTGAATACGAGGAATATCATCAAGAATTTTCGTTGGTCTCATGGGAGTATGTTTGTGCATCATCGGGTCATCCATGGTGGTCTCCTCACCGCTGTCGCGGAGTCCTGGTATCCTCACTCTCAAGATGCATATGGTGTACTATTAGAAGACGATGTCGAGCTGTCCCCTTTGTTCTATGCTTGGATCAAGATGACTCTTCTTCGCTATAGGTGGTTTTTCTCGCTATCCTGTTTGGAAATACATTCATTAATGGTTGTCTTTTTGCGGCCTTTAGGTACGGTTCAAATCGAGGCCGGGCTCCGCAAATGTTCGGGATCAGCCTATATCAGCCGAAAAATTTAGAACTGGACCTGAATGGAAGACGCCCATTCAACGCTTCGCATACCTTACTCTCCGCTGGTTCAAAAGCTTTCACTCCATATCTCTCCCCAATCCCGTGCAGCTGGGGTGGGGTTTACTTTCCTGAGCACTGGATGGAATTTCACGATTACATCACTATGCGTTTCTCTGAGGACATTCTCAACCTCTCACAAATCATCGTACCCGACGTTCGGTCAAATCAGTGGACTAGGTCATGGAAGAAGTACTTTATAGAACTTGTCTACCTTCGGGGATACGTCATGCTCTATCCCAATTTTCCTCAACAAATTTCTTTCTCTACCAACCATCTCGAGGTCGGCTCACATGTCAAGATCCGTTCCATGGAGAAAAGAGAATCTTTTTCGGTCCCACTGATGAAACTTGGAGGTGGAACGGCCGCTCGTGAAGTCGATTTACTTGATCTGCCAAACAAAACCCTTCCTGATTGGACATCACTACCCGTCCTAAATCTCACTGGAGTGCCCACAACGCTGGACGCGTTAGCAGAGGCCGGCGTGCGTAAGTATTTCGAGCTCGGGCTCTGCGGTGATCTCTCTGATTCGGGGGAGTCGAAGTGTTGAGGCGCTGGTATACGAAGATTGGGTGGGTATGACCGGCTTGGGACCTCTTGGGACTCAAGTGCTGATACGAAAGTCAGGGTATTAGAAGTTTTTAGAACCTACATAGACATCAACTTCACAAGGCTTCACCTCCACGCTGATACTCGTCTCCCCGACAATGCAGAATTATTTTCAGTGCAATGACTTTGGTATCATTGTATATCACTGATTCAATCGCAGAAACTACATATTCCAGAGTCTTTTTCTCATGGCTCTCAGTCCTCCCTGATCATGGATGGACAGGTCCAGCCGTGTCAAACATGGGTCGAGTAGAGTAGAGTACTTTCGGGAGGTACTCAATTGAAACTTTAGTTGGAGCTACGATGCTTATCAGATTCATTCGGACTAGGAAGGCAATTCTAGGCAACTGCGAAGACCTGATATACTAGGATATACTCCCAAAAAATGGTACATATATGGACGTCGAACCTGAATACTCAACGCCTTTCCTATATAGTAAACCCACATGTCAGCGGCTTCCCTTGAAGGCGGAAATTCTGAGTGTTTCATCCCCGCCGGATGCATAATCGAGTTGCGTCGGCGTTCGGTAACGAGTGGGAATTGGGGAGGCTCCTACGCAAGGGTATACACATCCTTCAATAGCCTTCTCATGCGTTGGGTGGTGATATGACCGAAACCACCGTTCACGCCTTTCTAGGCTTTTTTTCGCTCTAGAATCGAGTTTTACATTTAAACGTGGTCTATGGTACATAGCGACGGGAGTTGGACTGAGTCGGAGTTGATGCAACGTTGATGCAGTACTTTACGCATCACTTTGATTCATCACGAATCATCAGCCTCTTCGCCATCAAATGATGGGAGTCGATTATTATCCGGGCGCCAGAATATTTCAGGGCCCCCTTCGTAAAGTATATAGGACTGGAAAGTCCGGTTCGGAATCGTTTTCGAACTTTTCCCTCTTCTTTCCCTTCCACTTTATTTCTTTCGGTTCACCACAGGCCTACTTTGAAGTGCCATTTTATTGCTTATTCACTTCCTTCCTTTTGCGACATCCTTTTTGAATTATCACAATGGTTCAACCTGTAACTGGCAAGTCGCTCCCCAAGTTTGAAGTTGGTAAGAGTTTAGGGATGCTCACCTACAATACGATTCGAAATTTCTCACATCGCATTCTTTGTAGGTGACGACTACCAGATAACACATGTAATTGGATCGGGGGCATATGGCGAAGTCGTTGCAGCACTTCACAAACCTTCGGGTCGCCGAGTTGCTATTAAGAAGGTTCTCCCCTTCGATCATACTCTCTGCGCTCTGCGGACATTGAGAGAGCTCAAACTTCTCAAATATTTCACCGACTCGTGTTTCAATGAGAACGTAAGTAATGTTTACGCTTCTTGCTTATGAACACATTTATTCATTTTCTTATGTTTAGATCGTGACTGTCCTCGACATCATCAAACCTGAATCGCTCGAATCGTTCAACGCTATTTATTGTCCGTTAATCCCTTGTGCTGCATCAGCTATACATATCTGATTCGATACAGTCATTCAGGAGCTCATGCAAACCGATCTACACAGAGTGATCCGAACTCAATGTCTCAGTGACGATCATTGCCAGGCAAGCATTCAAATCCAACTTTCACATTGTATCCTGAATTGATCTTTCCCTCTACAATCAACAGTACTTCATATACCAAACTCTCCGAGCGCTGAAGACAATCCACGGCGCCAACATAGTCCATCGGGATATCAAACCCGCCAATCTCCTCGTCAATGAAAACTGTGATCTAAAGGTCTGCGATTTCGGATTGGCCAGAAGTATGAGCACATGTGGGGTTGTCGGCAAAGGTCCCGGTTATGAATCGCCAGCGAACGCGATGACCGAATATGTGGCGACCAGGTGGTATCGAGCGCCGGAGAACATGTTATCAAATGCTAGCTACACAAAGGTGCGCTTCCTTGTGCGATTACAACGAGCATATCTGATTTAGATGACATAGGCGATCGATATCTGGGCTGTTGGATGTATCCTCGCTGAACTGTTATCAGGACGACCTTTATTCCCTGGTCGAGATTATAGTCATCAGTTAGATCTGATTCTTGACATAATTGGTATGCTATTGAGCTATAACATCTCATGATCATGTCATTAAGCAGACTCGAATATAGGTACACCGACCATGGATGAATTTGCTTCTATATCTTCTCGCCGCGCACGCGAGTATGTACGCGCTTTGCCTATCAAACGGGCGAAAAGCTTCAGAGCGCTCTTCCCCACTGCTTCAAGTACTGCAATCGACTTTTTGAATAAAACTCTGGTCAGCCTTACTTGCCTTCTTTGCCTACATAGATGATTAACATCATTCCAGACTTTTGATCCCAAGAAGCGTATGACTGTTGAAGAAGCATTGGAGCATCCATACCTCGCCGTTTATCACGATCCTAACGAGGAGCCTGTGGGTTCGCCTCTCGCAGCTGAGGAGTTTGAGTTTGATCGTAAGGGAATTTTTCTATTGTCGATTGCTGCACATACTGACGGCTCTGTGACAGTCCGCAAGGAGCGACTTTCCAAGCAAGAGCTCAAAGAGCTTTTATATGCGGAAATACTCTCTTTTGAGTCAGATTTTTCTTCTTCAGCTGCATGAGCAAATTGATTCGCATTGTTCACGTTTTATTATTGATTTAACTTATTTTTATTCGCGTTTTATGGAACCGGAACCTGTACTTTCATTGCAATCAGATATCAGTTTACTATTTACTGAGCTTCATGAAGCCCAATACTCATAGATTTTTGCAAAAAAAAATAATCAGAGTTGAAACGCTGTAGAGTCTTGCGCTGCTCGAACGTGCTGAAACACCATTGTGGTGATGTCATCACAAGTATTTAAATTGCTTGGCGGGATGCAGAAAATACAGCAACTTAACTTTCTCTTTTACCACCATCATCTTGACCTTCATTTACATTTTACGAAATGGGCAAAGGGCGTAAAGTCAACAAGGCTAAACCTTCTGTGTCTATTCCCATTTCTGCACGCTCGAAATCATCGGCGTCGGCGTCCAGTGCGGGGTCGAGTCCTATCTCGCCCGTCACGCCCAAGACTCCCGCCGATGAAGGAATCGAGTTTTTCCAGTCGCCAGTAGCCCCAGGAGAGGCTCCTTTGCGCGTCTATGAGCTTCGTCTCGATATCGATGGCGGTCCTCATAAAGATCGTTCGGTAGGTTTGCTTCAGACGCGTCGCCTATATTGATGGCAACTGACGGTTGTTTGAAAAGTACATTCGACTTCCTCCGGCTTATGTTCCATACATCCTTCGGGTATCCATTGACGCTGGAACTCCTGCCTCTATGAACGGTGTATTCAAGACTAATTTCCCTCTTGATGGCGGGAAATTCAACCGCGCGCGCTTCACAGAGCGCAAGTACGTGGACTATTCTGTATTTTGCGCATATATTCTTACTAACTATATCTCCAGACTTCCCTCCGACTTTTCGAAACCAATCCAAATTGACTTACCCATTTCTCATGCTGGCGCGTTTGTATTTTGGGTTGAATATGATGGCGAGTTGCCCAGCCAGCGTATTAAAGGGCGTGAAGGCTATTTTAACGTTGACCCTGTGCTTCGCATCAAGGGCCGTTCGCCGATTCTGTCCTCTGAGCTATCTCCTCTTCCTCCCTCGTCTGGTGCCGTTCTTCAGAAAGATACTGTCAATCTTCCACTAGATGGACTGTCGATCTTGACTGTTGTGTCGAAATGGATGGGTCCAATGTCCGAGTGGAAGAATCACTTCGCTGAGGCCAAAGACCGCGGGTACACCATGTTGCACTACACCCCCTTGCAAGAACGTGGGGAAAGCGACAGCCCTTACTCGATTCGTGATCAACTCAAATACGACCCCAGTATGTTTGACGGAAAGCGACAAGCCGATGGAGGTAAAGAGAAGGTAGAAGCAATTCTCAAGGTTGCTCGAGAGGAGTATGGATTACTCAGTCTGACGGACGTCGTATTAAATCACACTGCAAACGATAGTCTTTGGCTAGTGGACCATCCTGAATCTGGTTGGACGGTCTTTTTCTTGCGTATCCTCCAATTTTTTGCTAATTACTCAATGATAGGCTTTAGTCCTGCTAATTCGCCTCATCTTACGCCTGCCCTCGAACTTGACTCAGCTATGATCGAGTTCTCCAGTAGTCTCGCGTCCAGAGGCCTCCCATCTATTGTGAACACTCAACAGGATGTAGACGCCTTAATTGGAGCTTTCCGAGCCGTCATGAAAGACCTTAATCTGTGGCAGTATTATGTCCTGGACGTCGCACGTGAGAAGGAGTCGATCAGAGCTGTGTTAGCATCGAAGAAGGCATCCCCTTGGACTGGTCCATCTATTGCAGGCAAATCTGTTGTCGAGCTCGCTGAGGTCCTTCGGGGCTCTAACGTGATCATCGGTCTTGCCGAACTCTCGTCGAGATTCGGTGTACATTCTGATGCCAATGCTGCCTCAGGTTTTATCCAAGCTGCGTTCGTGGAATTGTCCGATCCGGATGCCCTCGCGGATGCCTGGGTCCGCGTACTAGATGTGATCAATGTTCCTTTGTACCAGGAATGGGAGGAGGATACCAAGATTGCCATGGATAATATCAAGAACAGATTGACTTATGCCAGATTGGATGAAAATGGGCCAAAACTGGGTGAGATCACTAGAGCGTAAGTCACATCTTTCCCGTACTAGTGACATAATTTACTTTCTTCTAGAAATCCTCTTGTCGAGACCTACTTCACGAGGTGTGGACCGAAACCCGACTCAGATCCTCTCGTTTACTCCCTTGCCAACAATGGTTGGATTTGGGCCGCTGATCCCCTGCAAAACTTCGCCCTTCTCCCCTCTAAAGCGTACCTCAGGCGCGAAGTTATCGTTTGGGGTGACTGTGTCAAACTTCGATATGGTTCAGGCCCCGAGGATAATCCTTGGCTTTGGTCTCATATCACTTCATACGTTACATCTTTGGCTGCAACTTTCGACGGGTTCCGTATCGACAATTGCCATTCAACTCCTCTGCATGTCGGTGTATCGATGCTGGATGCCGCCCGCGTTGTGAAACCAGATCTCTATGTCTGTGCGGAGCTATTCACTGGTAGTGAAGAAATGGACCTGCTTTTTGTCAAAAGGCTGGGAATCAACAGTCTCATTCGTGAAAGCTACAATGGTTGGGATGCTAAAGAGTACTCAAGGTTGTTGTATCGTCACGGAGTAGGTAAACCTGTTGGTCAGTTTATACGTTTTCTTATTGTGTCCGTAGTGCTGACGCTCCCTAGGCTCTATGGATGAAGCATGTTTGACCAGCATCGAGGAGATACCGTCACCTACAGGCAAGGGTCCATTACGCAAGGCGGTCGTCACACCATTGAATGGCTCGATGCCTCATGCACTTCTATACGACCTCACGCACGATAACGAATCTCCACTTCACAAACGGTCAGCAGAAGATGCACTTTCTACCGGGGCTCTAGTTACTTTCAGCTACTCAGCTACAGGGTCTGTCAAAGGGTTCGACGATCTCTATCCTAAACTTCTGAACCTAGTTGGCGAGAAGAGGAAATATGAGGTAACCGGCTTGGAAGAAGAGAGTGGTATAGCGCGCGTCAAACGTGTCTTGAATTCCCTCCACCTTGAAATGGTTTTAGGAGGCTACGAGGAAGGACATGTCCACCAAGAGAACGATGTAGGCCTCTATCCTAAGTTTCGATTAGAATCAATTTCTGACCTGTCTCACCAGTATATCGTTTTATCTCGTGTCCAACCTGGTACACAAAAAGGCTATCTACTCGTCGCACACACAGGGTTCGCTAAAAACACCAAAGACCGCGGATACAGTACGTTCAAGCTATGATTGTCCAAACTTACATTCACTGACGCTTGTGCAGTCTCTCCTATAAAACTCAGGCGTACACGTGCGAAGTTCATTATGGGCGCCAGTATCGATATTACCTCCTACAATGTTCCGGCGGATGCGAAGACGCTCAAAGGTCTTCCTCATAAACTTGTTGAAATGAGCCCCGTGGTGGTTCCTCAGGGCCTTGACGATGAAAGCCCGTACTCCGAAATCATCGTCCCCAAGTATTTCCCTCCTGGCAGCATCATGCTCTTTGAGACCCATTTGCAAGATCATGATGCTTCACTAGAGGAGTTTGTGGTATCAAATTCCCAGGAGGTTTTCGGCAATCTAGGATTGGTAGAGCTCAATGTTGTTCTATATCGCGCCGATGGTGAAGAACGTGACGCAACGAACGGTCAATTTGGAGTGTATGATGTACCTGGCCTCGGTCGCTTGACCTATTGTGGATTGGAGGGCTGGATGCATCCTCTTCGCCACATCATGCGCAATAATGACCTCGGTCATCCGCTGTGCGAACATTTGCGGAAAGGTACATGGTCCTTGGATTATGTCTATGACCGTCTCATGCATGTCTCTTCCTCTTCTCATTACACGCACTTTGATTTCTGACGTTTGATTTAATGATAGCCAAGCAGACGATTTGCCCAATCTCAAGAATGTAGCTCAGTGGTTCAAGGATCGCTTCGACCGCATCAAAGCTACTGCCCCGCCCTTCTTGCGTCCTAAGTATTTTGCACTGGTCATCTCAGAAGCGTACAAGGCTGCTCGTCGATCTGTCGTCGAACAATGCTCCGAATTTGTTCTTACCGGCCACGATTTCACTCAGGACTTAGCTTTGTGTGCTATTCAAATGTATGGCCTTGTCAAATCGGCATCTCTAGACCCTAGCAAACCTACACCTTCGCTTGCTGCTGGACTTCCTCATTTCGCCGCTGGATGGGCCAGGTGTTGGGGCCGCGATGTGTTCATCTCACTTCGCGGACTATTTCTCACTACCGGGAATTTCGAAGGTGCAAGAAAACATATTCTAGCTTTTGCGTCGACCTTGAAACATGGATTGATTCCCAATCTGCTTGACTCTGTGCGCAAGCCAAGGCAAGTAATGCACTACCTTGATGTATTCATAATAATTGATTGTCGGTGGTCATATCTACAGATACAATTCCCGTGACTCTCCGTGGTGGATGGTGCAAAACATCCAAGACTATGTCAAAATGGCTCCTGACGGTCTCGCTCTTCTTTCCGAAATTGTCCCTCGGCGGTTCCCCAAGGACGAAACCTGGGTGGAGTGGGACGATAAGCGGGCTTATGCTTACTCTTCGACTATCGCAGAAATTATCCAGGAAATCCTTCAGCGTCACGCGATGGGTATACACTTCAAAGAATACAATGCCGGCCCCAACCTCGATATGCAGATGCGTGACGAAGGGTTCAACATTGACATCGACGTAGACTGGAAGACGGGACTAATCTTGGGTGGGAATGCTTTCAACTGTGGAACCTGGATGGACAAAATGGGTGAATCTCAAAAGGCTGGAACGAAGGGCCAACCGGGTACACCCCGAGACGGTGCTCCAGTCGAAATAACAGGACTGGTAAAAAGTGCATTGACGTGGTTGGACGGACTTTCGAGTAAGGGTAAATTCCCCTTCAAAGGCGTTCAGGCTATTGGTACGTTACTTGTTTGACTGCTAATTTTTCGTTGCTCATACAAATGAACTCGCCTTATACAGTTGATGGTAAAGAACGACTCGTAACCTACAAGGAATGGGCCGATCTCATCCAAGCTTCATTCGAGAAATGCTACTACGTACCTCTTGGTGTGTTTACTATCTCGTCTCGTAATTTTACGAGGTGCTCACTCCTAGGCGACTAGATCCTGCCGAAGACACGAAATACAATCTGGATTCGAAGTTGGTCAACCGTCGTGGAATTTACAAGGACGTTTATGGTTCCGGAGAGGGTAGAGAATGGTCTGACTACCAGTTCCGTCCTAACTTCCCGATCGCCATGACTGTCGCGCCTGAGTTGTTTGATTCACAACACGGTTTGCACGCTCTTCAACTCGCAGATAAAGTTTTGCGCTCGCCTTTGGGTATGAAGACGTTGGACCCTAGCGATATGCAATATCGTCCCATCTACGACAACTCGAATGATTCTACCGATGCTGCTATTGCCAAGGGCTTGAACTACCACAATGTAAGTTGCTCTCATGAAATCATTTCCGCATTGCTGATTGTGCTGATTCGCAGGGTCCCGAGTGGGGATGGCCGTTGGGTTTCTTCTTGCGTGCCTACCTTGATTTTGACACCCGTGTCGGCGCCGGTAAAAAGGTTAGTGTGGCTGAGCTCTTATCGAACAAGGTCTTTATCCCTCTGTAGGACATCAAGGTCACGCTTCACCGACTGCATCAAGCGCTCCTTATTCCGCGCAACCACCTTCAAAACGATCCTTGGGCTGGAATTCCCGAACTCACGAATGCAGATGGCCAATACTGTTCCGATTCATGTAACACGCAGGCGTGGAGCGCGAGCACGCTTTTGGATTTCCTGGAAACTGTACATGAAGTAAACGCGAAGGTTGCAAAATAATGGCCCCAACGAAGCGCAATTGGAATTTTATAATACACCATCATCACTATGTTCCGTAAACTGTTTGTGGATACCTCTCGGAATGTATACCTAGAAGATTGTAGTAGATACTTTATTATTATTAGAAGTAATAACATTTGTTCCGCATGTTCATTGGCGCACGTATCCATGAGTAGACTCCTGGTACTTGAATTGTAGGTTAGAAATGCGGCGCGCTCTAAGTACAGGTCTATCTCTCGAGTGAAACTTAATATCTCGGATGAGCATAGTCAACGCGAACAAGACAGATAGATGCTGGGAGTGCACAGAGAGAGTAATAGGGCATTTGAGAATTGTGAACAGCCAAAGGTGAAAATTGCAATCCCTTTGTTTGCACCTGACAATCATGCTACGCCGGCAGAATTCCTCGAAATTGACACTGTCGACCCAATATTCAACAACTTTTTTGTGGTAAACACATGCCAGAGAATTGTAGGACTTCACGTACATCGGTGAACTTTATCTTATCCCATATTTTTCATGCATAAGCCTGTATCTCACTTCGAGCCTCTCGCCATAGATTGTTTCGTACTGTTCTAGAACCGAGGCATCAACGCTTCCACGCCCCTTCAATTTCTCTAGAACAATCCGAATATAATCCAAACAAGTGCCTTCTTCCACGAAAGGGGGCATCTTCACGGCAAGCATCTCTTTGATAGCCTTTTGTTTGTCTTGTTCATCCCAAAACGATGCTTTTCCGATGAATTCCGTGTGGTATTTCTTCTTCGCGATGTTCAAGGGAATATGGTATCTTCGAGGAACAAGGGTGCCTTCTTGTCCCACGACCTCTGATTTGTTGGCGTGGAGGATCGTATCTCCGACGGCCACGAGCAGGTGTTCTTTCAGGGTATTCATGCGGGTAATGAGAATCAGAAGATCTACCGAGGGCTGGCGAGGTAAGAGCACCGGGGCAGCGCCATTGCTATCACGTGTACCGGACAAAGGTGATGCGAAGACTGCCAGTGTATAAGCCATCCAAAGGCATAGCAAAGCAAAAAAGGGCGAGATGGTGATTCGGGTGGGCAACATTGAGGTTCAAATTGTTCGCCGGGGATCTGCGGGGCATAGTTGAGAAAGAAAAACATGTCACATCGAGGGGAATTAGAGATGAGGGAAAACAGGAATGTAAGATAATTAGTTATATGAGTTCAAGGATAGACTGGGCCAACGTACCAAGAATTGTTGACGAAGAAAGCTTATAGGAGTTGACCAGCAAATCCTAGTGGTCAGATAGAAGAAGATGAAGACGAAATCTTTCACAACACCAGATCAGCCCAGTCGATGGAAGGGAAACGTAGGGAGATGCATACCGAACCAGCGCGCGGTTGGTATGACGGCAGATTTTTCGTGCAAAAATCATGGCCTTCATCGCTAAATTGGCGGAAATCTTGGATTGGCTTGCATCAAATGTATTTGTCATACAATTATTACTTGTTGACTACACTACCTTACAATCTCATCCAATATTATATGCATATTGTAGCATCTTGTGGATGTTGCCTAATTATTAGAACTCTTACATCAAATTGTAGCTTCACCGACAAGTATTAGGAAGTATCTAGGTTATATGATAGCATAGGTGTAATCTTATGCAATGAATGTAATACCCTACAAGTGAGCTAAGTTATGGGGAGCCGTACCCATCATCCCACTGCCAGTCATCCCCGCATCGCCACTGTCATCATTGTCATTTTCATCCTCTCCATCTCCATCTGATCCAAAGCCGTCATCTGAATGATTACTATCCAAGCTGTGTGCCTCCGAGTTGTTAGATTCATCCTCCCCACTACTATCACTGCCATTGCTGTCCTCATTATCACTTTGCTGGAAGAATCTCCAGTTGGCCACATGTCCAACGCCACCTCCAGGAAAATACCGCATGAACATGTCCCGGTCCACAAATCTGATGGTAATACACCTCCCATTAGCTTTGATCACTCAACATACCGATTGAAGGACTCACATTCCAACATAAAAATATGCCCAATCATCTTTCTCTCCTGCCTTCTGAGCTACTGTAGGTTGAGAAGATTCAAGAAGCTCTTGTGTCCAACCATCACTGAAAGCAGGCATCAGGTGACATCCTCGAATTATATGAGCAGGAACCATGTCAAGTCCATGCCTCGGTGCCCCATTCCGCCGCTTGGTATTCCGAGATCTACCATTTATTGTAATCTCATCTTTATTGTTCTTTCTCGCTACACATTCCCTTTCTGCTTAGACTCTTCCTTATTGTTTTATCCTTTCCTTTATTGTCTTATTCCCTACCCTGCAGGTACTACACGTATAGCTCCTAGTAGTTAGTCTGGCGCTCCGCACCAATGCACCGATCTGTAGATATAAATACTGCCTGTACAATACTGTAGTTCCTCAGGTTAATTATCGACTTAGATCGTCCTCTTAACATCCTTGACTTCAGTTTCTCTCTGTGCTCTCGTCACTCTCTAGTCTTCAGGCTCGTTGCCTCGAAGTACTTCTTACTCTGACCTTAGGACTTATAAGTTCTTTGGTTCACTCCTCATCGTCAGTGATACCACCGCTCCGACTTGGCTGCTTCTGGCTCTCTTCTTCTCTACTCTCAACCTCCGGGGACTAGCTGTCAAGTCCATGCCTTGGTATTCCGAGATCTACTGTTTATTGTAATCTCATCTTTATTGTTCTTTCTCGCTACACATTCCCTTTCTGCTTAGACTCTTCCTTATTGTTTTATCCTTTCCTTTATTGTTTTATTCCCTACCCTGCAGGTACTACACGTATAGCTCCTAGTAGTTAGTCTGGTGCTCCGCACCGATGCACCAATCCATAGATATAAATACTGCCTGTACGATACTGTAGTTCCTCAGTTTAATTATCAACTTGGATTGTCCTCTTCAACTTAGATTCTCCTCTCCAACTTAGTCTTCAGGCTTGTTGCCTTGAAGTACTTTTTACTCTGACCTTAGGACTTATAAGTTCTTTGGTTTGCTCCTCGTCGCTGGTGACACCTGTCAAGTCCATGCCGCGGGCCTTCATTCCGCCGCTCGGTATTCCGAAGATCTGCTCTTATTGTAATCTCTTCCTATTGTTCTTTCTCGCTACACATATCCTTTCGTTCTAGTCTCTCATTATTGTCTTTTACTCTTTCGTTCTAGTCTCTCCTTATTGTCTTTTACTCTACCCTGCAGGTACTACTCGTATAGCTCCTAGTAGTTAGTCTGGCGCTCCGCACCGATGCGCCGTTCCGTAGATATAAATACTGCCTGTACGCTACTGTAGTTCCTCAGTTTAATTATCAACTTAGATCTCCCTTCTCAACTTAACTCTTCTCTAAGTCTTCAGGCTCAACGCCTTGGAGTACTCCCCATTATAACCTTAGGACTTAGACGTCCTCTGGTTCGCTCCTCGTCACCGGCGATACCGCCGCTCCGACCTGGCTGCTACTTAGCTTCTCTCTCTCTACTCTCGCTCTCCGGGGACTAACGGCGTAACGGCGGTGTTGTTAATAACTTCACTACTGTCCCACTCGTCTTCTGCACTTAGACACCTTGTGGCTCTGGCACGGTTACACGGTGTACATGATCTTAACAACACCGCCGCTCCAACTTGGCTGCTTCTGGCTCTCTTCTTCTCTACTCTCAATCTCCGGGGACCAGCGGTGTAACGGCGGTGTTGTTCATAACTTCACTACTGTCCCATTCGACCTTCCACCCTTAGACACCTTGTGGCCTCTGGCACGGTTACATGGTGTACATGATCTTAACACTAGCAGCATAATGGCGGTGTTGTTCATAACTTCACTACTGTCCCATTCAACCCTCCGCCCTTAGACACCTTGTGGCCTCTGGCACGGTTACACAGTGTACATGATCTTAACAGTCCAGGAAGCCAAATGCGAAGGGGTCTGTCATAAAGTACGCAGCCCCTATCATTTTCCTTTTCTCACCGTCCCGACGCCTTTACTTGTACGATACATCATCCCATCACTGTCAAACCCCCATCGATTACTGATCCACCTGACCCATCTTTTCCTTCTACTGGCTTCCGCCACCTTCCTTGTTCCTAAACTGTACAGTATTACATCGTTGTTTCTCGCAGACCGGATTATGTATATATAGCCAACCCTCCACAGCCTGGTCCCTTATCTGGACCTCTCTGTCATTATCTGGGACCAGGTATGTGCTTACTTATTATTACCTATGACTACGATACTCAATATATCTCTGTCATTATCTGGGACCAGGACCAGCCTGCTGCCATTCTGCTTAGTCGCTCCGCCTTGTTGCCTTGTTCAGCTGCTCCGCCTCGCTGTTCTGCTTAGTCGCTCCGCTTCCCCGCTCCGTTAGTCACTCCGCCTCTGCCGCTTCGTGACATTAGGTCAAGATCCATTACTGCACTGACAGCCTACCGATAAGGTTGTCCTTGCAGGGTCTATAGACACCACGTCTTCCCCAGTTCCGCCCGACTCTGAAACACCTGTTGCCAGTATAGACTGCTCCGCACTCCCGCACGCACTTGACCCCAGAGACCAAGCTCACGCCCATAACAACGACGATACTTGGCGCGATTGCCAGTCTCAACCTTGCCCCAATGCCCTTTCGAACTCAATCCGAGAGCCACTCACTGTGAGCAATATAACCTTCCTGCCGATTCCCCAGCCCCGATTGCCTACTCCCATCATGTCGACTCCTATCCCGCCTGCCCCAAACACCTCTGCGGAGGATCTCATGGCTCAGCTCATCAGACAAGTAGCCAACCTTGCTACAGCTATGGAGGAACGCTCATCCTCTAAGTCAAGCATGAACAAACCCGAGGTTTTCAAGGGTAAAGATGGCGCTGAAGCCCGTCGCTTCATGGCTCAGTTCCAGAATTGGGCGTCAGAACAACCGGATCTCACCAAAAGCCAAGTAAAACTCATCAAATCTGCCTTGGGCTTCTTCACAGAAAGTGCCGGAGATTGGGCAACTCCCCATCTGCTACATTTCAATGCGGAAAATCCCCCTTTCGGAGGAAATTGGGAGGCGTTTCTGAAGGAATTTAGCCAACGGTTTGAACCAATGGACCCAGGTATGGAAGCCCGTAGCGAGATCAAGAATCTCAGGCAAAGTAAAGGACAGACAGTTGCGGAATTCGCTCAGAAGTTCAAGGATATCAGAGATCGGACTGAAATGTCTGATATTGACTTGCGGGAACGTTTCTTCACTGCATTACTCCCAGAGATCCGACAACACCTCATCACCGTAAACATTGCCCAAGGAATTGCTCCGACTCTGAAGGAGGCAATCAAACAGGCCATATCAGTGGATGTCTACCTGCATGATCCCACCATGACTGGCCGGAACTCTGGATACCCTCCCACTGTTAAGATCATGTACACCGTGTAACCGTGCCAAAGCCACAAGGTGTCTAAGTGCGGAAGACAAGTGGGACAGTAGTGAAGTTATTAACAACACTGCCGTTATGCCGTTAGTCCCCGGAGATCGAGAGTAGAGAGAGAGGAGCTAAATAGCAGCCAGGTCGGAGTGGCGGTATCGCCGACGACGAGGAGCGGACCAGAGAACGTTCAAGTCCTAAGGTCAAGTGGAACGTACTTCAAGGCGTTGAGCCTGAAGACTTAGAGAAGAGCTAAGTTTGAGAAGGGAGATCTAAGTTGATAATTAAACTGAGGAACTACAGTAGCGTACAGGCAGTATTTATATCTACGGAACGGCGCAGCGGTGCGGAGCGCCAGACTAACTACTAGGAGCTATACGAGTAGTACCTGCAGGGTAAAAGTAAAAGACAATAAGGAGGGACTAGAACGAAAGGGTATGTGTAGCGAGAAAGACAATAAGAGTGAGATTACAATAAAGAGCAGATCTTCGGAATACCGAGCGGCGGAATGGAGGCCCGCGGCATGGACTTGACACCCACGCATACCGCTCATACTACCCCTGCTGACCCCCACGCTATGGACATTGATGCAACCCACACTAGTAATGGGAATACTAGGGAGGCATTCCTAGCTCGCATGCGAGGACGATGCTTCGGCTGCGGTGCCCAAGGTCATGTCAAGCAAAACTGCCCACACCGAGAAACCACCTGCCGCTACTGTGGACGCCGAGGACATCTGGAAGCAGTCTGCCAAGACAAATTCATGGGACTCGGACGAGACCGAGACCGACGCCAGCAACCTCGACGCCAACAGATATCCGCTATGGGACCTGCGCCATTCTCCCTATTCCCAAACGAATCCGTCCAAATCGCGTCCTCGACCCCAACATCTGCTCCTGCACCCGTAGCTGCTACTCCGAGCCCTCCTAACCAGGACTTTTCCAATCAGATTGGTCAAATAAGGGAATTACTTGATTGTGCTAACGCTATGTCCTTCTCGTCCTCTGGCTTTCAACAGGGTTTTTAAAGAGGGTACCCGCTTCGGCTGCACCGAGAGTACCCCGTAATCAGTTTGTTATGTTCGCTACTTCTTCGTATGACTCGCACCCATCATGTACAATATCGTCGATCCGGGAATTAAACTCCACTTCCCCACATTTCCGAATTCATGCGAGACTAAGAGGAAGGAATCACAGTATAACAACTGCAGCCATGGTAGACTGTGGAGCTACCGCCCTGTTTTTAAACCAAGACTTTGCCACCCGGAACCACGTAAGATGTGCACCCCTCCATAAACCAATTGACATTTTTAATATCGACGGAACACCTAACCGAGCTGGACGGATAACCCATTTTGCACGTCTAGCACTCACAGTGGATAATCAAGAGCGATGGATGGACTTTCTGATCACCAACCTAGGGGGTGAAGACATCATCCTTGGACTCCCCTGGCTACGGAAGGTAAACCCGGAGATTGATTGGGAGAAAGGACGACTCTCAGTAAAGCCTCCTCGAGTAACGATAGAAGAAGTCCCAGACGAGGAGATCTCGTACTCTCATCTAGCCGCCACTCACACAGAAAGCCCGATCCTCGAACTCCCGGAACCGGAATCTCCCGCAGAAAACCCCCACATTGAGGTGCCACCAGAAGCAACCCTTGAACAGAGCGAATCAGTAGCGGTTGAAGAACTACCAATACACCGAATTCGAGCCAATCATAAAAC